CCCCACCCCTGGCCCCACCCCCTAGCCTGGCCCCACTCCTCCCCCTCCCCAGTTCCCACCCCCTCATCCCCCTTGCCCCCCCACCTGGCCTCTGGGGGAGTGGAAGGAATGGGTGGAACCCTCCTTTATCATCTCTTCCCCAACGTTTTGGAATGGCCCTGGCAGTGTTGAGAAGAACCTGGGGCCATTTCTGAGATGGAAGTTGGACCCTTGCAGGCATGGAGGGGCCCCCTCCACCAGGCAGGGTTTCTGGACTGCACCATTGGTGGTAGCTCCCAGCAAAGGCCCTGGGGCCACTAGGCCTGGGAAGTGGGGTGTGCTCAGGGTTTGTTGGGGAGGGCAGGGCAGTGGGATGGCCCCTCCATGGGAGCTGTCTCCACCCCTCGGGGGCCTTGGTTCCCTGCCCAGCCGACGTGGCGCTGAGGGCAATGAAGGGGACCCCTCTCACACCCCTGGTGGCTTCAACTCCGTGTTTCTGTCTTCTCTCCTGGGACCAGGTGAAGAGAAACCTGTGGGAGTATTTGAAAAAACAAGCTGCGCCATTTCTGGAAAGAATTGGGAACCCTCTGCCTGAAGACAGCCCAGTGAGGAGTAAATTGAGAATGGGCCTGATTATCCTTTTTGCAGTGGAAAAATTTGACATTCCCTTATCAGAGAATGACCTGGTGTTGCTTTGTACCCTTCTTTGCTCGAACGCTTCTTCACCAGGTGACCTTGACAGTGACCTAAGGCACATCTTTGGAACATGTCACAGGTATTGTGTGTGTGTTTATAGCTGTTTATAATGATGATCTGATTATACAAATGAGCGTTTGTCACAGGTTGGATGCAGACGTGCCAGGAGTAGAGTCTGCCCGTGATTTCACTCACCTCCCACTTCAGTGTCTGCCTCGCCAGCCATCTTCCTAGCATATGTTTGGTTTTTACTTTTATTACTCTTCTATCGAATAGCCTGCTTTTGAGAAGCTTTATGGTATATCATCATGCCTTGCCCCTGGTGACCCAAAATGAACAAACCTTTTTTTGTTTAATTAAGAAAATACATAAATAAAGGAGATGGGGCACCTGGCTGGCTCAGCTGGTGGAGTGGACGACTCTTGATCTCAGGGTTGTGAGTTGGAGCACCACGTTGGGTGTAGAGATGACTTAAAAATAAAATCTTTAAATTGATTTTTTTGTTAGTTTTTTTTTTTTTTTTTAAGTAGGCTCCACACCCAACGTGGGCCTCCAACTCACAACCCCAAGATCAAAGTCACACACTCCACCGACCGAACCAGTCAGGTGCTCCACATAAAAACGAAATCTTAAAAAAAGAAAAACAAAACAGGAAAAGTATTTTATTTGAGCCCAAATTAAAGCAGCTAACTGGGACACACACCAAGAGGAGTACGCATGCTCCAGGGAGGGAACACGAGGTGCAGGTGATATGTGCTTTTTACGGAAGGAGTTACAGATCATCACAACGAAGGACATTCCAGAAAGTTACAGAATTTATCTTAATCTTATGGGAACCAGGACGTGTTTTCTCTTTTTCTTATCTTTCTGTTTGGAATGCTCCTTTTTGATTTATTTATTTATTTATTTATTTAATTTTTTTTTTTTTTTAAGATTTTATTTATTTATTTGACAGAGAGAGTTACAGCAAGAGAGGGAACACAAGCAGGGGGAGTGGGAGAGGGAGAAGCAGGCTTCCCGCTGAGCAGGGAGCCCGATGCGGGGCTCGATCCCAGGACCCTGGGATCATGACCTGAGCCAAAGGCAGACGCTCAACGACTGAGCCATTTATTTTAAATGAAGCAGACATACTATGTGTGCTCTGGGCAGAAATAGAACCTGTGGGTTGAGATCATTTTGACCTTTGTAAATGTCAAAGTTTAGCTTCCCTGGGAGCCAAGGAGCAGCGCCCACAAGCACGAAAACTTGAAAATGTCCTGTATCACCCTGTGTACCTAAGGTTGCAGGGATTAGGGTTTGAAGATTGACTGTAGGGGCCCAGCCCAGGCACGCCTGTGGAAGCAAGGGGGGTGCTCTCCCTGGGCCTCGGCCGCAGCGCGCTGGGCCAGGTGCGGTGTGGAGGCACCGGCCTGCCCTGAGGAGCCTCCGTTGTCCCAGGTGGAGGGGCCCGCCCAGCACCCGGTGATTTCAGGGCCTTCCTGCACTATTTTCGGCAGCCGTGTGACCGGAACTAGAGGGTAGTAGGAGGCGGCCTTCCCTGAGCAGCGAGTCTTATTAGGACATCTGCCTCTTGGTCTTACAAACTTGAAACACTGAGTGCAACACTACATTTTTTAAGAGAGAGGAATTGGCAGCAAATGTACAGAGTGTTTTGAGTGTTTCCAAGAACCGGCGAGCATTAATATCTTGCGACTGTAGGCAGTTTGCTGTGTGTTGTTGGCAGGCTGCCCCCCTGCACTGGCAAAGTGGCTTTATATCTGGATTTACTGTTGCCAGAGGGTCTGGGCTCACAGATCGCATAGCCCCCCTGAACCTCAGCTGTCAAGGGGGATAGACGGTTGCTGTGGGGCTTCAGGGAAGGCCTGTCCAGAGCCCGACGCTTCGCGGGGTGCCGAGGGCGCCCCGGATGTCCCATGCAACCACGTTTCTCCTGGGGCTAGTCACTCTTCTCGGCCGCCCCCGAGTGCTCCTTCCCTCCTCCGTGCGGGTTGCCGTCAGACCCCCGGGGCAGGACACTGGCCATCCCAGCTCACCGTGGGCTCTCTGCTCCCTTCCCAGCTGGCGAGAGTTCTTGGTCAACCTGTGTCGACAGTGCATAGCGAAAACAGTGGACCTCTGGGTGCTCACCCTGCCCGTCTTGCACTACTGCCTGGCATCATCCCCTCAAGGAAAGGACTCCACGATGCAGCCTGAGGACACCTGGGCGGCCCTGGAAGGAATCTCCTTCTCTGAGTTTCGGGAAAGAAGGCTAGATCAGTAAGTTGTAGAGCTGCACGTCCATCTGTAAATCTTGGAATCACGGCTGTGCTTCAGGGATCGCCGGTGGGCCCCCTGGGTGCACACATTCCCGCTTCTAGGGCTCTTTTAAAATGACTTCTTCAATAAATTTTAAACATACCAGAAATGTAATGAAGAATATAAAAAAGAAAAAACCGCCTGCATTCCCAGAGATAATCATTGTTGCTAACACTTTGGCATGCACATTTCTGGGATTTTGTCCAAACACAGCTTTGCGGGCACGTTAGGTGCTCGATAACAGCGACAAATTCTGTATTCTGTTTTCCAATGGGCTTTTTTTCACTTCACAGTACTTTGTGAGCAACTCCGTGTTGGTAAACATGCAGCTACATTGTTGTAATGACTGCTTACTCATTAGAACTTATTTTTACTTAAGCAGTGACTGGGCATGTGGATTATTTCTTCTTTCTGCACTCTGACTTTGTGAGCATGTGTGCTTTGATGAGCATCCTTGTTGCTTCCCTGTCCAATTCTTTCCTCAGGCTAGATCCCTGAAAGCAGTACTGCCAGGTAAAGGCTTGGCACATGGTAGGTGCAAATCTTGAGGTAGTGAAGTACTAGTCTCCAGGTGAGCAAAGCTTTCTTAGAGAAGACACAGAAGGCACAATCCACAAACAAAAAATGGTAAATCGAACTTAAGTACAAAAATCAAATCAAAACTAAATAAAAAATTTAAAAAAGATGAATATTTCTGCTCAGTTGCAAGCACAATGCCCCCCGTTGACGTTGTCTTGTGTCAGAGAAAGGAATCCAAGTCTTACCTGCTCCCACCCCTCCACCAACCCGGTACACGCCTGCCCATAGGTTCTTAGGGATTAAAATAGCTCAATTAAGTTATTGCTCCTTCACTATTATTGGAACCTTTAGAAGTTAAAGCCCAGTTAAGATTATTTAGATCATTGCATATATTTTAAGGACCCTTCAGTGGTGTACAAACTGTCTGGAAGAAATTCAGTTGTTGACAATGGAGAATGGCAAGCACCAGCCTTGGTCTTAAAGATCCTGTCTTTCAGGCAGACGTGGTCTTTACTATGCCGTGAACCTTCATCCATATGATCTTTGTACCCCTGTGACTTCTGTGGCACCTCACTTTATTTATTTTCCAGTGGTCATCTTCTGGGGTCTCCAGTACAGTGTCACAGAATCAGCATAATTTAAAGACCTTCACTGGGCTCACTTGGACTCTTTGATCTGGAGCATTCACTTAGTCACTCATCGAAATGCTTAATTCATAAATCATTGCAGCCAGTATGGAAAACAGTATGGAGGTTCCTCAAAAAGTTAACAGCGGAGCCACCCTATGAACCAGAGGTCCCTCTTGTGGGTGTGTATCCCAAGGAAATGAAATCAGTATCTCAAAGGCATACGCACAGCCCCGTGGTCTCTGCGGCATTATTCACAATAGCCGAGACATGGAAACCACCGAGTGCGCATTGACCGATGAGTGGATAACAAAGATGTGAGACATGCACACACACACACACACACACACACACACACACACACGGGAATATGATAAGTGCGATAGCACTTGTGTGGAATCTAAAAAAGTCAAATTCGTAGAGACAGAGAGTAGAATGGAGGCTGCAGGCAGAACTCGGGAGGTGTTGGTTATTGTACAAATGTCCAGCTAGAGGGTGGGTAAGTTCTGGGACCCTAATGTGCAGTACAGTTAGTAATACTGTATGATAGACTTCCAGGTTGCGGAGAGAGTATATCTTTTTTTTTTTTATGTTATGTTAATCCCCACACATTACATCATTAGTTTTTGATGCAGTGCTCCGTGATTCATTGTTTGTGCGTAACACCCAGTGCTCCACGCAGAACGTGCCCTCTTTAATACCCATCACCGGGCTAACCCATCCCCCCACCCCCTCCGCTCTAGAACCCTCGGTTTGTTTCTCAGAGTCCATCGTCAAGAGAGTAGATCTTAAATGTTGTTAGCACAAGAGAGGAATGGTGGTCATGTGATGTGGCGCTGGCCCTAGCTAATCATACTTCGGTGAAGTGTATCAAGTCAACACATCGTACTCGTTAAGCTTACGCAACATTAGATGTCAGTGATATCTCAATAAGGCTGGGAAAAGTGCTTAAATCTTAGTGAAGGTTTCTGCGTGGTAAGATATATACATCACATAATTTGCCCTCTTAATCGTTTTTGGTGTGGAGTTCAGTGGCATCTGACACACTCGCGTTGTTGGGCCTCCACCTTCCGTCCCAAAGGTTTTTCAAATCGAAACTCTGTCCGCATCAAGCAACATTCCTGTTTCCCCTGTGGCCCACCCCCTGGGTAAGCACCATCCTACTTTCTGTCTCCGTGAGTTTGCGCACGCTGGGGACCTCACAGAACTGGAGTCGGAGTGTCTGTCCTTGCGCCACCTGCATCATGTCTTCAAGGTTCATCCATTTTGGTGAATTCTTAATATGTTATTGTTTGCTTTTCATTTGATTCAATTATTTTTGAAGTTGGAACTTTATAGGTCTCTTCTCACATGACTGTCTTTACCTTAACTCTGCGTGTGTGTGTTGACCCCATGGCTGCCCTTCTGTTCCTGTCCTCCCTTACACAGGACACAGTTAGTTCAGCGCATGGGAGAGCAGAGCTATTTGCTGAACGTAGATGCGTGTCTGTTCCGGTCCTGGTTCAGTCTGCTGCCTCTGAGCAACTTGGTTTCCTATATGAAGAACGTCATAGACCATCTGAGTCACTTCCCAGCTCGAATCCTGGACTGCCTTCTAGGGACTTGGTACCGGCTTCAAGGGTTTACAGAAGTCTCTAGCAGAAATCTGGAGGTCTGTTGTCTGTTGTCTGGAACAGGCTCTCGAGTCCTTGCTTAGCAACAGCAGATCAGAAACTAGACATTCAGGGCCTGTGATTCGTTTTTTTCTGAAATCTTGGCAGGGTGAAGCACTTCGAAACCAGAGACGTGGTGGGGCCGCTGTTTCTTAGGGCTACAGGGGTGCTCTGCTTCCCATTACTCTGGAGTGGGGGACCCGGGCGTTCAGGCCGTGTGTGTGTGGGGGGGGATGTTGGGGCGGGGGTCCAGGCATGGCCCACACAGCTGCTCTCTTCTTTCCCATTTCGTGGGGTGCAGAAAACAGTATAATCTTAAATCCTGAATTTTATTTGTGAAGGATGTAAGCTTGGTTCTTGAGCACCTTAAAAACTCATTTGTAGAAAGAAAAGAACCCATTGTTTTACCGTATTTAGGTTGTTTGTTTGTTTGTTTTTTCAGTTCTGTTTTCAGAAAGATGGTGGCGTTATGATTAACTCTTTCCTATCTTTTCTCTTCACTGCCCTAGAACATTGAGGAAATTTTTCAATTGCTGTTACACCTCCTGGATATTTATCAGGACAAGTAAGTAGAAATGTGAAACGCAGCCTCTGTCTTGCACGAGGTTACCCACACACACACTGACTGGCAGTGCCTCCTATTTGCTGTTGAAATCAGAAGGTCCTCAATATATATCCCACCTCCTTTTTGAGCTATTAACATCCTGGTTTTGTTTTGTCTTGTTTTAAGGGACAATAATAGATATCAGCTGTTAAGGTTTTGGTTTATTTCTATCTAGTCTCTTTTCCTATACATTTTCTTCCATTTATTTTTTAAATGATCACCATATTGCATATTCATGCTTGTGTTCTGCATTTCTTTAATGTTGGTCTCTGTATGTTTTTTGCAAGTCAGGTCAGTTGAAAATAAAAATCAAATGTAGCTTTACGTAGTTATCTGAAATCATTTGCTCCTACAGATTTGTATGACCTCTGACACCCCAAAGGAACACTATACAGCAAAATGCAGAACAACAGAAACCCAACGCGTGGCTGATAGGTGTTTCCTGAGATTCTCGGAGCTTCTCCCATATCACCTCCCCTGAATTTTTAGGGTGTTCAGGATGGCTGTGGGGGCATCAGATCTGTTAATGTCAAGCCCTGGTGGCTTCAAGGCCTCCCTGGGGTCCGTCAGAGAAGCACCCCCACAGTGCCTTTCTCCCCACACCTGCCACACTGCGTTCTGGTCAGCTCCCGTCAGCTTGGGCCGTGTGCCAGCCAGGGAAGGCGAGACCTGGTCCCCACGCACAGCGCCCGTTCTAGCACTTTTCCCCACCCCTCTCTCCCTCCTCCCTGGATCTTTCTGAATTTTTTTCAGATTTATGTAGTATCTTAATCTTCAGTGATACACATCCCTAGCTTCTTTTTTTCAAATAAGGGGCTACACTTGGGAATAGTGTCACTTGCTTTTGTTAAAACAGTTCAGACCATGGAGACAAACCAAAAGGACTTTGTTTCTTTTTTATCTTGGTCATAAGTTCAGGATCTATTGAAATGTTCCTGATGTTAGCCTGTATGGGATCAGAACCATGCCTTACTCGTAGGCATTTTGAAGGGAAGGAGCTTGTCAGGGATCATGGGTACTGTTTTCTCACATCTCCTAAATGACTTCAATGATCTCTCTTAACTCTTTGCGGGGTAGGATTCTTGAGGAGCCCTTGATACAGTCCTACTTGACTGTGTGCCTGAGACTTCATGAAACTATCTGCAGAATCACAAAAGACCAAAAGTTTTATGAGCTGCCCGCCTTATCTGCTGAGATTGTTTGCAGAATTATTACACTTAAGCCTCTAGTGGTAAGTGGAACACACACACCGTGTCGCACCCACAATAAGTATGGAATTTCAAGTGGCCTCAACTCAGAACGGAAATCAGCTGGTTTCTAGGATTGCCAAAGGGACACAGAGTGGCTGGTTCCGTCCTCAGATATTTGTTGGGCACCTGCCCCATGCCCGGTTCTGTTCTGTGCATTGAGAATGTTTTGGTGAGCGAGGCTGCACGCTTGCCCTCCTAGGGCTTCTGTTGGAGGCAGAGAGGCAGTGCAGGGGTCAAAGTACAGAACATCAGATGAATGGGTTAATTAAAGAGCAGTGCAGGTGGCTGGGAAGTCAGGCAAGGTACCCACAATGTGTACCCGAAACGAGTGTCCATGCATGGTCGTTCCCACGTGACCTCATTTCCTGCACACTGTTCCTTAAATGCAGCAGCCGAGTCCACCTGTCCCAAGTGCACACCTCAGGGCCTTCCACACGGGTGCACGCCCTTGTGCTGCCTCCTGAATCAAGCTGTAGGGAGACCCGGGTGCCCTGTGTCCTCTCCCTCCACTCCCTCCGTACGCCTCCCAGTGGGAACCGCCTTCTGTCTCCTACCACCGAACCTGAGTTTTGCCTTGTCTTTGAACTTCCTGCGTTTTGTGTCTGCTTGCTTCACCCAACACTGTGTCTCTGAGACTCATGCCCGTTGCTGCTCACGGCAGCACTGGCTTCTTCTTTTGTACTCTTTGCACACTTGAGTTTATGGGCTTCAATTTGAAGATGATAGGAGATTTTATATTTACACTGACCAATTTTTTGTTCACTGTATTGCGATTCAGAACTGGGATGTTAGTGATAGAAAAGAATTCAGTGTATGTTTTAGCTTTATTCCTTTCACTTTTTCTTCTTTAAAATACAAAAAAAAATTTAAATAACTATTATTGGTAAGATGATTGCCTTTTATGAAGCAAGTGTCATTTAAACCATCACAGGCTGGTGCCCACTTCCAAATAAGCTGTGTTTAGGAAATTTGTCAGTTTTCTAGGGTATATTTTCCTGCAGAAAAAAAGTCTTAAATGTGGGTTGGAACCCCAGACCAGTGTAATCTACATCATGGTAAAAATACTCTACCCTTGCCATAAAAACAAAAAGGCTTGCAAAACTATAATTCAACAAAAGTGTATGATGAGTTTTCAACCAGCTTCTGGATGGGTCCTGACACAGAGGGTTAACTGGATTGGCAGAACACCGGATGGAGAAAAGCAAGAAGCCCACATGTGAGCCTTCCAGCTTAGAGTCTCAGGCTTGGGCTGTTCACTTCTTGCCTGTCTCTGCCTGGCCCTGTGCTGGGTGCAGGGGACACCAGGATGGGGGTGACAAAGGCCTTCCTTGCAGTGAGATCTCTGTGTGTGGGGGGGCACCCAGTGAACACGTAACTGCAACACAGGAGACAGACAGTAAGCTGGAGTCAATAAGGTGCCCTGAGAACTGAGGGCAGGGCTTGCGTTCCTATGAAAAGGACACAGCCCTCACTGGGTCAGGGAGGAGGAACGTTGCCGTTCCCGAGGGCCTGCAAGGAACGGAGTGTGGCAGGAAAGGAGCCAGGTCCAGACAAGGCCAGATCACAGGGAAGGCACACCATGCTGAAGCTTCTGGATTATTCTAGAAAGTGCTGTGCCATTCAGGGATTTAAAACAAGGGCTGAGATGTCCAATTTTCAGCTGAGAACCATCGCCACCTCTTGCCATCCACTGATCCGGCATGCTGGCCGGGCACACCTCCACCCACCCTCCCAAGCATCTGGTGCCCTCCTTATCTTTAGGGACAGAGCCTCCTCCTGCCCCAGGCTGGGTTCCGTCCCCTTCGTGAGCCTTGGGAATACCTCGTACTTTCCCTACTTGGCACCTACCGTGGTTAACGACCAGATGCCTGCCTGTCTGTGGATGGTTGCCCGCTCCCCTGCAGCATCAGCATCTGCTGGGCCACCAGGCGGGAGGGAGGGCATGTGGTGGTTCTCAGGGAGTGTCCCTGGAGGGAGGAGTGGCAGCAGATCCCGTTGTGGGTCCTGACACTTCTAACTTGTGGGACTCCGTTGAAGAACACACGCTAGCACAGAGCTGGGAAGACCCTCCCAGGGCCTCAGGGAGCAGCTGCTGCTGAGGTGGGGGTTCTGATGCCTGCACTCCTGCAACTGTGCTTCTGCTGCGGTGGGGAGGCATTGCCAGATCCCGTGGCCCCAGGGAACACGGATCTTCCAGAGGGAGAGAGGGAGTAGGGGAAGCCTCATGGGAAGAAAGCACGGACGGGAGGGACCTTGGGTTTACCTCTGGCCCATGGCAGGTTGTTTCTGTGGCCAAGGAGCAGGGGTTTGCATGACACACTAGAAGGGGGGGGTGTCTCTGAGCTGCTGGAGGCTCTGCGATTGGGGCGCATCCTTTCCCAGCCAGTCTGGAGAAGGTGGGCAGGCATGGCCTGGGCTGGCATGATCTGCTCGTTGGTAAGGCTGGGTCCCCTGTGCTGTCACTGTGCTGGGGCGGTTCATGGGGGTGGAAAGCTTGTCCTTCCCACCCCTCCCCCACTTTGCCTGAGCTGTCAGCTCCCAGAGCGAACCCAGAGTCCAGGAAAATTGAAGCGCCTTGAAATGCAGGCCCTGGTGAGGCGGGTGTCCCAAACGCACTCATGTGACTCAGAGGTTGCTGTTCTCGAGCGCCTGCTGTGGACTGAGAAGGGAGAGTGGTGTCTCCAGAATAGCCTGAGTCACAGCTCGGGGACCATTATACCCCCCCTCTCTCCTGCTGCAGCAGGATTCAGCCGAAGGGCCGAGAAAGGAAGCCGGGAAGATTTCTGTGCAAACAGTATTCCAGGGGACAGTCACCAGGACAAGAACTTGGCTTCAGGGCATTTTCCAGAAGTCCATCTTTTGCCACACCTACTTGTCACCTGTCATGTTCAGATACCAGGAGGAAATCAAGGTAAGCTCTGCTGGGCTGAGATGCTGGCCAAAGGGGTCCGAGCAGGGATGCAGCGTGCTGGCCCTGGGCTGGTGCTCCATCTGCAGGATCGGAGAGCCCAGTGCTGGTCGCGCTGCCCACAGGCCCCCATGACAGGCCTCATGGGAAGTGCAGGGACACGGGGCCTTTGGGCTCTGTTTGAGCAAGGAAGGTGGGAGGTAGTTATGGCTGGAAATGTCAGGAAACAGTGGAGGCAAGAGGTACTTGAAGGGGAAACTGGGCAGAAGGGGTTCTGACGTCAGAGAGGGAAATCAGCCTCAGAAAGGCTGGGAGGTTTCTAGAACGAGGCTGGATGAGGTGTGGGAGGACAGGGGCCACTGTGGGGTCTGGCCCATGGGGGTCACCTAAGCGAGAGCGGTCGAGTTGCTCGGAGACAGAGGGTTGGGAAGAGGGATGGGGGTGCTTTACGTCCTCTCCTGTTTTTTATCCTAATGCCTTAATGTCTTCTTCCTACTTCCTACAAGTTATGAAGGGTCTACCACTTGAGCTTCCAGGGTGTTGGGGAGACCACGGAACCCACTTAAAATGATCCCCGTGCTTGACATGATATTTTTGGCCTTCCTGTTGAAGTGCCACGTGGCCCCTCTGGGTCTGGGGCTGGGTCAGGTCCTGCGGGTTGTCTACACGTCCTCTCCATTTCCTTTCCTGTTCCCCCGCAAAACCATAGAGGTGACTGCCACCGAGGAAAATGTCAGAAGGGAAAACATTGGCCAAGAACAGCATATGATCCTCAGAGGCTGCAGGTTCTCCTGGCTGGTGGCCAGCGAGCTGGCAGTGTGTATGCGGCTGGTTCCACACTTCAGTCCTGGAGCGATCCGTGGTTTTACTTCCCACGTCTGCCTGGGGGGATGCAACTAGCATCTGGCTCGTGGCTCATTTCCAGATTCTCCTCAGTCTCCTAATCAGACCTAGCCTCTACGTCAGTGCCCGTTTCCCATCCAGATAGAAAGTGGCTGCACATGTTGGTCCCTCACATAGAATAGACTAGAATGTGGGCAACCCCCCCCAAAAGGATAGAAAGTTGCAAGTTTCAGCTTGTGACTCTTAAGCATCAGAAAAGTCTTCTGTAATTGCTCTGTGAAATTTCAGACTAAGACTTAAACCCCACCGAAACAAAACGATTGAATTATTGAGTTATAATTGCTGAGTTATTAAATGTTATTTCAAGATTTCAAATGGTATAATCCCCCAAACATTAAGAATGAGTTCAGGATGGCTTTTGGTCCATTGACACGAGGATGATTTTCAGTTAAAAGCAGTAATAATGGTGAAATGATAATGTTAATTAAAAGGTCATTGAGCGTCCCCTCTGAGGCTGGTGCTGCTGTCACCCGTCTCATGGAGGAGGCAACCACGGTTTGGGGAGATGGGGCAAACCCAGCCCCATCTTGAAGACTGTTAGCTAGCGCTAGGACACAGCTGTGGAAAGTGATGAGCAACCCAGCCAAATGGCTCATTTTACCAGTTTCAACAGGGTATCACCTTCCAGGGACACTTTAACGGGATGGTCATAAAATCACACAGCTGAGACCGTACAGGAACAGGGCTGATGACCCTCACTATATCTCAGACTTGCCACTTCTCCACACGAAGGGGAAAAGATCATGAATCCAAATACTCAGAGCACAGAACTTCTGGCACTCACCCTGAGAGGGACCGAGGCTGAGATCAAAGCGAAGAAAATGCACATGAGTCTCAAACTTTATTTAGAAACTTCATGGTTGGTGGTGGAACAGACGTAGTAGTTCTGGAGCGATCTGTGTGTCCTGTTAAGACTGAGCAAATAGCACAGGAGTCAACACTGTTGGGAGCCGGAGTTCTTTCTCACCGTGGAGAAGGGAGATGCGGCAAAGGGCAAGGGGTCAGCGGTGTTGGTGTGAACTCATGACCCAAAAAGCTGTAGTGGTTCCCAGCTCTCTCCACTGAAAGGCCTAAAAATCAGAACAGCCAGGCCCGGGAGCACAGTAGGAGCCCCAGGCATGGCTGCTAAATACCAGCCCCATGAAGAAACCTGTGCTTCTGGAAGGACAACAGGTTCCAGAGGCAGCAGGAAGAGTGCAGCGCCAGCCTGGGGCCAGTGGTGGGAACTGGAGTGATGGCGGGCTGGCATCCTAGAGTAGACCCTGGGATGGAGATGAGCTGCATCTGTAGTTCATGCTGCTCTAGCAATGCCCGTTCCCTAGCTTCGATAGCCCTACTGAGACCAAGGAAGGCATGAACTTCAGGGGAAGTTGGGTTGAGCATACATGCGAACTGTCTTATCTTTGCAGGATTTCTATAAATTGAAAGTTATCCCACATGTTTAAAAAAGGACACAGAAGCTAGTCTGAAGGGACAATTAGCCAAATCTAGGACAATTTGATCATCCAAATGAGTAACACCATTACTGGATTACAAGTCATTGATACTTATTTACAGAAAAAAAAGGAGGGGGGGGAGAGAAAGGAAAGTTTTTTTGTTTGTTTGTTTTGTTTTTAAGCAGGCTCCATGTCCAGTGTGGAGCCTGACTCGGACCTCGATCTCATGACCCTGAGATCATGACCTGAGCCAAAATCAAGGGCCAGATGCTTAACCGACTTTTTTTTTTTCTTTTAACGAAGAATGCAGCTGGCTGGCTCAGTCCGTAGAGCAAGTCTCTACCTCAGCGTCGTGAGTTTAAGCCCCACAGTGGGCATGGAGCCTACTTAAAAAACAAAAGAAAACAAAAAACACCCTTCACTCTGTAACATGGCAGGAGTGATGGACGTAGGCAAGATTCTTCCATGGGTGAACTCAGTGCATAGGAGTGTGAAGGAGCAGGATATCCAGCGTAGCCTGCCACAGATGACCATTTAATGCAAAGGAGAAAAGAAATCCGGCAGCCCTTGCTGTCAGCCCTGATGGGACAGGGGTCTCATGGCCTCCTTCTGCAAGTCTCTGATGCGACAGCACTCCCGAGGTCTCAGGCGAGCCATGGGAAGGTGCTGACTCTCGACCCTGCCTGACCTACAAAAATACATTTTTCAATGTGGCTCAACTTCATAGTGTTCCTGTCAAAAAAAATCAAATCTGGGTCTCCTCCCGGGAGAATTATGAGCCAGATTAGGTTGAGAGACAGTCTACAGGACAGCAGAGTGTGGACAGCGCCCCCATCAGAGGATTGGGTCCCACTGACATGAAGTGCCCTGAGTGTGACACGTGGATCATGATCGTGCAGAAGGGCCACGGTGTTCGGAGATGCCTGCCCAAGTATTTCAGGGCCACATGGCGCGGTACCTGCAACTTCTCTTCCAGTGGTTCTGCAGAGAAAGTGCTTCTTATAGAGGGAGCACAAAAGAGAGGAAGCAGCTGTTGAGTATTAACACCTGGGGAATCCAGTTGAAGAAATATGGGTGTCAGTGGGCCATTCTTGTAACTGTTTTTCTATGTTCGAAGGTTTTTGAAATAAAGCAAGGGAGAGAAATACTTTCAGAATAAAAACCAGTTACACGGTAGAAGGACCATCCTGGTTGCCTGGTCCTGTCAGGGCCCTTCCTTCTCAAAGGCTGGGGTGGGTGGCTCTGACTCGCCACTGACACAGCTCACCAGGGACAAAGACAGGCTCAAAACCCAGGTGCCCATCGCCCCTGGAACTGCCATAATAGTCTTTCCTTTTTCATAGAATTCATCTTGGCACTTAGTTGTCATGTGGCTGTCACTGACATGTGGGCTTTGCAGGTCTGGAGACGGCTGGCGGAAATAAACTTCCCCGTGGAGTATGGCTGGAAGGAGTCCTTGATGGGGGACTTGGAAGGGAGAATCAAACAGGTACCAGAAGTCAGGGTGTTCTTTTCAGGGGGCACGTTGATGAATCCAGACCATCTGTAACAACCTACAGATAGAACGGTGCATTTGAATGGATAGCCCTAGTGTGCGCAGGGCATTGGGTCAGTATGACCTTGCATTTTTGATCCAGCCTTACTAGTTTGACCAAAGATGATATTCCGGTGAAGAAGAAGGGAACGGGGTCTTGCCACCAGGGAAACCCTAGGTATGGGGAGTAAAGCCCCCCACATGCAGTAGCTCCAAGTGGCTTGCTGGTGACAGAAGCCTTAACCCAGTGACAAATGAGGAAACAAAAGTGTTCTTCATTTTTAGTTAAAGCTTGTGACCCTAGGAAGATTAGGGTTTGTTTTTACATGATAGGCGATGTTTATATGTAACTATTATATGATGCTTTTTAGGGAAGCAGAAACAAGGGGAAATCACTTATTTTTCAAAACTTACCTGTTTTTGCAAGCTGCGGGGCCAGCCGCTTTTTCTGCAGTGTAGGAAGGGAGATTCTGAATTGGGAGTCTTGTTTGTGTCATGGCTACAGTTAGAGGGGCCCCGCGGGGGACACGGTGAGTGCGGGGTGGAAGGTGGAATAATGGGGACCCGCGGCAGTGTGGGGAAAGTAGAGAATAATGTTCTTACTGCCCAGAGTGTTAGAGCGCAGCCCCCAAAGCGCTCATTGTCCTCGCAGGAGAAGCCTCTCGTCCAGATCTCCGCCTTTTGCAGCCCCTACTGGGATGCCACGGGCCTAGAAGACAGCGTGTCGAAATGCTTCGAGAAGTGTGTCATTGAAGCAGTGAGCTCAGCCTGCCAGGTGAACCACCCCTCTCGCTCGGGAAAGGCGTCTGGGTTCCCCGCGGTCTTCGGACATCCCGAGCTGGGGGCCGGGTGCTGAGCCCCGCTGGTCCTGGGCCCCGCTGCCAGCGCAGGCGTGGGCCCCGGGCATCCACCTCCCGGCCTAGGGGAAGGGTTCTGAAATTCGGTGACCCTGACGGCCTCCCTGAGATGCCGCCCAGCTTCCTGCTGCTACAGGTGACGCGCCATCAATCCCAGCCGCTCGCGGGTGAGCTCGGAGGGAGCCATCCAACGCGCCACTCCTGGGCGTGCGGGTCACTGCTGCTGGCCTGTGTTACCGCCGGCGGCATGCCGACGGAACATTTACGGAAGAAAAATGGACGAAGTTGAAAAGATTCCGTCAACTCACTTGGGGGGAGGGTCTTCTCCGCAAAGCCGGAAGAGAGTCTGCCGCACACGGCCTCTTAGGAACAGCCTCCGACTGTGCGTGTGTGCGCATGCGCGCGCGTCCGTACGCATGCGTGTGTACGTGCGTGTACGTGCGTGTGCGCGCGCGCGGAAGTGCCTGCACGCACTGGTGCTCTAGGGTTTTCTGTACGTGAAATCCCGTCGTAGCTGATAGGAGTACTTTTATTTCTTCCTTTACGATCCGGGTGCGTGTGTATCTTGTTCTTGCTAATTGGTCTGATTCGAAGCCCGGGGCAGACGTCCTCGTCTGGCTCCCCATCTCAGGAGGATGCCCTCGGTCCTTCACCCTGAGCGCGTCGTTAGTTAGCTGGGGGCTTTTCACACAAGCCCTTCGTCAGGTCGAGGATGCTCCTCCTGTTCCTGCTTCATTGGGAGATTTTATTCCAGATGGCATGGGTTGTTGTGTGAAAGGTTTCTGCGTCTCTGGAGACGAGCCTGTGATTCCCCTCCCCCCCCCTTTTCCCTAGATACGATGTATCACGTTAGTTGTTTTTTTTTTTAAAGATTTTGTTAATTCATTTCCGAGAGAGAGAGAAAGAGAGAGGGAGAGCACGAGCAGGGGGAGGGGCAGAGGCAGAGGGAGAAGCAGGCTTCCCGGCGAGCAGGGAGCCCGATGCGGGGCTCGATCCCAGGACCCCGGGATCATGACCTGAGCCGAAGCGGACTCTTAACGACTGAGCCACCCGCGCCCCATGTTAACAGATTCTTTATGTTAAACCAACTTTGCCTCCTGGGGATAAATCCCACTTGGTCACGGTGTATGATCCTCCTTATAAGTATCTCTTATAAACTAACCCAATTTTTTTTTTTTTTTTACAAGTTACCAAAACTTTTTGTACAAACTTTGAACCTAAAGAAGGGGGGAGGACGTTTTATCTCTTGGTGGAGAATTGAAATATTTGTGCTGTGTGTAGGCAGGCTTTAAAAGAATGACAGTTTAGAGTTAGGGTTTATGACAGTGTGTGTGTACCAGTGGTTTACACGTATTATTATGGTTGGTGTTTTTCACGGTAAGTCCAGGAAAAACAAAGTGACAGTGAGCCAGAAGGAGAGGGGCTGTGGCCTGCAGGCGTGTCTGTGTCTGTGCGCGCCTGTTTCCACATCTGTGTGTATGTGTGCACATCTCCATGTCTCTGCTACCCGTCACATATGAGGAGTCAGCACACAGGGAAACAGGAATGTCTTGGAAAAAGTGAAGTATTTTATTCTCTTGCTTTTTTTTGAGACTCTGTTAAACTATTCACAAAGGATTTCTGGAGTGCTATTGGATGAGAGATTTATTATGTTATTCAAAAGCAAACCAATAAAATAAAACCCTCCTCCATCTCTCTCTCTCTTTGTTCATTATCTTATAGTCTCAGACCAGTATTCTTGAGGGAATCTCTTCTCATGACCTGCGGAAATTTGGCACTCTTGTGTCGGCTGTGATCACTAAGTCCTGGCCGAGAAACAATGGGGAGGCCGTGGATGACCTGGATGAGGTTTTAAAGCACCTGCTCACATGGCCGGACATCAAGCATCTCTTCAAGTTGTGCAGTATGTCTGTGTGGGGTGCTGGGAACGCTTGCTCTGTCTGCTTGTGTCTGCCCGACCCCCGGGTGGGGGGGGGGCAGACTTATGACCTGATACTCGGTTAGGATGTGTTGATGTTCGACAAAAGAAGCAGACCGGATGGAGGATCCCAGGGGGATTCAGAATATCCTACACTGTGAATAAGAACTAAACCCAGGGGCGCCTGGGTGGCTCAGTCGTTAAGTGTCTGCTTTCAGCTCAGGTCATGATCCCAGGGTCCTGGGATCGAGCCCCGCATCGGGCTCCCTGCTCGGTGGGAAGCCTGCTTCTCCCTCTCCCACTCCCCTTGCTTGTGTTCCCTCTCTTGCTGTTTTCTCTGTGTCAAATCAATCAGTCAATAAATAAATCTTTGAAAAAATAAAAACACCCCGAAAGCCACCCTTCCCTGAATGCTGGCCATGCCCCAGCTACCATGCCGACATAGGTTCCCTGACACAGTCCTGGAAGATCTCTGTTCTTCAGATGGGGGTGTAATGTGACTTACCCAAGGTCTCAGGGATAAGTATCAAGGACTAAAATTCAAACCCACGTGTGTCTGGCTGTAGAAACCCCTCTCTGTTAGTCTGAGATCAGCGTCAACGTCCGATCCTATATTGTCGACTTTTGACCAAACACTAAGTACCATCTGTTTCTTCCGCCCCCACCCCCGCATCCCCTGAGTATTTTGTGATCAAAGAGGGGGAGATATGTATTGCCCCCAAAACATCACATTACAGTTTGTAAGTTGTCAGATTCAGATTTAGTGGGAAAGCACTGGATTTAGAACTAAAAATCCCAGTGAGATGATTTAGAGTCTCTGTTCCATCAGATGACAGGGACAGCCAAAAAAAAGCTGAGTTCCTTGCATGTGGGTGTGGTGGGGATAAAGTAAGATCATGGATGTGGGATTTTAATGTACATTATTGAAAGCTACTCACTTGAAAAGGTTACATTTGTGTTTTTTTAAAATTAATAGACACTTTTTGAGCAGCTGTAAGTTTACAGGAAAATTGAGCAGAATGTACAGAGTTCACATATTTGTACCTCCCTGCCCCCGACACAGTTTTTCCTGCTATTAATGTCTTATTGTGGTGTGGGACATTGGTTATAACTGAGGAGCCAATATTGACACAATTATTAACTAAAGTCCACAATTTGCCTTAGGGTTCACGGTTGGTGTTGTATACTCCGTGGTTTTGGACAAATGTACAATGTGTGTCCACCAGTATGATATCCTACAGAATAGTCTCACTGCCCTAAAAATGCCCCGCGCTCCCCCACGCCTCCCTGTGGCTCTGCCTTTCTCAGAATGTCCTCCAGTTGGAGTCGTATAGTCTCTGGCCTCTTCAGATGGGCTTCTTTCAGTTAGTGATGTGCATTTAAGTTTCCTCCATGTCTTTTTGTGGCTCAAAGCACCTTTGTTTTTATCACCAAATAATATTCCATTGTCTGGATGGACCACAGTTTTGTCCATTCACCCACTGAAGAACATATCGGTGCTTCCAGGAATTTGCAATTATGAACAAAGCTGCTGCATGTGCTTTTAATGGCACAGAGAAATCTGGTCTCATCATCATGCCATACAACCCTAAAATTACTCGGAGGGAAAGCTTCTAGTGGTTGAACTAAATATATTTAAAAACTCTGTCCTCTAGATTGATCTTAAAATTCAAATTCAAAATTTTGCCAGAGAGCCAAGATGTGTAGAGAATCAAACCCTCACATTGATGTTTCTCTGTTTCCATGTGCTGTGAAAACGCCCCCATAAAACAATCTGGGTCACCCTCGCTGGGTTCGAGTGCAGCCACTCTTCCCCTGCACAGATTCTCCAGATGGGGGCATGCAGAGGAGACAAGTGGTTTAAGAATGATATTCAGCGTGCTGAGGGAGGCCCAGGTTTTAAAACCCCGAGCAACGTGGCTCTCCTGGCTGATTCCCACCATGGGAGGAGTCCTCTTCATGAACAAGGTCATTGGGAAGCCTTCCAGGCAAAAGCAGAATCGAGTGAAGGGAGAAGCACATCTGGAGACACACAGTGACCTTCACTTGTCTTGTGTGGAAGTGGGGGCAGAACAATGAGGAGGCTGTTGGGGACCCCCGTGCTTCTCAGAGTCGGGGGGAGAAGTGGGCACCCACTGTTTTAACTCTGTTCTCTGCCTGATCAGGAACCGATGAGAAGTTATTAGCCAGTGTTACCGAGGACAGCAGGAGGCTGTTGGCTATCGCCGACTCTGTGTTCACGAAAGTCAGTGGGGACCTCCTGAATGGCACCATTTTAGTTGGACAACTGGAGCTCATCACGAAGTGCGCAGATCGGTTTCTGGACATCTGGCAGATAAGTAAGTATCCGAGTGGGGTCTGAGCTTCAGGTTAGTGGGCAATGACTGCACTTGCCTGTGTATTTTGTAGAGGGGAGACCTTCGTCATCTTTACGATGAGTGGCTCTTCCTGTCAGTAAGTGAAGAGGGGATGGTTTCCAATCCTCTGGAAAACAGTGGGAAAGTGATAAAATGGTGACCCAGTAAGACCCGCTCTGTCTCCACGCGGCCGAGCTCGTAGGCAACTTGCCCGTGCGGCTGTGCACACAACCCCCTTGTCCCTCCCCGTAGCCATGAACGTGGAGCATCTTCAAAGGGATGTGGAGGAGGAGACAGTTGCACGGAAAAGCCTCTGCTTGTTTCTTCTACTGGGTTCCTTTTTTCTTCCAGAGAGAAAAGGTCTTTTACTCCAAGAGAAAAAGTACAATATGAAGGAAGTGCTGGACTGGAGAAAGGATGAGCTGAAATTTCTGACGAGAGAGAAGACATGTGTGGACAGTCTCCTGAAGTTGTGTGAGAAGGTGAAACATCTGATAAAAGGTGATACTCCTAAGAGTTAACACGAACGACATTGAGGGGCCCCCAGGAGAGAAGGGTCAGAGGAGCAGACAGTGAACACAAGTCACACGGCAGCCTCGGGGGAGGCAAGTCACACGCACCTCCTTATTCTTTTTGGTATTTATCCCCATGCCCCTGCATGGCGCACTTAGACATCCCCTTCACCGTTGAGGCTGAAGCATCAGCCCCCGTGGAACTTGAGGGCTGGGTCTCTGTTTCTCCAGGCCCCGCACACACACGCACCCCTTCCAGCCTCCCTCCGTTCCCGGTCCTGTCAGGGTTTCAATCAGATCACCATTCAGGGTTCTGTGATTACGTCTGTGTAAATACAGCGTTCACAACCAAGCCGTGAAATAGACCATCATTGTTTTATGTTTCTTGCTCCAGCTTTGTTGTCTCTGGAATTAAAATTCTCTTCTTCAGCCTTTCGAGCCAGGCCTCCTCACTTCCTCACCAGCTCCCTACCTCCAGCAGCCGTACGACCAGTGTGTATACTGCTGGGAATCCTGTGGCAGGAGCCTGGCTGACTCCCAGCCTCCCTGCTGCGGGCTGGGGTTCCACGCCCTGGGGCCCAGCTTGGCCTTGGCCACTGCTGCACATCTGCTTTTCAACTCCTGCCCCGCCCCCCGCCCTTTTCTGCTCCTCCAAGCCCAGCTGGCTTACGACTTTTCCAAGACCATGTCTGTTCTGGCCCTGGAGTGCGGGATATGGGGAGGGAGTGAAGCAGGCAGTGTCCATGCTGTCATCCCTGCCCAGAAGTGACCGTGCTTGCTTTGTTGTGAAAATTCATGAACGAGCTGGGAGTTGGGTGGGGGCTGGCGGGGAGACAAATGGGTTCTTAGTGAGGAAAAATGCCAGCAAGTGTGTTCACGTGAGTTTTCTTATGAGCAGCAAGGACAGTAGGTGTGCAGAAAATAAAATACAGCGGTGTGGCTAGTAGAGGTCTGACTTCTGATGTTCCGTTATGGTTTCAAAGTGGATGTGGAAGAGATGGCAGAAAGACACTTGGAAGATCTCGGCAGTAAAAAACTGAGTGACGCCGTGACAGTGAGGTTGTCACCCAGCTCCCCGGACGTGAAGAGGACAACGCATTACGACCTGAGCCCCCAAGTCCAAGAGATGGCCGAAAAGATGGAGCAGCTAAAGGAGAGCCACATCTTCCAGGTCTTCTGGGAAGACGCTGCAGAAGTGCTGAGTGGGCCCGAGGAAGAGCTGGAAAGGCAGATTCTTCAGCCTGAGGAGGCCTATAGATCTCTGTTTCTCCCTTGTTTCAAGAAGTTTATGAAACTATATGAGGATCTGAGGTCAGGAGAGATCACCCTTCAGGAGGTTGACACCACCTTCAAGGACTTTGTGAATAAATACAGCCACCTCGACACCGACCTCCATCTTATGTGTGTCCTGGACCCCAGCGACCAACAGGACTGGATCAAGGATCGCGTTGGGCAGATCAGGGAGTACCATCACCTGAACCAGGCTGTCAGCTCAGCCAAGGTCATCTTGAAGGTCAAGGAGAATTTGGGCCTGACCGGTGACTTTGGTGTTCTGCACACTTTGTTAAACTTTGTAAGTTATTTGCCAGGGACCCGTGGGGTGGGGGGTGGGGGGCTCCCATGGGGTCTCCGGGGTCTGGAAGCCGGACAGGATGGTTTCACAGCTTCCCCCAGGAGTTCTTGTTGCATCTCACTGGATGCCTGATCATGCCAAGGGCTTCGTTTCTACCTGTTTATAAGCAGCGTGCACGCTCCTGGAAGTGAGCATTTTCTCAGGTGGCCATGAGGGACAAGAATTTGGGAATGTGCAGTGACCCTCTTCCGGTAGCCAAGGATTTGGAACGAGTCATCTGGTCTCATCAGGTTAGAGAGAGGCTGGAGAGGCAAGAGCTGGGTTTGTTTCGCCCCCTCTGCGTTCACATCTGCTAGTGCTGGCAAGGGGTGGCGCATGGTAAGCCGCCTCTGCTATGGTGAAGAAGCAGGGGCTTTGCTTTGTGTTCCTTCAGGTGAGGATTTACAAGGTGTCCCATGATCTATGTTATGATGTAGACGTAAAGATGGTGAAAATTTAGCACAAAATTTGGAATTATGCACACCTAGGCTTAGATCCCAGCAGCGTGTTCTCAAGTAGGTCACTGCTCTGGGCCTCCACTTCTTTACCCGTAAAATAGGAAAAGTAACAATATGCACCTGGCAGAGTTCTTGCGTAAGTTGCTTCGGCCGACTGCCAGGTATGGAGGAATAGTAGCTACTGTGGATCGATGGGGAGACGGCAGTGGGGGCTCTAGCGTCCCAACTGCTGGTCAGGAGCTTCGTGCACCTGCCTTTAGCTGCTGCAAGTCCAGGAAGGGTGGGACGGGGTCTTTGGGATGGTCAGTGCCGCTGCTTGGACTCCAGGGTTCCAGGTAACCAGGTCCAGCCCACAGCAGAGCTCTGTCTTGCAGACTGACAACTTTGACACATATCGCCATGAGAAGCTGGAGCGGATCAGCAAGCAGCTTATCCATGCCAAAAAGCTGCTGCAGGACATCAGTGAGACCCGGTCCCAGTGTCTGAGTGAGCTGTCCCTGAGCAAGGAGTTCATCAGCTGGGTCCGGGAGGCTCTCGGAGGTACAGCCGGTCATTGAGGTTGCTGGGAGTCGGGAGAGAGTGCTGAGATGGCTCACGGGGGGTTTCATAAACTTACAGGCAGTCCCTCCCCTTGATCATGTGCTGTGTAAAGAACAGACATGCTGTCTGCATCCCTTCCGTAGATGTGCAGTGTGTGCCTCCTCGATTGTTGGTAGAATATGCGTCAGGGCAGTATTTCATCTGTTCCGGCATAAAAACTTTCCTTGGCTACTTTTTGCCCCCACTCTGGAGGCTTGCTGTGAACAGTTGGGTATCATTTTCTTAACAAATCTTGTCCCCTTTAGCTTTTTCCTCTGGTTGATTTTAACTAGAAAGTAAGGTAAGCTCTTATCCACAGAAGAGATTTCATCACATCAGCTCATCAGTGTTATGTGCACTTCTTTTTTGGCCAAGAGCTCGGGAGCCTTTTTTGTCCTGTGGTTTAGGTGCCTCTGGCAGAGGGGTTGCACGGTGGGGAGGAGAGGTAAGGAAGACAGGTGGAGGAAGCAGGAAAGGGGCGGCAGCTGTACTGGTATGCAGGGAGGGGGTGCTGTCTCTTATCCGGATGCTCAGTACTTTCAGCTGTGGGCTCCTTGGCCCTCTCTGACGCACATCCTTTGATTAGTAAGTAGCCCAAAGAGAATTATCTCCATTTTTTTTGTAGCTAATGTCAACATAGTATTTACCAGCTGAGCCCATTTCTTTTTGTATTAAACAGCGATGTTGTGTGGATTATACACGACAAAGTGCACGGAAGGCTTGTGCCATGTCTGGATGTTGCTGTTGCTTTGTAAGGCCAGGCCTTGGCCAGTCGTGTCAACATCAACAGCAAAAGAAACACGGCCCCAGATTTGTACTAAAAGCAGAAAGTGGATCAGACCCTACAAATCCATCACTATCCATTTATAGCTTAAGTGTTCTTGTTTGAGGTCTGAGTGTGGGATCGTCCTGGAGCCCCCAGGCGCTCACCTGTCTCTCCTCGCCCCAAGGCATCAACGAGCTGAAGGTATTTGTGGACCTGGCCTCTATCTCTGCGGGGGAGAATGACATCGACGTGGACCGGGTGGCCTGTTTCCACGACGCCGTGCAGGGCTACGCATCGCTGCTGTATAAGCTGGATGCGAGTGCAGGATTTGACGAGTTCATGATGCATCTCAAAGAACTGTGGAAGGCTCTGGAGAATGACCTGCACCTGCCCCATAAACTGGTAAGTCTTCCTTCTGGCTTCATCCGACCAAGCACACAAAGCTGCATACCGGGTTGTTTGACATCACGAGGGGCAGGACTACAAGTCACCCCACCTGTGTGGCACATGTTAAAATGATGTTTAAAACCAGTTTTCCAGGGCGCCTGGGTGGCTCAGTTGGTTAAGCGACTGCCTTCGGCTCAGGTCATGATCCTGGAGTCCCGGGATCGAGTCCCGCATCGGGCTCCCTGCTCAGCAGGGAGTCTGCTTCTCCCTCTGACCCTCTTCCCTCTCGTGCTATCTCCATTCTCTCTCTCTCAAATAAATAAATAAAATCTTAAAAAAAAAAAAAACCAGTTTTCCTTCATATGTGGAAATGCTTTCTTTCCCTTGTTATGTTAGAAAGTAGGATTCAAAATTTCACGTAAAGAAGAGCAATTTCCACTGTGCAAACACACATGGAAAAAAGACTAACATATGACCAGTGTTTTTTCCGGAATGGTGGTGTTACTTAATTCTGTATATTTCTTGGTACTTTCCATGTTTTCCACAATTGGTATAAATTAAATTTCTTTAAATAATCTCTACACCCAACATGGGGCTTGAACTCAGGACCCTGGGATCAAGAATTGCATGCTCCATAGACTGAGCCAGCCGGGCACCACTGTAAATTAATTTTCTTTTTTAATTTTATTTTATGTTATGTTAGTCACCATACAATACATCATCAGTTTTTGATGTAGTGATCCACGCTTCACCGTTCTCATACAACCCCCAGTGCTCCATGCAGTATGTGTCCTCCCCAATACCCATCCCCAGGCTAACCCATCCCCCCACCCCCCTCCCCTCTAACACCCTCAGTTTGTTTCTCAGAGTCCATCGTCTCTCATGGTTCGTCTCTCCAACCGATTTCCCCCACTTCATTTTTCCCTTCCTTCTCCTAATGTCCTCCATGCTATTCCTTATGTTCCACAAATAAGTGAAACCGTATGATAATTGACTTTCTCTGCTTGACTTATTTCACTGAGCATAATCTCCTCCAGTCCCATCCATGTTGATGTAAAAGTTGGGTATTCATCCTTTCTGATGGCTGGGTAATATTCCATTGTAGATATGGACCACATCTTCTTTATCCATTTGTAAATTTTTTAAATATTTATTTATCTGCCAGAGAGAGACACAGCGAGAGATGGAACACAAGATGGAGTGGGAGAGGGAGGAGCAGGCTTCCCGCGGAGCAGGGAGCCCGATGCGGGGCTCGATCCCAGGACCCTGGGATCATGACCTGAGCCGAAGGCTCAACGACTGAGCCCCCCAGGCGCCCCCATCTATTTGTAAATTAATTTTTTATCAGAAAAATGAATGAACATGTTAGTTTGAGTCAACCATTTGCACCGGGGTCCGAGCAGACCCATCCTGTGCCACACAGCCCGTGCGCAGCGGCGATGTCCGCCAGACCCACCGGAGGGCGGGGGAGGAAAGAAGCAAAAGAACCAGGTAGAGGTGGTTCCGTTTCCGCTGCTGGAAGTGGTCCAGGAAGTGTTCCATCTGCCTGCTGATGGCCTCCAACAGTTTGCTGGAAGCGAACAAAAAGTCTTTGTTGTAGTTTCTCCAGGTGCTTCCATTTGGGCTTGGGGTCCCCAGAAACACACTTAGAATGTAAGGCCTCACTGCCCTGCTCTGTCCAGCGTTACCCCTGCCTGGGGGCCTGGCAGTGCGAAGCCCTCCCACTGTTCCGTCTGCGTGCCCCCATGTGCTCGCCAGGGCAGTGGCCACTGGGAGGGACACAGACAGCCCATTCCATAAAGGGCAACACCGTGGGACAGCAACTGAGGGGGATAAAGGAGAGGGCAGTGGGTGAGGAAGGCCTCCCCTGCGGGCAGGAGATGGGGGCGGGGGGCTTGCCCCGCGGGAGCAGAGACGGAGTAGCCGTAGGAAGAAGAGAAAGAAGGTTGCTCACACCATGGCCTGTTTCCCCTCCTGTCCCAACAGCGTGACTCTGCCAGGAACTTGGAGTGGCTGAAAACTGTGAAGGAAAGTCACGGGTCAGTAGAACTCTCTTCCCTGTCATTGGCAACGGCCATCAATGACAGAGGCATCTATGTGATCCGCGCCCCCACGGATGGCCAAAAGGTGAGCCTCCTTGCCTCCTGGCACGGCTGGCAGTGGTATGTGCAGGCTGCTGCCGAGTGGGGTGGGGGTGGGGCTCTGTCTCCAGAAAAACGACCTCTGAGCATACACAGTTCCACAGATCTCCCCAGACACGGTTCTGCAGTTGCTCCTGCCCGAGAGCCATGGAGGCCATGAGGAGGTGCGAGTCTACTCTTTGGAAGACCTCAAGGAGCTTTTGAACAAATTGATGTTGATGTCTGGCAAGAAAGATCACAGCAACGTTCAAGTAGAGATATTTTCCAAGGTGAGAACTTGTGATGACATTGGGGCCAAGCAGATGTCATGAGCTCATGTTTGGGCAGAGGACTCTCACTGCCCGGTAACCAGAGAAAGTCAGAAGGGTTTGAGTTTGGATTAGTTGATAGGAAGCACTCTGCTTTAAGTCCATGGAGCGGGGAGCCAGCAGGTCTGCAGTGCTCCAATTCCTGACCCCAAGAGACATCTGAGCTCCAACAGGCCCTTTGCTAGGTAGTCCCTTCTTAACATGCACAGACCGAATTGTCCTCAGTCCTCCGAATCGCAGAGGAGATAACCCCATGGGCAGGTCTTAGAAAGAGACTCCTCTTGCTTCGCTCACTCTGTAAATCAGTAGGAACCCGCAAAGACTGAAAGATTTACATAGTCATTTTTCATCAAAATCAAAAGTGACCATGTTGATAAAGGAATATCCATTTATGACGTAACAGTCTCTGGACTTTCTTATGGGTTTTTTCTTTCAAGGTCGTTTGTACTTTATGACGACATCCTTTAGCCTTACCAGAGAGTCCTGTGGGAGGCTGATGATGTAAATGGGGAAATAAGGCCTCTGTGATTACCCCGTGTGCTCAAGGCCACACAGGGAACCAGTGGAAAGACATGAACCCAAGTACTTCACGTTATATCTGCTTCATGTCATTCTGGATGATTGTATGAACTCTGGCGCAGCTCTGTGTTATCTGCCTCCTGGTTCCATTTGCCACAGGTGTTCTGCAACGTGCAGAGGCTTGTCCAAGCCTTCATAAACCTTTACTGTGCTGGAAACATGCTGTTCAGGGCCTGGGATGCCAAGGTGTATTGCTCCCCCTGGCACGGCGTCTCCATTTGGATGGACTTCTGCTTGGAGCCCATAAGCCAGCTCAAGGACAGCGGGCCAGTGGCCGAGCTGTTGGAGGACATCAGCAGGCAGATGGAGCACTTCCTGGACCACTGGAAGGACTTCGTGGCAGAGAAGCGGGCCAAGCACTTTTATCTCAACTACTACACCGCCGAGCAGCTGGTGTACCTGAGCACAGAGCTCAAGAGAGAGATGCCCAGCAACGCCGCTCTCACCATGCTGTCCTTCATCAAAGGCAACTGCACCCCGAAGGACATCGTGAAGGCCCTCGAGGGGCCCAGTGGTGAGGCTGCCAGGCACCACGAGAGCACGGTGGTTGAGGGGCTGCGACTCATGCTCCTGCATGAGTTCAGCCTGGTGGGCAAGCTGAGGGCCGTCATGGAGCAGTCGATGACATGCATGAGTGCCTTCCTGCCTCACTGCCTGGACCTGGAGACCCTTGGCCGCTGTCTGGCCCACCTGGGCTGGATGAGCGGACGTCCCGTGGAGCGGCTCCTCCCCAATGGCCTGTGCGCCGGCCAGCCCAACCTCCTCGTCTGTGGCCACTCTGAGGTGCTGTCGGCTGCCCTGGCCATCTACATGCAAACCCCGCACCAGCCGCTGCCCACCTTCGACGAGGTGCTGCTCTGCACCCCGGGAACCACGTTTGAGGAAGTGGCGCTACTCCTGCGCCGCTGTCTGACCCCCGGCTCCCGGGGACAGGGGATCTATAGCCTGCTGTACGTGGACCTGCTGAGCTACGAGGTGGCCTGCCAGGTGGAGGCGCTCTTCCTGAGGCTGTGCTCAAAGCCGCACCATGAGGACTTCCAGCTGGTGATGATCTGTGACTCCGAGCGGGAACATTGCCACCTGCCCTCGGCCTTCAGCCAGCACAAGGTCCTTGTCACCCCCCAGGCGCCCCTCCAGGACATCCAGGCCTACCTGGCTCGGCATTTCCAGGTCCCCGAGCACATGCCATCAGCTGCCAACGTGTTCCGGGACCGGATGTGCGTGGGGATCGTGGCCTCCAAGCGAGCGGGCGTTGGTAATGACAACTCCTGGGGTGGGTGGGCCCCTTGGGTCCCAGGGACCATCTGACAGCCCTTCCCTATCCAGCAGGGGCAACTCAGGTGGAGCCCTCTGTAGGGGGGTAAACTGAGTCCCAGGGAGGTTTTGATTCTCTGAAGCTGTAAATTGGGGCCTGTGCTGGAACGGGACACCCTTTCTCCCTGGGTTTCACGCTCAGGCGAGTCCAGGGAGCCAAGTCACCTTCCTCTAAACAGGCTTCTCTGAAACTCCCTCTCTTTTAAACTCTGTTGGCCACTTCAGGGTTGATGTGGGTCTTGAGAGCAGAGGGAGGTGTGATTGCTTTGTTTTGGGAAGAAACAGATGCCCCTTGACTTCCCTTCTATTGACTTCATCCCCTTAACAGCACAATCTTCTCTGCATGGAAAACCTGCACCTCCCCTCCCCTGGAAGTGGGTGGCACAGTCTCTGTCCTTCGATTCAGATTGCCACCATCCATGCCAGGGGAGGGCAAGGAGAGTGAGCAGGCAGCAGCAAGGAAGTTTGAGGGTTCAAAAGTGTATTCTTTAACTTGATGGTACATTGCTTCTCTTCTGAATTTTGTGTAGAGAAATGACTTGTAATAAATCTTTCTGGATTCTCTCATTCCTGGTCCACAGTCTTGGCACCTAATTTCCAGATTTTATTTTGTTTCATTTTTTTAAGATTTTGTTTATTTGAGAGAGATGAGCACGGAGGGAGGGGCAGAGGGAGAGGGACAAGCAGACTCAGCGCTGAGCGAGGAGCCCAACGTGGGGCTCAATCCCAAGACCCTGGATCCTGACCAGAGCAGAAATCAAGAGTCAGACGCTTAACCCACTGATTTCCATGTTTTAATGTTACAGGAAAGTCTCTCTATGTAGAGAGATTACATAGAAAACTGAAAATGAAGCTTAGAGGCAAAAAAGTGCCCCTAAAAGTGATCCGACTAATCGACCCTCAGGTGGATGAGAACCAGGTTTTGCACTCCCTCCTGCCTTTCCTGGAGGCTGACGGCCAGACGAGACCCACAATCTTCCACTTCGATGTGACCTCTTCAGTACGTGCCCCAGGATTTCAGTCGAGTGGCCCCCATGTCCCGCCCTGCCTCCTCCCCGTATAAAGAATTTCCTGTGTGTGTGTGACATTCAGCATCACCGTGTCCAAGGACAGAGTACTATCATCCTCAGGGTTGGGAGATCGCATCATCTTTTGTGTATGTGCTAACAAACCCATGTGATTCTGTCTCTAGGTGCAGACTGGACTTTGGGTGTTCATTTTCAAACTCCTCATCCTACGGTACTTAATGGATATAAATGGGAAAATGTGGTTTCGGAACCCATGCCATTTATACATCATTGAAATCCTGGAAAGGACTCCAACGCTGCCCAAGACACCTTCAAGGCGGGTGTGTACCACAGGGCCTTTTCACGTGTTTGTTCCAGCACTCCCCACTTCTCCTCAGTGAACTCACTGGCTGCCGTGTTAGTAAAGATAAATCAATCTTTACAGTTATTTTTTAATAATGTCTGGAATAAAAATACTCTTACTAGTTAGGAGTATCTTGAGTTTGATTTGTTCGATTTGGGATTGATGCTATTTGAGTGAAATGCCAGGGGTGCTCAGAACATGGTAAATCTAATGGGCACAGTCCGTCCTTCTTAATGCCAGCTAAGATGGGAAAGAGGCTCTTGTCATATACACTTCTTAACAAAAGGGAGCCTTGTGCACGCATGCGCACAAACACGTGTGCTTAGTAGAGATTTTGTTTCAGGAAGTTGGGTGACAAAGACCTAATGGTGGAGCAGGTAGCTCCCATGATGCCTCAACATACAAGAGAGCAACCTGTGCACAAAGGAGTCCACAGAAATCAATTTATGGAAAGTGCGTTCTTAAAAGGGTCCATCCAGTGTAGATCGCATGGAGGATTAAAATGCAGAAGATTTTTTAGGAAATGGAGTCATAACCATTTTATTTGTGTCTCCCCTTTCTAGAGTACATACACCCCCCACTTCAGTTTTCTTGATGTCTTCCCAAAAGTCACCTGCCGGCCTCCCAAAGAAGTGATAGACATGGAGCTGAATCCTGAAGAGAGCTACAGCGATCCAGGGATGGATCAGAGAGTGTTCTGCAGCGAGACTTTCCAGAGGCCTTACCAATATTTGAAACGGTTCCATGAGAAACAAAACCTAGACACGTTTCAGTACCAGGAAGGCTCCGTGGAAGGCACCCCTGGGGAATGCCTCCAGTATTTCCTAATTTACTGCGGGTTGATAAATCCGTCCTGGTCAGAGCTACGGAACTTTGCTGGGTTCCTGAATTATCAGCTCAGAGATTGTGAGGCCTCCCTCTTCTGTAACCCACAGGTGATTGGAGACACACTGCAAGGCTTCAAGAACTTCGTGGTCACCTTCATGATCTTCATGGCAAGAGATTTCGCCACACCGACACTTGATACATCCGATCAAAGCCCAGGGAGGCACACAGTCACCATGGATGGGGTCAGGGAAGAAGACCTAGCCCCTTTCACTCTCCGGAAGAGATGGGAGTCAGAGCCTCACCCATACGTGTTCTTCAATGGTGACCACACGTCCATGACCTTCATAGGCTTCCACATCCAGCCCAACAGGAATGGCAGCCTTGACGCCGTTGATCTCTCCAGAGGGAGGGTGATCAAGAAAGACGTCATAGGAATGGAACTGTACCAGGGGCTGTTGCTCCAGAGGGTGCCCTTCAATGTTGACTTTGATAAGCTGCCCAGACATGAGAAACTTGTAAAGCTCTGCCTGGCATTGGGGATCCAGTGGCCCATGGACCCTGATGAAACTTACGAGCTCACAATGGACAATATGCTGAAGATCCTTGCCATTGAGATGCGGTTCCGGTGTGGGATCCCCGTCATCATCATGGGAGAGACTGGCTGCGGGAAAACTAGGCTCATTAAATTCCTCAGCGACCTGCGACGCGGGGGTACCAAAGCCGAAACCATGAAGCTGGTCAAGGTCCATGGAGGAACCACTGCAGAGATGATCTACTCCAAAGTCCGGGAGGCAGAGAAACTTGCTATCTTCAATAAGGACCAACATCAGCTGGACACCATCTTGTTCTTTGATGAAGCCAATACAACGGAAGCCATAAGCTGTATCAAGGAAGTCCTGTGTGATCGTACAGTGGGCGGCCAGCCCCTGGCCAAAGACTCGGGACTGCATATCATAGCGGCCTGCAACCCTTACCGGAAGCACTCACAGGAGATGATCTGCCGTTTGGAGTCGGCCGGTTTGGGATACAGGGTCAGTGCCGAGGACACGGCGGAGAGGCTTGGCTCCATCCCCCTGAGGCAGCTGGTGTACCGAGTGCATGCTCTGCCACCCAGCCTGATCCCACTGGTGTGGGACTTCGGACAGCTGAATGACACCGCCGAAAATCTCTACATCCAGCAGATTGTGCAGAGGCTGGTGGACTCCATTGGTATAGATGAAGATGAGACTCGCGTGATCACAGAAGTACTTTCTGCCTCTCAGGGTTTTATGAGGACGAGAGTAAATGAGTGCAGCTTTGTCAGCCTCAGGGATGTGGAGCGCTGTGTCAAAGTGTTCACATGGTTTTACAGCCACAGTAGGATGCTCCTGTCAAAGCTGGATTCCTTTCTCCAGGAGTCCCACGTCAGCAAAAACAACTTGGAGAGAGATCCTGTCCTCTGGTCCCTGGTGCTAGCCCTCGGGGTGTGCTATCACGCCTCTTTAGAACAGAAGGAATCATACTGGAGAGCCATTTGCAGGCTCTTTCCGGAACCATATAATGACAGCAAGGTTATTCTGGAGGAGATAACTCAAACACAGGGTCTTTTTCTGAACGGTGTGTCTTTAAGGAAAACCATTGCTAAGAACTCAGCTTTGAAGGAGAATGTCTTCATGATGGTTATCTGCATTGAGCTGAAGATTCCCCTCTTCCTGGTGGGGAAGCCCGGCAGCTCCAAATCTCTTGCCAAGACCATCGTAGCAGATGCCATGCAAGGCCCGGCAGCTCACTCGGACCTCTTCCGGAGACTAAAGCAGGTCCATCTGGTATCATTCCAGTGCAGCCCACACTCTACCCCCCAAGGCATCATAAGCACCTTCAGACAGTGTGCCCGCTTCCAGCAGGGGAAGGACCTACAGCAGTACGTCTCTGTGGTGGTGTTGGATGAGGTTGGACTGGCAGAAGACTCGCCTAAAATGCCCCTGAAGGCTCTGCACCCACTGTTGGAATACGGATGCATTGAAGATGATCCTGCCCCCCATAAAAAGGTTGGCTTCATAGGCATTTCCAATTGGGCCCTGGACCCTGCCAAGATGAACCGGGGTATTTTTGTGTCACGCGGCAGTCCCAACAAGAAAGAGCTCATAGAGAGTGCTAAGGGGATTTGCTCTTCAGAGCCCCTTGTTCAACAAAGAGTCCAAGGGTACTTTGCACCCTTTGCCAGAGCCTATGAAACAGTGTGTCAGAAGCAAGACAAGGAATTCTTTGGGCTTCGTGACTACTATAGCCTCATCAAAATGGTCTTCACCAAGGCAAAGGCTTCTAATAAAGAGCCCTCCCCACGAGATATTACACAAGCTGTCCTTCGGAACTTCAGTGGCAAAGATGACATCCATGCTCTGGACATTTTTACAGCCAGTTTACCTGAGGCGAAATGCTCAGAAGAAGTCAGCACCATGCAGCTGATCCAGCAGAACATGTACAGTGACCTTCAGAAGGTGTCAGGCAAGGAGCTGGACGACTCTGAGTCCCGCTACCTGCTTGTGCTGACCAGAAACTACTCAGCCCTGCAGGTCCTGCAGCAGACGTTCTTCAGGAAGCACCAGCAGCCAGAGATCATTTTTGGTTCCAGCTTTCCCAAGGACCAAGAGTACACCCAGGTCTGTAGAAATATCAACCGAGTGAAGATCTGCATGGAAACTGGCAAGATGGTGGTGCTGCTCAACCTACAGAGCCTCTATGAGAGCCTCTACGATGCGCTCAATCAGTACTATGTCTACCTTGGAGGCCAGAAGTATGTGGACCTTGGTCTGGGGACCCATCGGGTCAAATGTCGGGTTCACCCAGACTTCCGCTTGATAGTCATTGAAGAGAAAGACGTTGTCTACAAACATTTTCCCATCCCTCTCATTAACCGGCTGGAGAAACACTATCTGGATATCAATACCGTTTTGGAGAAATGGCAGAAGAATATCGTAGAAGAGCTCAAGAGCTGGGTGGAGAAATTTATAGATGTGAAAGCAGGGCAGTCTGTAGCCAGACACAAATACAGCCCTTCTGAAGTCTTCATTGGCTACCACCCGGACGCGTGTGCCTCTGTGGTGCTCCAGGTCACCGAGAGGCTAGGTCACAGCATCTTGACTGAAGAACTGTACCAGAAGGTATCTGAGGAGGCCCAGTTGCTACTGCTGGGTTGTGCCACGCCAGATGCTGTGGTTAGGCTGGATGCTGCCTCCCTGGGTATGTTCGCCGCACAGTCCCTGTCTCAAGAATACCACCACAGGCAGCAACATAACTCCTTTGCAGACTTCCTTCAGGCTCAGCTTCGCACCATGGATCTGGAACGCCGTGTCATCTTCACAGAGGTGATAATTTTATGCTCGTCCTCCTTCATCTCAGAGGCCTTGCATCCCTTGTTTCAAGAATTCAGGATTCTTTTCAAGCCAGTGTTCAGAAGTCATAAATGGATATGTTGAGACTTTAGTTTCTCTCCACTAAGTGCAAGGAAACCCAGATACTCACAAAAATTCAACAAAAGCAAGTTTTGAGTGCCTGTTTCTATGCAGAGCTCTGTGCTGATAGTAAAATTATATACGGTGTTCACTTCAACAAATGAAGTGACACATTTGAGTACCGTGCTGAGGGCACCAAGGATATAAAAATGCATTGGCACAGTTCTTGGCCTTGGTCAGCATACGGTGTAAGACTCGTGAACGGATGCCTTTGGCATCACACGACATTGCTATCCATAGGGGCAGAAAGGAGCAATGCACATGAGAGTTTGAGGTCAGAGGACCCTCAAGCCGATTGTGAAATGCGGCTGGGAAAGTATTATAGGCAGAGGTTCCTACTTGAGCAAAGGTGTGAAACCGTGCCATCTGTGCCAGAAACAAGGAACTGGTCGCTGTGCGGTGTGAAGCTCGAGGGTGCAAGGGCCAAGAGATGGGGATGAGATGCCATTGGAGAGACTTCATGGAGGGTCTGATCAGTGGTGCTGATGAGCTGGGTCTGCCGTGGAGAGGGGAGGGATAGAGAAATGCATATTGAGGTGTGTCCCATTGCCTGGGAGAGGGAGGAGAAAGCCTGATAAAGAGACTATCACAGAAAAGGGAGGGAGGCTGCTGTACCAGTTCAGTCTAAGTAGAGGAGCGGGTAGATGGAATGAGAAATAGTTAGGATGTGATTGGCAGACCTAGTGACTTATTCCATCTGGGGGCTGTGGAAAACGAAGGGGTCTAGGGATGGTTTCCTGGATTCTTCCTTGGATGACTGGAGGTTTGGTTAATTATAGTCCAGGAATGAGCCGCAAACATTGGTGGTAAATTCCATTTGGGACAGACTTTGATGCCCCTGTGGCATCCAGGCAGACATGTCTGTCATGCAGTTGGATATAGGAATCAGAAGCTCAGTGGTAAGGCCAGCCTGGAGTTAGGGGTTCGGGAACTATGATATCTGCACGTCCACAGGAGTGTTTTGATTTGCTCTGTGTGTGGGGGGGGTGTGATCCAGTGTTACAGGAGAATTGGTCATAACTGTGGGGCAGAAGGAGCACTGTCCATTTGAACTCCATCTGGAAGTATGCAGAAGACCAGGAGGGAGGAATGGCATTTGTGTTGAGCCCTAAGGGATCATCAGAATTTCTAGGAGGGGCCAGGCAGGAAGAGACACTGGAGTCCAAGGAGATTTGAAGGCACCTGGGGACGGGATGAGTCTTCTTTCCCATACCTTTTGATTTCATAGGTTTTGTTTGCCTCAACACTGCCTCATTTTTTTATTTTTTATTTTATTATTTTTTAAAGATTTTACTTACTCATTCCAAGAGACACAGCGAGAGAGGGAACACAAGCAGGGGGAGTGGGAGAGGGAAAAACAGGCTTCCCGTGAAGCAGGGAGCCCGATGCGGGGCTCGATCCCAGGACCCTGGGATGGTGACCTGAGCTGAAGGCAGCCGCTTAATGACTGAGCCACCCAGGTGCCCCATGCCTCATTTTTTTAAAACTCCTCTGGGTTTGGATTCTTTTCTGTGTACCAAATGCACAGTGCATGCTGGGCCCATAGAAGATATTTGCTCAACATTCTCATGTTTCTAATCCTAGCAGACCTGCAACCTTCCTTGAATTCTAGCAAATAATTAGCATTTCCTGACTTTGCAGATCACCACTTTCTCCAGACTGCTGACCAGCCGTGACTGTGAAAGTTTGGAATCAGAAGTAATGGATGGAGCTCTGAGGCCCACGGTCCTGTCCCTGCAGCAGTTTGACACCGAGAGCTCATTCCTCAGAAAAGTCCAGTGAGGCTTCCCCCCTTCCCTCCCTGTCCGCCCCCCCCGCCCAGCTCTGACGGCTCTGTGCTTCACATGCGTGACTGCCTGGACCACTGGTGCTGGCACCAGCCCTGGTTAGTGAACACCAAGGACACGTGACGGAGAAGGACAGTGTCCCATTCTCCTTGTGCCCCATCTCTACTGCCTTCTGCATGGGCATCCTTCTCTTAGGGAAGCATTTACTGGAGTTTATGTGCTCTCCACTGGCTTGTCTGCTCACACAGAGGAGAACCCCACCGGAGTGATTCCACACCAATAAATTCCTTCAAATTTCCCATCCCTCTGGGGAATTTTATCACCCATTGTTTAGGGCAGACAATTTCCTTTTTCTTTCAGAAACTGCTTAACTAACGTAGCCAGATGTAAAATCCTTATTATTCAAACGGATTTTGAAGATGGAGTCCGTAGTGCTCAGCTCATCGCTTCAGCTAAGTATGTTTTTGTTATTTTCCTCAGAAACTACCCAGAAAACTCAAATTTTATTCAGGAGTTCCTAAAGAATTTCTTCCCTGAAAACAGTATGGTATTAGAATAAACAAAGAAATAAAAATAAAAGGACTCTTGCTTTTCATTCCCCACAGATAAGGGGCTAGAGAAAAGGCTAAAACAAGGCAAAAATGGTAAAATGCCAAGAGGTGTAAATAATAGATTATTAGTAGGATATGAAAGAATATCCTAGGACATATCGTCTGCAGATATGTCTTGGTAATTATTAATGTTAAATTATATAATTTGAATATATTGCAAGTTGAAGAGCAATCAGTATGTAAAAGCTTTCATTTGTATTTATTGGACGTTTTTTATAGTATTAGTGTAGCAGAAGTTTGATACTTTTAGAATTAACTGTGTTCTCTTATTAAGTTAGGGGAAAGGTGATTTCTGGGCCTTTGAAGGCATTGGAAGCCATATTTCATAGCATGGTTGTGGGTTCACAGAATCCTTCTCAGGATGGAAAGTTCAGCTAGCCTTACCCATTGAGGGTTGTAGGACAGGGCTCCTGGTCAATAAGGAGATGGCACTTCAAAGCAGAGGGACACAGGAGTGGGGAAGAAAACGTACCTGTTGGGACAGAGCTTGCCCTCCTTCTCTCATGAGAGGAGACAGTGAGCGTGAGGGTATGAAATTTATCTCGCGGCACCTGGGGGGCTCAGTCGGTGAAGTGTCTGCCTTCGGCTCAGGTCATGATCTCGGGGTCCTGAGATCGAGCCCCACATTGGGCTCGCTGCTCAGCAGGAAGCCTGCTTCTCCCTCTCCCACTCCCCCTGCTTGTGTTCCCTCTCTCGCTGTGTCTCTGTCAAATAAATAAATAAAAATATTTTTTTAAAAAACTAATCAGCTGGGGTGCCTGGGTGGCTCAGTTGGTTGAGCGGCTGCCTTAGGCTCAGGTCATGATCTCAGGGTCCTGGGATCGAGCCCCGCATTGGGCTCCCTGCTCAGCGGGGAGCCTGCTTTTCCCTCCTCCACTCCCCCTGCTTGTGCTCAGACTCTCTCTGTCAAATAAATAAATAAAATCTTAAAAAAAAAAAAAAGAGAAGAAACTTATCTAAAGCTAAAAAGACACGAGATTGAACACAGCTACTCATAGGATACCCTTCAGCCACTTCACGACTTTGGTTTTGTTTATTTGCTTGTTTTTTTTGTTTTGTCTTTGCTTGTTTGTTTTAAAATAGGTATTCTGCCATAAATGAAATCAACAAGATGCAAGGCAGTAAGGACTGCATCTTGGTCTATTTTATCACAAAACTGTCCCGGATGGGAAGTGGAGCATCCTACGTGGGATTCCATGGAGGTAGGATGAAAATGTTAGTGAAAATGCTTATTTAAATCACGTCTGAGCTCTTTCTGATTTGGTCCCATGGTATACAAGTCTGGAATTAGAACATTGATGTTAATCTCAGCAATACTCGTTTCAGATTCAGTGAGCTTTCTTACCAGTGGTTACCGCGGGAAACACTCATGTCTGGACTTGCTGCTCCAGCATACAGCATCCCCTTTATAGACCAGTAGATAAACGCTTGATTAGCCTCCCTGGGTCCTTGCCCTTTGTAACACGGACAACCCAGAGAAGATCCTGCCGGCTGGTACTGTTACAAAAGCACCAATACTTTCTTCCTGTTTCTGGAGGGAGGGAAATGCTATCTTAAACCTCTCTCTCCTTTTCTTCTAAGAATTAAACCAACTAATATGTTAAGAAAATTGGTATTCTAGAAATTGGCAGATAACAGTTTAGAGAATGGGAGGCATGTCTTGCCAGTTTCCCACACTCTTTACTAACTGTGACACAGCAAGTATAATGCAAAATGTAAAAAGACTCAAAAGCCTTCAGATACCCTTTACAAAAAGGTAGTTGTCTTCATTCTTACAACCGATGTTCATGTTTTGGTCATTGGCATAGACACAGAGCCAGGTGGTTTCTGCATGGATTCCAGGCTTTGGGCGTCAGGGTACACATCACTGAGCAGCAGTGTATTGAAACATTGGGACACGTGGCGTATCCCTGCTTGTGGCTGACAAGAGGACACCAGGAAAGGCATGGGGAGACTCCAGGTGGCTTCTACTTCCCACAGGGCTGTGGCAGTCTGTGCACATTGACGATCTCCGGAAGTCCACGGTCATGGTGTCAGATGTGACGAAGTTGCAGGATGTGGCCATCAGCCAGCTCTTTAAGCCAGAAGGGAGCCCCGAGTGTAAGTCAGGAGGAAGCCTTTGGGAATGTAGGGTAGGTGTGGCAGCCAGGGGTGCAGAGTGCGGGGAGGTGCGCTGCTGTCCCGTGCGCCAGCCCTTGTCCCCATTGAGTCCTTGCACCTGCCCCAGTGGGGCACGAGTCCACGGGCACTGCCTGCTCCTTCCCACAGCCAGGCACTGGCCAGGAGTCCCACATGGGAAAGCGGGTCTCTGTGGACGCGGCAGGCTGTGAAGTGGGGGTCTCTGCCATGTGCCGCACCCTGGTTGCCGGGGCTGTGTGTCAGCTGTGCACCCTGGACGGGAGGAAGGGTTGCCTCTGGTGGCCCGCACAGACGGGGCCGGTCAGAGGCCAGCCTACGTGACCCGTGGCCTCTCCTGTGGGGCCTGCAGTGGGGGCAAGGGGCCGGGAGGCCTGTGGGGAGAGCCCACGTGCTGCTCCTGTCCCCAGCAGCTTGTCTGTGCTTCTGTTGCAGCGGAGACAGGACACGGGGCCGGAGACGGCCGGGAGGAGGCAGAGGAAACCCAGCCTGCAGGGTCAGGGGAGGCGGCCAAGGCGGGCTTGGGAACAGAAGGCCCTGAGTTGTTGCGCAGCCGATGCGCTGAGCGAGGCAGGAGTAATGTGAGTTCTGGCTCTTTCTCGTTCTTGGGCCTCCCGGAAGGCTAGGCTACCCGGCAGGTGGCCTCCTCCTGCTCACCCCTGGAGTAGAGGCCCTAGACCAGGGCAGGGTTCCCCATGGTGGAGTCCCCCGGCAGTGGCCCTCAAAGGGACGGGGAAGGCTGCGGGGCCAGGAGACCTTACCGTCCCCGCCATACACATGCAGATCATGGACACCACCAGCCTGCTGCAGAGCTGCATACAGGGTGCCGTGGGCATGCTCAGGGACCAGGAGGGCCGCCCTCGCAGCATGCGGAGAGTGGAGATTCTTCTCGGCCTCTTGAATGAGGATGACGCGGAGAAAGGTGCAGCGTCCCGGGGTCACACACAGGCGGGCGCCCCCTCACGAGTGCCCATGGGACGCGCCCAGGACTCGGTTCCTCTGCTCTTTTGCAGCTGCTTTCCTGCGGTTGTGCAAGGCACGCCTCTGTGCCCTCCTCGAGCAGCAGGAGGAGAACGGCTTCTTCAACGTGAAGGCGTGGGTGTCGAGGGAAGCCTTGAATCAGGATGCTCTCCAAGAGGCAGGCACATTCAGGTACTGGGACGAAGGGCGCCAGTTGGGGGGATGAGATGTGGTGGTGGGGCAGGAGTGCCCCGGCCGTGGATGGCTCGGCCACCCGCTTCTTCCTAAAGCTCTGAGCGGTTCAGAGTGGTCACATGTTTTCTCGGAAAGGTGCAGGATGGTCTGGGTGGTGGGTACATGGGGTTTGCTAGACACTTCTCTACTTCTCTGCATGTTTACGTTCTGTCCTAACAACAACAAAAACGGAACACTTGTTCTTGCAGGATGTAAACATTGGCCCGCGTGTTCGTCCCACGGAGATAGCTGCTGTTGTAGGTTGTTGAGGAGGTGATAGGCAGGGAGGGAGGGAAAATGACTGCCCCAGGCCTGCAGCTTGGTTGAAGTTACGTGATAACTACCGACATCAGACCCAGGAGTGTTCATCCATCGGCCATGGTCCTTTTTCTGTAAAACCCTGACCGTTTTTTCAGGACTAAGTGAGACAATCCGTGTCATGGAGGGAGACGGGATGCTGTGGGTTCCCCAGGGAAGATTCGTCCTCCCCTCGTCCGCAGAGTCCTCGTGGGCTTGTGACAGTCACTCTGCCCCTGGTTTCCTCACTTCTGAGAGAACGTTCAGCTCATCTGAAGCCCCTCCCATCCAGTCTTCCCAGCTGTGATCCGTGTGGCTTCAGGGACACTGCCTTTGTGTGATGGGCAGGAGAGAAATGTGGGAGCCCAGAGTTGAGGGGAAGGTGTGAGCTTGTCGGTGTTGGTTTCTCCTGTGAGGGGATTTCTGCGTCAGTTTTCTTCTCTAGTTACCCTTAATGTCTTTCCTACTTTCACTTTCTGAGTGAGGAATTTTAGATCAGATCTGAATCTAGATCGTTTCCCTTGGTCACTCCTCACAGATATTACTAAATACTTAATTTCACATCAGTACTCCTTAAAATCTGCATTTTTGGTGCCTCTCCAGCCACCGGACTTCCCACACTTGCCAGGTGTTCCAAGCGGCATGTGGCCCCACTTCTGTCTGCTCTGCCATTGGCTGTGGCTTCGGGGCTGGCCCACCCTTAGCAGCCGCCGGTGCTCTGCACACACCTTCGTGGAGTGATTAGGACCACACCTGTAGCTCCCCTGTGTCAGCTGTCAGGTGGGCTCTGGAGCCTGCTAGCCCACTCTCACGATCTCGACATCTGTCTCTGTTTACCATCCACATACTTGGGACCCAAGTCATTTGTCCTCTCGGGATTAAACTCCAAGGCGTGATAGTCCTGGTTGTTCCTGACATCCGAGGTCTGCATGCCTGTCAAGGTCCGCCTTCCTGGGTGCCCTGCAGCCAGCCTTCTACACTTTCCCGATATGGGCTCTCTTTCCTTCAGTCAAGTGCTCTCTTGATCGTTAGCATGCTTTGTTTCCTCAGTAGACACTTGTGAATTCTCGCCAGGTCCCTGCACACCACATACTTTAAGCAGGAAATCATCTTTCTTTCTTCTTTTCAAAATGGAGCCTGAATTGGTCTCCTTGACTAGCTGGTAGTAGATGTCTTACAGCGTGTTACAGAGTTTATGATTGTGTATAAACGTGATAACAGTGAAGGACAGCATAGTTCATAGAAGCAGTGAAATGTCCCTCTGGATATATAAACACTCAGATCCAGCGTACACAACCATCAACAAGAGCTACCTTATAGAGAAACAGGTACTTTCCTGTTTTGCTTGACCTGGAACACATTTATTTTGCCTTGTGCTTTATTATAGTCTCTCCACAACTGTTTTTTTTTTCCTTAGAGTAACATTTATTTTTTTTCCCAAATGCCACATGGTCCCTCTTTTCTTTATAGAGCCTGGATGACTTGCTCTGGGCAATTAGCTGTATAACAGAATTCAACAAATCCTACTTGGCCTTTTCAGGGAACCGATGACCATTTTTTCCATGTAGAATTAAGGTCCGTTCCAGTCCTGCCTCCAATCCTAGAAGTTTCTATTTGTGAATTTTTCTTCAAGTACTTAAAAACAATGGCAGTTAGCATTTACTGCCATAGCCGTAGCGTGGAATCGGTAGACCAGACCTGTTGTTCCAGCCCAGAAGGAGCCAAATGTCGAAAGGAGGCAGGACTTCCATGGCAGCGTGTGCTTGTCGAGCTGCGAACGAGATCTCCTCTTCCCTGCGCTGCAGGCAGACCCTCTGGAAGCGGGTCCAGGGTGTGGTGACCCCTCTCCTGGCGAGCATGGTATCTGTCCTGGACAGAGACAGCAACCTCGAGCTACTGATCAGGCCAGACTCTCCATCCTGGACAAGAGATCTTTGGATGTTTATTTTCCGGGACATGAAGCTTCTGAACATTCCTCTTGTGACAAACGATACGAGGTAAATAGGAGAGTTTCTTTATGTGGGAAGGGAAAAAAATTGTAATGCCGCAGAAGTCTTCATGTGCTCTTCCAAGTAATTGATGAAGCCTAGGTTTCAATTTCAGAATCACATTTATTTTATTTTTTAATTTTTTAAGATTTTATTTTTAAGTACTCTCTACATACAGCATGGGGCTCGAAATCACAACCCCAAGATCAGGTGTCACACGTTCCACCAACGGAGCCAGCCAGGTGCCCCTGAATCACATATATTTTAAAAGCTGCGTCCTTTTGCAGCCTGAGGGTGATGGCATTACAGTAACAAATGGGAGTTCTGGGAAGTTCTGAGAAATCCTGGTCTCATTCCCCTTCCTCATTTCCCTGCTTCCGGAGCACCTGTCACAGGTAGAATTGCCAGCTTCAGCTTTGTCTACACTGGCGAGGCTGTGCTTCAGAGAGCTGTTTGATCTGTGCGGCTCTGCCTGTTCCTCACTCTGTGGCACGACCCACACGGCCCACCCTGGGCCTGCTCTTGCACAACTCACTCTCAGCAGGCCTCCAAAAAGCTTCCTCTTGGATTTCAGGGGCTTCAGTTCTGGAGTATGGGTGAATAAAGAGTATACAGGTAACTGGGATTCTGAATCTCCAGTGAAAACACTTACTCAGAAGACAAGACACCGTTGGCCGTGAGGGAAAGGGTTGCTTCAGACAAGCCATGTACCATACGTGTCGGTGGAGGGTGAGGGTAGGTCCAGACCCCGCAAGACCCGGTTCTGGCCCAGACGTGGGGCAGCCTGCTTGACTCTTCCCAGCCTTGGTTCGTTTCTGTTTGTCTGTGAGCCAGAGATGATCTGTGGACGTCCTGGATTCCTTTGTAACAGAGGCCCTGAGCTGTGAAATGGGCCAGCAGGCTGCCTCTCAAGCCTTTTAGGCACGTGTGTTGTTGAGCACGGAGGGGAGCGGGCGTCCGTGCGGGTCTCCTGCCTCGAGCAGCCTCCCGCTGATCCTGTCCTTTGTCCTCCTTTGCCTGACTGCAGACCTAAGAGTGAGGTGCCCTACATCACGGTGCAGAGCTACATGAACCCTCCCGAGGACGTGTCCGGTGACGTCCCGTTTAGCTGGAGAATCAAAGACTATCTGGAGGAACTGCGGGTCCAGGCTCATTACATCACTGGAGCTGAAGGTGAGCCCAGGGATGTGGTGAAACAGGACAGGTGCTGACTCGCTGTCATAAGTGGGTCATTGCCATTAGGAGGCTTCTGGACAGCTAGGGCACTGGCACTCAGGAGATGTCCCTAAGTGAGCCTTTCCCAACAGTGTCAGTGACCAGAGTGGAATAGCTTCCTCCAAACTGAGCGGTCAGTGTCCTGAACCACGAGGCTCCTTGTTCTGCTGTCACAGGCCAAACAGCTTGGCCATAGGCGTCCCAGGAAATCCGGGGGTAGTGCATGCTTTTGCAAAAGTCATCTTTCATATGTGAGATAGTCTTTTCAAAGTTTACTTATGGTATTACCTTTGGAAAAAAACAGGTCAAGGGGCACCTGGGTGGCTCAGTCTATTAAGCGTCTGCCTTCAGCTCAGGTCATGATCCCAGGGTCCTGGGATGGAGCCCTGCATCGGGCTCCCTGCTCCGCGGGGAGGCAGCTTCTTTCTCTCTCTGTCTCCCTCTCTCCCCCCCCCCCGCCCCTCTCTACTGCTCGTTCTCTCTCTCTCTCATTCTCTCTCAAATACATAAGTAAAAATCTTAAAAAAAAAAAACAAAAGGTTAAAATACTTGACCATCTTACTTCTCTGGGTATACATTTTGCCACTTTCTCTGAACAAATTGAAGCAGTCTCTGACCCGAGGAAAGAGTATTTCTTTTTTTCAAGACTGTACCCTAACTGACCCTGCTTTCCTGCGATAGCATGTGACTTAGGGGCCTGCACTCATCCACTAGAGGCAGGTCTTTCTGGTTTGAACAGCATGTGACCCCAGCCCCTGAAGAGCAGCCCACTCATTCCTGACCCGCTTGGATCCTGCGGTTCCTGAAGCACATTATGTTGCTAGCCATAGAGCCTGGTCTGTCTCAGGTCGTTTTATCCCTTGGGGCCAGCTAGGCTGTTCGTGACAAATCTAACATCTGTTCTGCCTTTGTTTCTGTTACCCCACTGGAAAAACATCTCAAATGTCTAGAAAGGACCCTTAAATCCTGCAGCTCACTCCCCTTTGCCAAGAGCCGCCATTCAGCGGAGCCTTATCCGCGGTTACTGCTTGCAGAGCTGCCCTTCCCCAGGAGATGCGAGGTGTTCTGAATGTAGGGCAAGAGTCACACCTCACGTTCTCCCTCCACACCCTCCACTGCTCTCCTCTGCAGGAGTGTCGAAGAAGTTAGTGGAAATCTTTCGGCAGACCCCGCTGGGCAGGTTTCTTGCTCAGCTCAGTGTAGAATGGCAGCAAGAACTGTTTATGTGCTACATTAAGGACTTTCTCCTCTTGACGATGAGAGTGTCCACGTGCGAAGAACTGAAGGTAAGTGCTGGGTCTGGGGCGGGGTGATGCTGGTGTCACGTGGACGGGTGCAAGCCATTCTTCCACTGCTGAGTGTGCTTGACCCTCAGCCCCCACCTGGGGCCCCCAAACCATGGGCTTTTCGTTAACACAAGGAAGACCTCTAATTTCCCTATAACACCTTCTTTTTAAATGTAGAGTTTCTCTTGAAGAAAATTAGGTGAATATTTAACTGACCATTACAGACAATAACAGTAACTGAAATTTTAGTGGACATTATGATACTTCCAATGACCGAAGGATTTCAAACTTAAGTACATAAAAAAAGAAAGTGACAAATTTGAGGAGAACGTATTTACAACCAGTATGATTAAGGGTTAATAAAATATTCTTAGGAATTTAGGGGCGTCCAACTGGCTCCATTGGTGGAGTGTGTGACGCTTGATCTCAGGGTTGTGAGTTCGAGCCCCATGTTGGGTGTACGGATTACTTAAAAATATAAAATAAAATTGGGGGCCTGGGTGGCTCAGTAGGTTAAGCCTCTGACTCTTGATCTCGGCTTAGGTCTTGATCTCAGGGTCCTGGGTTCAAGCCCCACGTTGGGCTCCACACAGGGCATGTAGCCTACTTAAAAAAATAAAGTGAAATAAAACATCCTTAGGAATCAATAAGGAAGTCTCCTTGGGGCACCTGGGTGGCTCAGTCGGTTAAGCATTTGCCTTTGGCTCAGGTCATGATCCCGGAGTCCCTGGAGGGAGAGCCAGAGGGGCCGAGGGAGAGCCAGAGGGGCTAAGGGAAACGGAGAGAATCCTGGGAAGACTCAACCACTGAGCGTGGAGCCCAACACAGATTTTGATCTCATGACCCTGATATCACAACCTGAGCCAAAATCAGGAGTCGGATGCTTAACCCACTGAGCCACCCAGGCGCCCCAGAGAGTCTCCTAATTTTAAAAAATAGGTGAAAGTTATATAAACTAAGAATTACTAGAATAATTATACAGAGATCTAGAAACATTAGAAAAACTAGCCAGCCTCACTGGTAAGTCAACAGAACGTGAGTGGTTTTTAGATACTGCTTTTACCTGCCCACGTAGCAGGACTGGTTTGTGACAAGGCCAGAGGCTTCTCCATTGCTGGGAATCAGCCAGTGCTCCTGGAAAAGCCTGGAGCCATGGATTGGGAACCTAACAAAATCTGAACCAGAGTTTTTGTCCTGAGAGCATTATCAGATGTGGGCACACATTTTACCCATGGGAATGTTCTTTCCAGCTTTGTTTCTTAAAACGAAAAAATAGAAACAATTTAATTGTCCATCATAAAAGGTCAGGCAAATTAAGTTACAGCCATTTGATTGGTGAATTTTTATTGTAATCGGCGCACACATTAACAATGGTGTTCTTCAAGTGTAATTAATGATGGAAATGTTCATAATGTGATATTAAGTGGGGGAAAGTCAGGAATACACCATGGTTGTAATTTGAGGACAAAACGGAGGCAGGATATGGGTATAAAATGCCTAGAAGGGGTGACACCTCAAAGTACCCAGGGATGGTAACAGTGTGCGTGGTTTTTAATGTTCTCTTCTGTCATTTCTGAGCAGTTCAAATTTTCCACTGTGAAAATGTATCTTTTCTTTGTATTTTACAAATGTACAGTAAAAGCTTGTTTCTCATCCCAGGTTTTGCAGGTGGCACTGGGGTCCTGCATCAACCAAATGCAGGCAGGGAGGCCAGAGGAAGATGTCTCCTTAACGTGGGTGCACCTCGCTTATCAGCACTTCAGGGGCCGGCTGCAGAACTTGTCCAGAATCTTGACTGTCTACCCCCAGATTCTACAAGTGCTGTTTTACAACATAACAGAAGGCCCATGGAACACCAGATTGGATGGACATGAGCTAGTATGGCCTCTCGTGGAGAGAGTTTGTGCTCAGAGTCAGGGCTTGGCCTTCCTGGAGCAGGGCGGGTGGGGGGGCTTGCTTCCAGGGCCGCCTGGGATGGGAAAGCCCGGGAGCTGTGTTCTGCACAGGAGACTGCTTCCCAGGGCAGGTGTGCCTGGGTAAGGCAGAGATGTGAGGAACACATCTGACTCATGCCTTCTATGGCCCAGGATGAGAAGAGTTGAGGCTCAAGCCTGGAGCACGAGAACACACTTGGGGTCATAGCCTGGACCTCTGGACTTAGCACTTAGAGCAGTGACAAGGGGTGAGGGTGCTGCTTCGTCAGGTGCTTGTTCTCTGTCCCCCCAGACCCTGGATGCACTGGCAGCAGTGGCCTGCACGGAGGTGCTGACAAGGGACATCCTGCAGCCCAGCCCCCAGGTGTGGCTGCAGACGGTGAAGAATCTGTCCATGCCGCTGGAGCTCCTGGGCTCTGACGGGTACCTGCCAAGCTGCGGGAGGGTGGCCAGAGATGTCATCAGGGAAGTCAGGTGAGACCACCAGCCCGGTCCCCACCTGTCCCTTCCCCATGTGCTCACCTGCGGCCGGCCGGGTCCCGGGCAGGTGGGGTTCTCTTGCCCTGGAAAAGGGTCCTCTCCTCACTCACATCCCATCCCATCTGCTGAACCTTCTTCAGTGCCAGGCAGCATGCTGATGCTGGAGACACAGAGAGGGAAACCGCATTCGGGGAGTGCTCGGGGTGCAGGCAGGACGGAAGGGAGCAGATGCTCGGGGTCCCATGGGAGAAACGCTGGCAGAAGGGAGCAGTGGGAAGGGGCCCCAGGCAGGACCGTGGGCACCAGCGGGGCAGAGGAGAGGCGACAAGCAGTTAGGCTAGGCATCCCGTGCCGGCCTTCCAGAGCGAGGCAGTACTCACGCGGCACAGGCTGCGTGTAGGATGTGGCACCCTGGTCCGCTCTGCTCTGCAAGTCTTAGGGAGGCCGTGAGGGGCACAGGGAGGTGGCTGGGAGGTGGCTGGGGGTCGGGAGCACACAGTCTTCCCTCTGCCTTCACCCCACCCCTTTCTCGGATCCTGCCCTGTCCCCTCCGCCCGGCGTCTCAGACGCTATTGTCTGAGCTCAGGGAGTGACAGCCCTCTCTCACAGAGCCCATTGGAACCGCATTTTCCCCGTGGCCCTTTTTGTGGAACACGTGCTCCTGGGGGTCGAGAGCCAGATTCCTGAGCTGCAGGCGCTGGTGACTGAGTATGTCTTCCTGCTGAACAAGGTGAGTGCTTGGGCCGGGCTGGCTCAGCTTGCAGCACACGTGGGCCTCCTTCCAGGGTGCAGGACCCTGAGGCATCATCGGACATTTATCTGTGGGGCGGTACATCCCCTTCCAGCTGAGAGTCGCACCTGGAAGTGCAGAGGAGCGTGATTTTATCACGTGAGGCATGACATCTGCCGTGTGCAGGTGTTTGTCTACCTCTCATGAGAGCCAGTCAGGGTTCCCCAGCAGGAATGGAAGCAACTCAGGCTGAGGCAGGGAGGATGCTCTGGAACCCGGGGGATGGCTGAGGGGTGGGCTCCACCCACCGGAACCCAGGCCTCCGGTGGGCTCAGACCGGCCCAGCCCAGCAACGTGGTCCCTGGGGAGGCCAGGTTTGCACGAGAGCGCCAGTGGGCTATTGGCTTCTAAGCAGGGGCTGTGGTGGACCAAGGAAACGGGAAGCCCCGGGGCCTCTGCCACTTGACACCCTTCATAAAGTTAGCGACGCACAGGACAGTGCCCCTGCAGGAAAAGCCACCATCTCTGTGCCCATGCACTCAGCAACAATGACCACTCAGCCAAAGATGGCTTCTGCCTCAGTTACCCCTGGAGCCTCGCACGAATGCATCTAACAGCTTTAGCTGTCCAGGCTCTGACATGCAGGGGGCACACTCTGAGGAGGCTGACATGGACACCAGGAGCCAGTCTCCTCCTCAGTGACCAGAATATCAGTGGCAGAAACAAAATGTTAGGCTACTTCTCTCACATGACCGTGTGAGCCTAAGCAGTCTGAGGCAGCGGACGGCTCCCCCCCGTCAGGTGCCCCATCTCCTCTGAGTTGCCCCTTTGTTGTCCTCACTACACAACCTCCACCTCGTGGTCTGAGAAGGCCCTTCTTGCCGTCATGTGCCGCGGGACACGAAGCATGGGCCATTTTGAGAGCACAAGCCAGAGTATGTCCACACCACTGCAGGTCATAGCTCACTGCCCTAAATGCAGTCATGGCCTCACCTAGCCACAGAGGAGGTAGGGACACCTCGGGTGGCGTGGTTATACGCCCAGCTAGAACCTGGAGTTTCTTTTGATGAGAGGAAAGTGGAGAAAACTCTAGAAAAAGCTCGTGCTCTGGCACCCAGGATCAGCACAAGGACCATGGTACTTCTTCCTGCACAGGGACCACCTGTAGCCTCTCTCCGAGCCCCACCCCATCACTGGCCAGGAGCCTGGGGGCTGCTCCATCCGTCCAGCCAGTCCAGTGGCTCCTAATGGCCAGGTGGCCAGCAAGCCAAAAGAGCAGTTATCAGGTCCCTGCACGCCAGTACGCACACACACGCAGGCCTTTGCAGGCTAGGTGTGTGGGGAGGTCTATAGGCCAGTAAAGTCACCCCAGGAACTTACTGGGTTTCTGGTGTGTTTCTTCCCAGTCAGATCTGGGTGTGAATGACCAGAGCCAGAGGTCTTCTCTCATGCATTTTCACACCTGAAGGCTCTCGTGTTTATGGCCTCATGCTCTCCTTGCCCCTCCAAGGCCAGCCTTGAGGCCACTCGCAACAGGAGGCCAGAGGGGGAACATTGCCTGCAGGGAAGGTTCCCGTCGTCTGGCTGGGAAGGAAGGCTTAACCGGGCGAGGCCTGGGGTCTCAACTCATCTTCTACTGGGGCCACCTTTTGAGAGCTGCCACTTAGAGTGAGCCTGCGCTAGCAGTCAGCAGAGCCTCCCACAGGACTTTGGCAAAAGCTGCAAAAAGATGGATGTTCTGTTTAGTTCTGTTAGAAAGGATGGGTGGATGGGTGGATGGATGGGTAGATAGATGGATAGATAGATTCTCTTGCCCTGTGATCTGCCTCCCACGGGGTCACACGGGACAGTCTTACCAGATGTGTGTGGATCATAAGGCCATCAGCTTTCTGGTCTGAAATGTCCCTATCCTTACCAACCAGCGTCTAACCACTAGACTACTGCCGTTTTTTCACTGAGGTAAAATATACATCACATAAAATGTATCATTTTCACCCTCTTTAGGTGCACAGATTAGTGACATCAAACACATTCACATATGATGATGTTGTACTATCATCACCACTGTCTGTCTCCAGAACTCAATCATCTTGCCAAACTGAAACTGTTCCCATGAAACATTGACTCCCCATCCCTCCTCCCGGCCCTGGTGCCCACCACCCTACTGTCCGTCTCTGTGATTTGATGACTAGGGACCTCGCACAAGTGAAATCCTCCAGTATTTATCCTTTTGTGAGTGGCTGGCTTCACAGTGTCTTCCAGGTCCATCCATGTGGTAGGCGTCAGGATGTCCTTCCTTCTTCAGGCTGAATAATATTCCACTGTGTGAATGGACCACATTTAGTTCATCCATCCATCCACCAGTGGACATTCAGGTTGTTGCCACCTTTTGGCGACAGGGAATAACATGTGTGCAAGTATCTGAGTCCCTGCTTTCGATGCTTTCGGAGATCTACCTGCAAATGGAATTGCTGGGTCATGTGGAGATTCTGTGTTTAACTGAGGAACCACTGAACTGTTTTCCACAGGGGCTATAGCACTGCACTCCTACCCGCAGTGCACCAAGTTTCCGTTGTCTCCACATCCTTGCCAACATTTATTTTTCGGTTGGTTTGGTTTATAATGGCTGTCCTAATGGGTGTGAGGTGGCATCTTATTGTGGCTTTGATTTGCATTTCCCTGATGACTAATGATGTCGAGCACCTTCCTAAGTGCTTATGGCCCATTTGTATGTCTTTTTTGGAGAGATATCTGTTCAAATCCTTCCCTTCCTTGTGAATTAGGCTGTTGATAACAAATCAAATTTAGCAAGGTATTAAAAACACATATCATTTTGGGGTGTCTGGGTGCCTCAGTCGGTTGGGCATCTGCCTTCAGCTCGGGTTGTGGTCCCAGAGTCCCAGGATCGAGCCCCGCATCGGGATCCCTGCTCAGCGAGGAGTCCACTTCTCCCTCTGTCCTTCCCCTGGCTCATGCTCTCTCTCTCTCTCTCTCACCCTCTCTCAGATAAATAAGTAAAAAATCTTTTAAAAAAACACATGTCATTTCAAAGTGAGATTAATCCTGGGAATTCAGAGATAGCTCAGAAATCATAAAATCATAAATGTTATCAGCTAATGTAATAAAAGGTAAAACCTTAAATGCTCATTTCAGAAGGTACAGAAAAATCATTTAATAAAATTCGTAATTTGGAAAAAAGATACTCTTGGCAAACTGGAAAGAGAAGGGGATTCTCTTTATGCTGATAATGGTATCTATTGCAAACATCATGCCTAAGCCCCAAATTCCAGAAGCACACCCATCACACTCATTATCTTACGTCATTGAAGATGTGCATCTCCTAAAATCCCGTGCTTCCCCTTCTAAACACATGCCTTAGAGAAACTTCCCATTGGTATACTCAGGCGGACACATGGAAGGATGTTGGGTGCAGAACTGTAATTGCAGAACAAAGGGAACATTCTAGATGCCCACTAACCAGAAAACAAGTAACTGGTATATCCGCCAGTGGGTGCCCTACAGCAGCTAACAGGAGTGATCTGGACCTACGTATAGCAGCGAAAACTTATATACAACGTGACATCACTGATGCAGAGGCTAAACCCATTCAAAACAGTAACATGATCTTCGTGCACGCGTGCAAATGTAGTGAACGTGGGAATTTAGGAAGGCGGTCCTCTGTGGGAGGGGAAGGAGGGCCATGTGATCAGAAGGGACATGTGGAGTTGCAGCTGTATCTGTGATGTTTTGTTTCTTTAAAAAATAATCTACAACAAATATTCCAAAAATGATAAGATTTCTTAAAGCTAGGTGATGGATACACAGGTGGTCATTATGTTATCATTTGAAATATCTTGGGGCACCTGAGTGGCTCAGTCAGTAAAGCATCTGCCTTTGGCTCAGGTCAGGGTCCCAGGGTCCTGGGATCGAGTCCCCGCATCGGGCTCCCTGCTCAGCGGGAAGCCTGCTTCTCCCTCTCCCTCTCCCTCTGCCCCTCCCCTCCGCCCCTCCCCTCTGTCCGTGCTCTCAGGCTTTCTCTCTGTCTCTCTCTCAAATAATTAAATTTTAAAAAAAAGAAATAAATAAAGTTTGAAATATCTCATAATGGGAGGAGAACTGTGAACCTGAGAAAAAGAGAGGAAGAGGGAAAAATCAGAAGTGGCGAATCTCATCCTGCTCCAAATGCAGCATAATGATAAAGGGCATTCAAAGCTAAAGAAACTGCTAGAAGCAGAAAGGCCTTGCCCTGCAGGCTGACCCGGTGGTCCCAGGGCCCGGCAGCTGGCGGGGGGGTGCCCGATGCATGCCCTGTGTTGCCCGGGGGAGAGTGGTCTTGCCTGGCTGACCTTTGCCCTTTCTCATGGTTCATCAGCCTCCTCATCACTGCCCCTCTCTCCATCAGTGTCTGCAGGACGACTCTGACATCAAGACATACAGGCCTTTTGTCGCAGTGATGAGCACTCTACGTAAGTGCAAGGACCAGGCCAGCAAGACCCTCGCCAGGTGAGATCTTCGGTTGGAGATCCCTGTGGTGGGGAGCGCTGCACGTGTGGGGTCTGTAGCTGCTCGCAGCCAGCTTCTCTGCTTCAGAGCCGGTGCCCCTGCTTGGATTCTAGGGTTGAGATTCAGCCGTGCCCCGTATGCCTGGGAGATGCCCAGGACCCGGTCTGCCTACCCTGTGACCATGTGTTCTGCTTGAGCTGCATCAAGGTCTGGCTCACCTTAGGGCAGATGAGATGCCCCTTTTGTTTAACAGACTTGCCAGAAGACTACTCTCTAACCGTGTCCCAGGAACACAGGTAGATCACCCTTTCTTCTCTTTTTCTTCCTTTTTTTTGGCAAGTACAGTATTGAGAAGTATAAACTGTATTAACCTTAGAGAACCTGACTTTGGAGAACCATCCTAAGAGAGACTGCCACCTTCATAAACCCCTAGTGTCTCAAAATTATTCCTCTGCAAGACACATCCAAGCAGATTTGGGAGACAACATGATTAGAGGAAATAAAGCAGAAAGTCATAAATGAGATAAAACTATCACAGGATACCCAAGGAGCTTAGGACACAGCCAGTTTGGCTCCAGTGACCTGAGGGCAAAGCTAGTTCCTGTCTGGCCCCGCTCTTCAGAGCAGTGGTAGAAACGAACGGAAGCTCTGTGGGCTCGGTGACCTTCAGCTCCGCTCCGGCAATGGCTCCCCTCCCTTCTGATACCTCCTGAAAGTGTGCAGAGCCAGCCCAGGGCACGGGATCTTCGCAGACTTTAGGATGAAAGGGTATTGCCGGCTGGTCCCAAGGACCAAAGTGCTCCTAGAAAGGGACAAGTCTGCGTAGCATCAGGCGGTACATATCCAACTCAGTGCAAGGAGATGGTTGCATCTTTTTACTGAAAATCACAGAATGCCGGCCAAATCCCGAAGCACTGTGTGTGCAGGGATTCTGGAGCACACTCTGCAGGCCTGTTGACTGTGTGTTCCAACCATTCCCAAGGGAGGCCATCAAGAAACACGCCTGCGTCCGGCAGCTGTGCAACAGTTTCTTCCTGGACCTGGTCTCCACTGTGTGCTTCAAAGATAATTCTCCACCACAGAAGAAGGTGATCGATGTTCTGCTAAATTTACTCTTTGTGCAAAAGGACCTTTTAAGAGATACTTCCCAAAGTAAGTTGCTTTCTTCCTGTGGACCTAAAAATCCAGTTCCTTGTCTCACTTCTTCATGGCTGATGGGAACATGAGCCACCTCTCTCCCTCTGGCTTAAGGACACCGTGAACACACCAAATCTCTCTCTCCGTTCGATGATGTTGTGGATAAGACCCCTGTCATCCGCTCGGTGGTCCTGAAACTGCTGTTGAAGTACAGGTGAGCACAGCTGACTTGGGGTTTGCTTCTAGAAAGCCTTGCTGCCTACTTCCCTCCTCCTGGCTGCTGCTTTTCTGCCAAGCACCCTTGCCTGAGCTGGTAGGAAGTTCAGGATTTGGGGGGGGGGCGTCTCCAGGAGGGACCTCCTGGTTTCTTCATCTGTACTGGTTGTGTGCCTGACCTCTTCACCTCTGGGCACGTGAGTTCGGCGTCACCCCGAGCACCTTGTTAGCAAGGAGGAAGCAGATTTCAGGGAGAGGAGCGAGGTGCTGTGATGTGGGGGGGAACCTGTGGGCGGGAGCCGGCAGTTCTGAGCCTCCTCACACAGCTGCCTAGTCCTGTGACCCGGGGGCTGCTAACTGAGAATGTCCCCTCACCTTGTGGTCCTGCATGCCACCTGCGTCTCATTTCAATGTTTCAGTTTCTCTGATCCTATGAATGGACAGAGAAGCCCCTATGGTGCCAATGCTCAGTGCTCTTGTCGAATTATGCTATTATAGAAAATTCTTAGGAAGCTGATCTGTATTCAGAGATTTCTTTCCGAGGACACCTTGTACACTCAGCCTGTGTTCTGACTTAACACAGCATTCTTTGAGGTGATCGCAAAATCAAGATGCTCTAAGAAGTGTTCCAACAGGGGCGCCTGGGGGGCTCAGTCAGTGGAGCATCTGCCTTCGGCTCAGGTCGTGATCTCCAGATCCTGGGATCGAGCCCCGCGTCGGGCTCCCTGCTCGCAGAGCCTGCTTCTCCCTCTCCCACTCCCCCTGCTCCTGCTCTCTCTCTCTCTTTCTCAAATAAAAAAACAAAAAATAAGTTCCAATAGAAACAATTTCTAACTTAAGTGTCCCAAAGCAGACTCAGAATAAAGATTAGATTTACATTTAAAACGTGGATCTTCTGCAACCTTATCTATGGACATTTCATTTTGCTTTTTATTTTTTATTTTTTTACTTTCATCATTTGTGAAATAGTCTGTTCAAACAGGATTCCTGAAGGATTTTCAAATAAAAGGCTTTTAAAATGCATTTTATTATAGAAGTAGTATCTTAGTATACCTTAAAGTGGTTTTTAATTTTTTTAAAGATTTTATTTATTTATTTGAGAGAGAGAGAATGAGAGATAGCGAGCACGAGAGGGAAGAGGGTCGGAGGGAGAAGCAGACTCCCCGCTGAGCAGGGAGCCCGATGTGGGACTCGATCCTGGGACTTCAGGATCATGACCTGAGCCAAAGGCAGTCGCTTAACCAACTGAGCCACCCAGGCGCCCTTAAAGTGGTTTTTAAGACATATTTGTCAAGTTGTCCTGAGATCTGAAAAGAGCTGCTTTTGATGTCAGGTCATTTTTACTCATTTTGATAAATGTGTGAGATCTGTACTCATTTGAATTTCTTTGCTTAGAGAAATGGAAACGTAGTCAGTGACACACATACATCTTGACATATAGTGTAGAGTAGACACATTAACGGGAGTAGAGACAGTACTCTTAAGGGTAAATGCTTCATTCTTCAGTATTTAGAGACTAAACACTACAGAACTCATTTTGTTTAATTTTTTTTTTAAGGTGTATTTATTTTAGGGGGGGGAGGAGCAGAGGGAGAGAGAGAATCCCAAGCACACTCCCCGCTGAGCCCAGAGGCTGATGCAGGGCTCGATCCCACAACCCTGTGATCATGACCTGAGCCAAAATCAAGAATTAGATGCTCAACTGACTGAGCCACCCAAGCGCCTCCAGAACTGATTTGATTTGATTTTTAAGATTTATTCATTTGAGAGAGGGAGTAAGTGAGAGAGAAAGAGAGCACGAGCGTGAGAGGGAGAAGCAGACTCCGCGCCAAGCAAGGAGCCCGACGTGGGGCCTATCCTGGGACCCCGCAATCATGACCTGAGCTGAAGGTAGATGCTTAACCCACTGAGCCACCAGGTATCCCCAGTACTGATTTTAAAAAGAAAATCTCAAGACCGAAAACACGATTTAAAATCTGCCTTGTCATTCTCTGGGTTGAGAAGTACTTGCTTCTGCACTCTGGCTGTTTGAGCATTTTTGTTTGTGGTGCCCACTCATGGCCACAGAGTTGTGGAGAAGGAGCACCGTGCTCCCCCACCCTGGGCTCGCACGCCCCAGGCCGCCTGCACCCCACACCAGGAGGGAGACCAGCCACACTTCGTGGTCGTGCTTCCTTCCGCCAAGTGTGGACTGCAGCTGTGTACTTCCTGCTTAGATGGGGTGTCGACAGCACCCCGAGCGAGAACCGTGTATGGTCTGGCATGGATCTAGTGTTGTGGTTTCTTTCCCAAGTGCCTGTCTGTGGACCTCTGGGGGGGGGCATCCGCAGGGTCAAAACCATTTTAAAACATTACAGGATGGTACTTGCCTTTTTCAACACATTGGTCCTTACAGTGATGTTACCGAAGCGGTGAAGGAGGACACTGCCGGCGTCCCAACACCAGGAAACTGAGTGACAGCCCTCGTGGTTCTCACCTTCGTGCACGTGTAGTGTTAATAAATGCCAGCCTCACGTAAGAATGTTCTAGATGAAGCCACAGAAACCACTCGTTTTACTCAGCCTCCACCCTTGAGGACAGGACTTTTTAACATCCTGTCAAAATGAGAAGCACACACAGAGGGCGCCGGCTGCACACTTAAGTAAACGGTTTTCTCGAGGAAAATCTCTCTTGCAATTCTTGAGTTACCCCCTGAGCTGGCCTCTTGTTTTATGGAATAGCTTTTGCACTTGAGAGAATGACCAGCACACCACAGTTATTCAGAGCTGGGCACTTGGCAGGCATTTTCTCGAAAACAAGCAAAGGCGGCAACTGATAGTGTTTGTGGCTCATGATAAAATTGAGGCTTTTAAGCAAATACTGGAATTCTGGAAAACGAAACCTATCAGCTTCCTCATACTTAGAGGCTTTTTGGTGGTACAGGCAGTAATGTTAATGAAGGTGAGGCTTCTAAAAATATCTTGTGGAACAAAAATGTCAACATTTGCAAGATCTGCATAGCTCAGGGAACCAATATTTTCCACATGACCAATGCATGATGTCACAGAATCATGCATTGCTTTAAAAAAAATCCATTCAAGTACAAAGTAGGTCATTTGATTTTAATGTAATTGAGTATGAAAAGTACATTGATGTGGTCTCAGATTGCACATTGCAACTAACCTATAGAAATGATCATTTATCAAGTTTTGGTATTGTGTCAAAGAAAAATATTCACCATCATCTGGAAATACTATGAAAATATATCTTTCTTTTCCAACGACATAATGTATGAGACCAGATTTTCTTCATCTACTTCACTGTCACCAGAAGCAGGAGCAAGATTGGAAAGTCCAGCTAAGTTCTGCTAAACCAGGCATTAAAGAGATTTGCATGGATGGAAAACAAAGCCCCTCTTCTTACTAATTAATTTTTGTTTTGGAAAATAGTTTGTTTTTTTAAAAATGTTATTTGTTTTTAACATGTAATGGGTTTATATTTTAAATGAGTTGATAAATATTTTCCCCTTTTTTCAGTTTTAATTTCTACTATCATAAATATTGATAGATTCAACCCACATAAACAAAAGCTTTTTGGGGTTCTCAATAATTTTTAAGACTCTAAAGGAGCTCTGAAACCAAAAAGTCTGAGAACAGATGGTCTGAAATATGGAATTTTATATTCCTCCAATATTGCCCTAAAATATTTTCAGTTGGGGCGCCTGGGTGTCTCAGTCAGTTGAGGGTCTGCCTTCAGCTCAGGTCACGATCCCAGGGTCCTGGGATCGAGCCCCGCATCGGGCTCCCTGCTCGGTGGGGAGCCTGCTTCTCCCTCTGCCTGCTGTTCCCCCTGCTTGTGCTGTCTGTGAAATCAATAAATAAAATCTTTAAAAATAAGTAAATAAAAATAAAATATTTTCAATAAAATGTTACAAACTATATGTATATATCTATGTGGGTATGTATATATGTATATGGGGAGATAGAGGGAGATGGATAGGTAGGTAGGTAGACAGATACTTTCTCTCTCTTTTTTTTGGTACAATGAGACCACCAGGTACCCTATTTCTCTTTCCATAGCTTCCAAGAAGTAAAAAATTATATCCAGGCTTACTTGTCCCTGTTGGAGGAGAAGGCCTTGGTAACTGAAGATAAAACTGAGCTGTACATCCTCTTCAGCAGCTGCCTGGAGGTGAGTGCGCCGTAACTGCCCTGCACGACTCCCCCAAACTCACTGCACTGTGTAGTTGATTCAGTGGAAAAATGTCTCTGAAGATTCACAGAAGATAATTTTCATCGGTGAAATGAACAGGTGCACTGCATGCACACACACAAAGGGTTTCCACAGCCTCGCTTCTGCCCCCCGTGGCTGTGTGTCCTGTCACGCGCGGCCTGGGCCAGAGAGCAGAAACTCGCCCCCCAACTTAACTGTGCTCATCTCCAGCTGGTGAGCCTAGGACTGCTTTTCGTTTTTATTCTCCCTGTTTTATTACTTCCCCAAATTTTACCAGGTGTGTGAGAAAATTAGATCATACGACATGTTTTTTTCTATGTTTTCTCTTCCCCTCCTTCTTGCCCCCACCCAAAAAGGGATGTTCTTTTGCCATGATTCAATACAGTTACCCTCAAGCTTATGATATTTCTGTCTTGTTCTCCACCGTCACAGGGTAGAGATTTGGGAAGGTTGGGGATGTGCATGCTTTTTTTTCTGGTACTTTCTTCCCTAGGATTCACTGTATGAGAAGACTAGTGCTCTGTCTACCAGCAAGGAGCTGACATACCTGAGGGAGGAAGGGGTCTTCCTGAAGACCTGCTTGCGGCGGCGTGGCCCGGAGCCAGCCAGCGAGGCGTCAGTGGAGTACCTGCAGGAGATGGCCAGGATCCGCCTGTGTCTCAACAGGGCTTCTGACTTCCTCAGCGAGCTTCAGGAGGGCTCAGGCAGGTCTCCTTCTGCACCTTTCTTTACCCTAGGCTTAGGGACCCCGTGATTTAGACATTTGGAGAGTTCTCAGAGTGACCCTGGTCTATACCATGTCCCCTTTCTCTTTGATTGGTTTGTTTGCTGTGAGCTCGTGGCCACCAGGGCACCTGCCTTTGGCCTGGCTCTGTGTCCTAGACGGGCGGGCAGCAGGTCTTCTCGGCCACCATCCCTCCCCCCTCTCTCAGGCTCTGCAGAACTGGTCGGGGAGAAGCAGGGCTACCTGCAGCAGGTGGAGCGCTTCCTCAGGCAAGGCAGGAACGACTGGTACCGAGTGTACCTGCTGAGGAAGCTCGCCAGCCAGCGAGGGATGGAGTTTGTGCAGCGCCTCTGCAGACAAGGCCAACCGGCACAGTGGGTGCTCCCCCAGGAGGCTGCGGTGCAGCAGGTGAGGACACCTGACCTTGTGTCCCCCCTGGACCCCACGGCTGCTCTGGTCCCTGTGTCTCCGCTTTGGTTAACCTGAGCCAGCTTGTGATGCAGTGGAGGCGGCCGGCCATGGGGGACAGGTGTGTGTATGTGCTTCTGCTTTGTCGCCTGCCTGCAGAAAAGCCTCTTGAAGGCACCGCTTCTGATCCAGTTTGATGTGGGGAAAGCCAAAGAACGATTCTGTGGCTTTTCCTTTCGGCAAATTAAAAGTAACTCAGCTTGGGGCCCCTGGGGGGCTCGGTCAGTGAAGCGTCTGCCTTCAGCTCAGATCATGATCCCAGGTCCTGGATCCAGCCCCGCATCCCTCTCCCTCTGCCCCTGCCGCTCCCCCTGCTTATGCTCTCTCTCTCTCTGACAAATAGATAAAATCTTAAAAAAAAAAAAAAAAAAAAGTAATTCAGCTTGCAGAAGTCCTTTCTCTCCTCAGGCAGAGATATAGGAAGCATGAGAGTGAGGATGACAGAATTGTAGCAATTTAGGCTCGTGGGTCCCTCTGTAGCCCTTTCTTGGGGTTATAACAATTGCACTAAAAATCCTGGTTTTCCTTTTTACTCCTGATGGGAGCATATAGTGAACATACTGTAGTTACCTGCCTTTGGTCTCTGCTCTTGGTGGGGACAGGGTCAGCGCTGCCTCCTGCCCCGGTTTCTCACCCACTCACCCCTTCACTGGACGAGGGGGAGGCACCTGCCAACACAGCAGGGGACTGTCATGCCCAGGCCTGGACCTCTAACGGTTACCCGGGTCCTTTACCTTTCCAGATGGTTCTTTGCTAACCCTGCCCTCGCCCCCTCCCCTGTGATTAACCCCTGTGTTCCTGGGCTTTGCAGGAGGATCATCCAAGCCAGATGGACCCATACCTAGTGCATGGTGATGAATATAAGGCTCTTCGTGATGCAGTGGGCAAAGCTGTCCTTGAGTGCAAGCCCCTGGCTACTGTGGCTGGTCCGAAGGTAAGACAGGCCCCAGGCCTCCCTCTGTACCAAATGGCACCCCTTGGAGCCTGCATCTGCCTCGTTAGTGTCAAATGACCCAGTGGAAGAGGCGCCCCAGGGCGACATGCCATGTTGGCCATCATGTGTCCACAGCCTCTGCGTGCCTGGCTGAAACAGGAAGCCATTAACAACGGAGTTAGGGGACAGATTTGCTCGACCTGCTGACCTGCCAGGCCAGGGCCTTCAGCAGCTCCCTCCTAAGTGCTCACATGTGTTACTTCCTTTGAGACCCTGCTGGAGCCTCACTTCCTCCGATGTCACCCTGACGGCAGACACACGAGCAGCACTGGGGAAATTCCTTCCCTGGATTCCTGGCCATGCTGACGGGGGTGTTTATTTTCCTAAAGGGGCAGGGTTTTTAGCATCTAATCTTTAAGCAGTTCTGGTCTTGCTTCCTCTTTGAGTCCCTGTTTACCCTGGCGCTGTGCCAGGAAGCGAGGAAGTAAATAAACAGCCTCTTTCTGCTCAGAAGAAGTTTCAAGGAACAGCAAAGTGGTCAGAAAAATAGACAGTGATTTCTGTTACTTGTGTCCTAAGTGATGTGGTAACCGTGCATTGCATTTCACAGCAGAATGTTTATGAGCCTCGTGGTCTCAGAGGTGCAGGGTGGTGGGCATCCAGGTCTCAGGAAAGGCTCCCCGGCCTCCCCCTGGTTGAAGAGCTGAACCAGCAGGACTCTGGCCCTCAGACAGACGTGTGGAATGCTGCAAGCCTCACTGGGGTCTGTGCTTTTTGCTTCAGGTCTGTAGGAACCCCGGCCCTCAGCAGGCGGCCCACTTACTGTTAGCGCTCTTCAGAGAGGTGGCCACTTTGTACCGATTCCGTGACACAAACCTCCATCCTAAGCCAGAGGTGAGTGTCTGCATTCAGAGTGGTGCTCATCATCTCTGGATCTGGAGGGGCTTTTCTGAATAGAAGTAAAAGCCACAAACAAATTATGCCCATAATTTTTTTTTATCTAGGATGGGGGTTCTCAACTTACTTTTTTTTTTAAGATTTATTTATTTTAGAGGGTGGGGGAGGGGCAGAGGGAGAGGGAGAATCTGAAGCAGACTCTGCACTGAGTGGGGAGCCTGATGGAGGACTCCCATCTCATGACCCTGAGATCATGACCTGAGCCAAAATCAAGAGTCTGACGCTCAGCCAACTGAGCCCCCCAGGTGCCCCTCAACTTTCTTATGTGAAGGAACGACTTGCTGTGTCACCCAGAACTTTCAGAGTTACAATGAAAAACAAAGTCAAGAACATGAGAAACTGTTGGAGTTAGTGCTCGGGTGTGTGGTGCTGTGCTTGCAGGTGGAAATGCTCTTGTCTGGATAATTGCCCCTCGAACCATATTTGATAAGTATTCATGTCAACATATATGCCTGACGTAAGAGCAAATGTTTGGCTTTACGTCATATTCTTCTTTGATATATTTTTAATACGAAAACATTTTTTCCCATCAGCAATGTGAGGCTCTGAACAGGTTCATCGAGGAAAGCAAGGTCCTGTCTTCTCCAGACATGAGACATTTTGCAACATCCCTTGTGACCAACACGCTGCCCCTGCTGAGGACAGGTGCCGGGGACAGCAGCCTCGAGGGCACAGTGGCAGAGCTGGCTGTTCACACTGCGATTGTCCTCCTGTGTGGACACAGCGAAGTCTTGGAACCCCTGCAGAATCTGGCCTTCTCCCCAGCCGACATGGTGGTAAGACTGGGACGTGGTTTCTCTGGTGGCCTGTCCCTGGGGACCTGTTGAAACTGCCTGTCTCATAGCTCCTCTCTCTGCCTCTGTCCCACCTGACACCCGAGTCCACAGTGACAGCAAGAGCCCTCGTTCCGTTTTCCCGGTGGAGAAGCTGCAGGTGGAGAAGAGGGAGAGTCCAGAGTCCACCTTGTCGCCCCAGGGCAGTGGCAGCCAGCCCAGTCTCTCACCTTCCTGAAGCCTTCTCTGCTTTCTTGGCTTTTCAGAGTGCTTATCTTCCAACGATGCCCGAAGACTTGCTGGCTCAAGCTCAGAACTGGAAGGGCCTGGAAGGAGTCCACTGGTACAGTAAGTGTCAGATTCTGAGACGGGGTCACCGTCCTCTGTGCTTTGAACTGGGGTCCCTGTGGTTTGTGCCTGAGGGTCCCAGACGCCTGCCTTGTGCCGCCGTCGGGGCTTTTGCAGAACAGGGCGCCCTGCTGACCGCAGAGGACGTGCGTCAGGCCCTTCCTGAGTCCCGTCCCAGGGGAGGATCCGCATGGCATACACTTCTTTTGCCTGATGTGAGCTGCACCAGTGGCTCAGGCAGGGGCCAGCTCAACCAAGTTTTTGACCCAAAGATAATTCTTTTTGAAATATAGAACTAGGAGCCCAGGTAATGTAACCCATACTTTATGTAAACTTTGCTGTTGCCTAAGAAAATAATTTTTCTTTTTTTCAATTTTTATTTATTTTTTTAAACAGACAAAGCCAGGCCTTTCCTGGTTCCCTCTTTTTTTTTTTTTAAGTTTATTTATTTATTTTTTTTTAGTAATCTCTACACGTAACATGGGGCTGGAACCCCCAATTCCAAGATCAAGAGTCACATTCTCCTCCAACTGAGCCAGTCAGATGCCCCTGAGCAAATAATCCTTTTAAACTAAGTATAAAAGTTGTTCTAAAACATGCTCTTGGGGCACCTGGGTGGCTCAGTTGATGAAGCGTCTGACTCTTGGTTTCGGCTCAGGTCATGATCTTAGGATCCTGGGATCCAGTCCCGCGTCAGGCTCCCCACTCAGCGCAGAGTCTGCTTGAGATTCTCCTTCAGCCTCTGCCCCTCCCTCCCCCCACTTGCACGCTTGCTCTCTCTCTCTTTCTCTCTCTCTCGATATAATAAATAAGGAAATAAAATCTTTTAAAAAACCCATGCTCTTTAAAAACAAAAAATCAAAGAGAAAGAGAGAGTATAAAATAGGCCGACGCTGCCTCCCAGAGCAGCCCCTGCAGGAGACTAACGGAGTTTCTCCCTGCTCTGTCAGATGAAGCTTATGCATAGTTTTCACTAACGTGCTCAGAACCAGTACTCTATGTTTTGTTTGGTTAGGCCAGAGAGGAGAGCGTTGGCTTTCTTTCTTAACCTCGGGTCATTAGGTAAAACCTCACCAGCCAACTTGTCTCCTGTTGTTCTTTTAACAGTATGTCCCAATGGCCACCCGTGCTCTGTGGGAGAGGTGAGTCTTGGTATTTAGGGTGGTGTTTGCAGGGCTTAAACGTTTGTTCCTCTAGATCTGAGCAGGGGGGCATGGGGGAAGAGGTTAGTGAGGGCCATGACCTTCTAGAGAACATAGACTCTTTTCAGGGCTGTTTACGGTGCTCCAGCCAAACATCTAAACAGTGCAGAGGGCCTGCAGACCTCCCTCTGTATTGTGGGGCTGTCCTGAGCACTGTGGGCTGTGGTAGGGCACTGAGCAGCATTCCTGGTCTCAACTCCCAGAGGCCAGTAGCCCTGTAGTCACCAGGGTGACAACCAAAAATGTGTCCAGACATTGCCAAAGTCCCTCTAGGAAACAAAACTGCTGCTAGCCATCCTTCCCAGCCACTGCTGCATGGGGTCAGTGACACATGCGAGAGGTTGCCTGGGCCATAGGCTGGGTTAGAGGAGATGTGCTCCAGACACCGCAGGACAGGAAAAAGAGACTCTGGATGATGAACCCCAGCGGAGAGAGCTGTGTGCACCTCACCTCTGCCTGCTGCGGCACCCGGCAGGGCCCTTCACGGTGTCTCCTCTGCTTGCCCAGTGCAGGCTGTTCAACCGAACAAAGTAAATGAGAGACCTAGAGGAGGAAAGGCGATATATATACACTGCATGTTTCTGAGCTTCGCCCACTTCCTCGTCCATGAAGTGGGGAGAGCAAAGCACATTCTTCCCGAGACTTCTCTCCAGTCTGATGGTCTGAGATCTGGGGCTTGAGGCTGGTTTGGCCTGTTACAGGCTGTGATTCACAGTATACAGCCGCCCACGACCAGATTTGGAAAAATGAGGCTTTGGAAGGAGCAAATCATATGGTTACCTTTTTTTTTTTCTAAATAAAAAAGTCCAAACTGAGTTCAGGAATTAAATTTGGAGGCTGCGGTAGTTTCCGGGTGCTAAATAATGAAGCTGTGGTGTGGTGGTCAGGGGAGCGGGGAAGAGCAGAGAATGTGAGGAAGGAAGGCTGATTTCGTATTTGTCTACAAAGTGTCTATTTGGGAGTAAAACTCAAGTTGTCTCTCCTGCTTAAAAAGTCCACATTTACTCACGTGCACCATATTTGCACAGAGCATCTGCCCTGTGTCCCGGGGCTCCTGCAGTCGCTGGCACATGCTCGAAGTAGAACAAGCAATCCACGTGCCACATGTGGATTGGCCTGCAGGGTGGTGTTTGTGCATGAAGCGCCACTCCTCCAAAACTGAGCTCAGGCACGTTTGTCTTTGTCCTAGTGTGGCAGGCCAATGGAACAGAGCCATTGTGTTGACTGCGGTGCCCTAATTGGAGGGATTAATCACAGACCTGAGACTGGATTTCAAGTTATCGAGTATGTAAGAGTATATTTCTTTTCTAAGTGATCAAACCATGGGTTTTTTGGGCTGCCTTTATTCCAGTGGATAAATTGCTGCTAAGTACAATATTAATTACTATTACGCACTTGGGCCTGTGTGACGTCGGTCTCAATGCCGCGGCCCCTGTGGTCATGTCACAGTGAGGTGTCTGATCTGTCGCTGGCTGACTGGACTCTTAAATGCAAAGCAGACCACACGTTAATATGTCTTATCCAGATGTCTTCCGTGTGGGCCTGGGGCGTGCCCCTGTAGAAATATGCTTGACACACACAATTGACTTAATTCAGAGGGACATTGAAGTCCGCAGAGCCACAGATGGGGCTTTTGTCTATCTGAGCTCACGCTGTCTCACTTGTAAACTCTCTTAACTTCCTCCACTGTTTGTGGGAAGTGAAGGAGACATGGTCCTTCTTACCAGACACTCCACAACCCACATGCGTAGCTGGTGCCCCTATCCCAGCCTTCCCTCGAGATGAGTGTGGTTCCCCGTGCTCCCCCAGATGGCAGGTGGGGCCTCCCTGTGGCCATCATACATTTTGGCTCTTCTGGTGCTGTTAGAGTTTAAAATACCCTAGTCTGTTATCGCCACAAACCATCAGAATGTTCTAGAATGTCCAGTGTTTTTGCAACAATGTATCTATCATACTGAGCCTCCCATCTGGATGTGGTATGAAATTCTTGGCCAGACCTTCAATCCCAGTTTTCAATTTGGGAAAATGAGGTCGATGTACATACGGCCCGATGTCGATGTCACCATCCCAAACTCAGGCCGTCCGTAGCCTGCGTGCTCCCCTCCCCATGATGATTGCCGTGGGAGGCACAGGTGCAGACCTTGTCCTGACACGTGGCCCAGGGATCGCACAAATAGCCAGTCGGTTCAGCCGCTTCACACAGAATGGTGTGGGCTGTGTTCAGCCAGGAAGGGGAGGCTGGACAGAAGACCCTGAGGCGAGAGGTCTGGGCTTACCAGAAAAAGTCCTGGAACACCGTTTTCTTCAGAATGGCAAACCTCGTCTCAAGTCGCAGGAACCTGCGGTGTGCCCCGAGGGCTGAGGAGGGATGGCTGTCTTCAGTCTCCACCGTCTTCTCTCCTTCTCTCCAGTAACAACAGAGACAGAACGCAGACTGGCCACGTGCTGGGAGCCCCACTGTCCAGAGGCGAAGCGGTGGTGTCTGACCGACAGCTGTCCCCAGTGGTCTTCCTGCTCATCCGGTTGCTCACTCACCTGGCCCTGCTCCTGGGAGCCGCCTGGAGTCCTCAGGTACAGCATGGCCTATTCCTGCCAGGCCATGTGTTTGCTCGTTTGTTTCTAGCAACCCACTGTGGATTTTCACAGTGAGTCCTTTTGTCTACAGAGTGCTGACCACCTCCCGTGGATCAGGATACCTCCCTTGTCACTGTTCCCTAATCCACAGAGCAACAGAACATTCACACATCCTCATTTCCCCACCGTGGCATATGATGGTGTCGGGGAACTACCCGTCAGGTTACATAAAATCCATTTTATTTTTTTTAAGATTTTTATTTATTTAGAGAGGGAACAGAGGAGAAGGGCAGAGGGAGAGGGAGAATCGCAAGCAGACGCCACACTGAGCATAGAGCCTGACATGGGGCTCGATCCCACGACCCTGAGATCATGACCTGAGCCAAAACCAAGAGGCAGACACTCAACCGACTAAGCCACCCAGACGCCCCTAAAATCCATCTTAAATGAGCATTCCATGTCCTGGTGCGCCCCCAGGAGTAGAGAGGCTAGCTCCGGGAAAGAAAGCACACTGTGTCTCCTCTAAGTGCATTAACCGTGATAGCAAACGTTGAGGCTTTGACATTCTTTTATTTTTAGATTTGTACACAGTGTAGCTTTAATGGGTTCGAGATGAGGCTGTTCCCACGTAAGCTTACAAACACGCATCTTGATGAAGGAAGACATTACTTGAGAGGCGGTTATACACTGGTTTTGATGAGTTAAGAACAGGGCTGTGAGACTATTTTGTGCTGACGATGTCAAAGGCAGTCATTCCCAGACCGCGGTCGCTCCAGATGCTCTCGCCTCTTCTGCTTGAGCAGTGCTCCCGCCGCCCCACCAGCATCCTCTGAGAAGCGGCCTCTGACTTGGTGCTGGCTTTCCTTCCTGGGGCCTGTGCGGGCACGCCGGCTCCCGATAGACGAGATCTTGTGTCTCGTGGCCCTCGCAGGCTCTCAGGCACATCATCAAGCCTCCGGTGCAGGATCCCAGAGGCTTTCTGCAGGAGCATATCCACAGTGACCTGCAGCAGCTGACGAAGACGCTGGGGAGGAGTGCCGACGAGACAGCCACCACGGTGCACCTCGTGCTGTGCAGCCTCCTCCGAGGGGAGCACCACCCTTCCCACATGAGTGAGCACATGGGGCCGGGGCGGGGGGGGCGGTGCGGGTGGCACACGGCAGGGCCACTGCTCACGACACCTGCGTCAGATACAGGAAAGCAGGGAGAAGCATGCGGAAGAGAACACAGAAGGTCAGTTCGTCTTTGCGTTTCCCCTACCGGGTTAAGACCTGTGATCCCGTGTGCTCATGTGCACAGGGGTGTTACGTGTGTGTGCACGGGGTGGGGGGGCGGCCCTGTGCGGTTTCAAAAGCTAGCCTGCTGTGCAGTGCCCCTGCTGCACACGATGGACATGTTTCGTCCAGGATGGGTGATGTGTGAGTCATCACCGTCGAGAGACCGGTGTCTGATAATCTGTTGGGACTTGTCCTCCTTGGACCTCTGGCCTGTCTGGGGGTCCTTCTGCTTTTCCTGAAGACACGGTTGTCCAGGGCTGCCTGACTGTGTTGATGTGTCCACAGTTTGCTGTGTGGAAAAGTAGGCAACAAACCATTGTGGTCACTGAGCTAATGTTCCCATTTTAAAAACTGAAATCCATAGAAAGGAAAGGTCCATAAGGTAACTTAGCAAAACAGTTATCTCTGGCACTGAGAGTGACTTTATTTTCTTCTTGTTTATTTGTATCTTCACAAAGATCATGGGGTCGGTGGGAACAGCAAGGACCATTTTTAAATACTCAGGTTAATTTAGGAAGAAGCGCCCTGCCCACCCCTGGAAGGGAGCGTGGTTTGGTCATCCTTAGGTCCTGTTCATGGAGCTGCCGTGCTTTCTGTTCCTTGGGTAACCCATGCATGTTTCCTTATAGGGCCTTTTGGTTTCGATGCAAGACTGTCGACCAGAGAGCAGAGAAATAGCTGGGAGAAGGCCATGCAGACCCTCATTCTCCCTGAGCTGGAGGTGCGTGGCCAACGGCCTGGCTGGGAGCCTGTGGGCAGGTGTCCTGGGCGTACCCCAGGCACTCGGGGCAGCGAGCACCCGGGTGCTGGTGGGGCTCTGGCCGAGCCCCAGCCCAGGGGTTGACCGCCCAGCCACTCCACCGTCCTGCTGTCCCTGTGCCCTCTGCCCCTGCGCCCGGGCGGGCAGGTTAAGGGGTTACCGTGAGTCCAGAAGGTGCAGGTGACTCTTCATCCCCCACCTGTCATAGCAGGATGTGAGAGCGACAGGTAGACAAACTGTCACGCAGATACCCACCAGAAATGTGTGATTCGTCCCTCCTCTGTCAGATAAGAACAGTATTGAGAGTTAATAAGCCCAATGGGAAATAAGAGACTGGGCATGGAACACAGGTCTGGGAGTCTCCTGTCTGCAGAGACGAAGCCTGCAAACAAGGAACTGTAAGCAGTCTCGAAAGACAAGGAGTGTGAGTGCCTGGTTGCGTGCAGGACCCAGTAGGACAGGCTGTCTAAATGGCCCACTGCTGAAGCCACTGGGTGTCCCCACCTGCAGGAGTGGTCTCACCTCCAGGCCCTGTACTGTTCTCTCGCCCAGCATCTGGAGAAAGCCCTGCTGACGGTGACAACCCTCATCAGCCAAGATGAGCGGATCAGCTCCAACCCTGTGGCCAGAATCGTGTACGGTGACCCGACGGCCTTCCTGCGTCAGCTGCCCCGGAAGAGTGTGGTCCACTGCTCTAAGATGTGGTCCTGCAGGAGGAGGGTCACCGTGGAGTACCTCCAGCATGTGGTAGAGCAGAAGAACGGGCGGGAAGCCGTGCCCGTCCTCTGGAAGTTCCTGCAGAAGGTAAGGCTGCTCCACAGTGACCACTTGAGGGTCCACCTTTATTTAGTCAGTGGGGCATCTAACCGATGATGTCAGTGCTTCGCTTTTCTGATGGAATGCTGGTAGCAGAAGACTCGGGGCCAGAGAGGGGGTTCCTCGTACACATCAGACTGTGAGGCCGTTTGAAGCGTAAAGTCATAGGGGAAAGCCATAGGTGGGTCAGGGTTAGCAGGAGTCTGTGAAGCACGCGAGGGCCGGGACGGTATCTCCCCAGTCACTCAGCAGGAAGGAGCAAGATTCAAATCTTCCAGGCGGTGTCTGTTCACCTTCACCCCCGACCCCCAGTGCCAGGAGTACCTGGCCTTCAGTGACTGTTGAATGAAAAAGCTTTCATCAGACAGTCCAGAATCTCCCGTGTCCCCGACCCGGCCCTGGGGGAAGGGAGCAGCATAAACATACCCCGTGTCAGCCTTGTTCCGCGTGAAGGCTTGTCTTCCACAGTTGTCTGTCGAGTCCTTCCCCCTGGACCAGTGTTTGCAGTCCAGCAAGAAGTTTGGGGACTCAGAAATGTCTGACGGTCGGTGAAAGGGCAGGAGTTCCCCTGGGAAGGGGTTCCTAGGTCTCCCACAGAGGCGCCCCATCCCATTTGACTGGAGATGCTTGGGTCCTGTCCTCAGATGACACACAGGGGGGATGCCCGGCCTGGCTGCCTATATGCCTGGCCTTTCTGCTCTTGGCAGATTCTCTGCCCACCCAGCCCCTCATAGGGGCCCATGAGGCCGATTTCTTTCATGCGTTTTTGGCAAACACACATGATGTGTCAGCTCCAGGAGGCCAGGGACTGTCCCTGGTGTGCAGGACGTTAGGCACACAGGCGGCAGGCTCTGGTGAACGACAGAACAGCCTCTTCCCGTGTCTGAGTAGCCTGATGTGGCGTCACCTAACACGGCACATTGACCAGATCAAATGCAAACACGGGCCCTGAGCCAGCCCCAGAGTCTGTTTCCCCAAGAACGTGTTCTAGGTGAACTAACACGTGGCTGGGCTTCCCTCTCCAGGAGGCAGAGCTGAGACTCGTGAGATTCTTGCCTGAGATTTTGGCTCTGCAAAGGGATCTCGTGAAGCGGTTCCAGAACGTTTCAGAAGCTGAATACCAATCTATCCGCTCTTTCTTGAGCAGCCACCACGAAGGTACGGGCCTGCTCTGGTCAGAGTTCGGCACCACCCATGTTTGGTAGCTCGAAGGGATCACTGGAGCACGGCTGGGAGAGGTGCAGTCGGGGCTCCGGGTGTTCTGCACCCACAGCTTTTAGTGCCAAGCAGTGGGTGCCGTGAATCCCAAAAGCCCAGCAGAGGCTTTGCTATGGCTGAATGTGCTGCCGGGTCTCCACCCCCTGGAGCTCGGTGTCGGTGCTTATACACGTGGCTGAGCCCAGAGGCGTGAAGTTGGGCTCTTTCCAAAGACCGTGAGATGTCATTGGTTGGACCTGACGGGGTAGATGTTTCCATGGCTCTAAAAGAGTGTTTTGTTTGACAGACGGGTTGAAGCAGTTACTCCACAGAAGAGCTGATATTTTTCTGTCGACATGGAATAAGCTGAGGAGGTCACTTCAGACCAATGGTAGGAGCCACACTCCCTGCTGCCAGCCTGACTCAGCCCTGCGGTCACAGAGCACCGTGCCACATGCATTTCACCTGTGACCCTCTGAGTGGAGGTGTCTGGGACACGTGAAATGACCTAGTGGGAAAACTAAGTCCCCAGTCATCTTGGGTGTGTTGATACGGACTCAGGAAGGAGTTGAGGATGTTTGAAGCCAGTCAGCGCAGGGGAGAGGTGGGAGGCACAACCGTCAGAGCATCCCTGGCTCCAGCCTTGTTGCGCTGGGAGCAGCGGCAGAGACCAAGGGAGGCCTCTGCTTACAACACCCTGTCCTCTAAAGGTGAAGTCAAGCTGCCAGAAGACTACTGCGCCGCCGACCTGGACATGGACACTGATTTCGAGGTCATGCTGCCTCGTCGCCGTGGCCAGGGCCTCTGTTCCACCGCCTTAGTCAGCTACTTGATCAGCCTGCACAACGAAATTGTCTACACCGTGGAGAAGTTTTCCAGCGGAGGCAGCAGGTGAGTGCATGCCTGCAGGGGAAGCTGTTTCTGAGCGGGCTCACCTGAGGCCGCTGGGCCCGCCAGGACAGACGTGAGCCTGGAGGCGGCAGCTTCTGTACCTTGGTCCGGCTCTCAGGGTCCACAGGCCCGGCAGCATGTTCATCTGCTCGAACCGGGAACCTCAGCTGGGAGCTGGCTCTATGTGGCCCAGAGTCCCGGGCAACGTGTGCCTGCTGGGACACTGAGTCCTGCAACTCTGTGTCCCTCAGCTACTCCGTCGATGCCTCCGAGATCACAGACCTGCACGTCATCAGTTACGAGGTCGAGCGGGACCTGATGCCGCTGATTCTGTCCAACTGCCAGTACCAGGTGGAGCAAGGCCAGGAGACCCTGCAGGAGTTCGACCTGGAGAAGATCCAGCGCCAGATCACCAGCCGCTTCCTGCAGGGCAAACCCAGGCTCACCCTCAAGGTTCGGCTGACCCCTTGGTACTTATTGGGTCGGCACATCTGTTTGGTGAAAGTTGGCCCGAGTGTGGCTTTTATCCAGCAGTTTCAGAGTGAGTGGGAGCGAGGATGACCGTCCAGCCGCGTGTCCCCCCAGAGGCCAGGACTCCATTCCTGGCCATACCTCAAGGCCAATGGCTCTCTTGAGCTGCTGCTGAGCCTTCATCCCCCCAGGGTCTCGGCAGGTCCCAACGGACCCGTTGTTGGATTTCTCCGCCATAGTAATGGCATTACCTCCTGCCCCTGATGGCCCTGGCAGCTGCCTCATGTAGCTGCCCGAACCCCCTGCTTCTGCCCCCAGCCTCCATGTCAGGTGTGACCGCTGCAGTAGCCCCCACCACTCCCTGCCTCCCGCATCTTCAGGCCATATTCTGAAGCCAGATCTGGCTCCCGTCACTCCCTGGTGATGGCCCGACCCCGACGGGCATCCTGGTGCATGTGGGGTAAAGGCCCATGCTGCTCGTCCCGGCCCGTCTCCAGCCACTTCTCACGGCCTGCATGGACTCCTGTGGCCTCGAGCACTGGACCACCCTCCCTCCCCAGACACCCTGTGCACTTTCACGTCTCTGTTCGTTCACCTGGGCTGTTCCTCTTCCTTCCAGGTCCGGTCAGAGACCTTGTGCATGGGGTGTGTGTGCTCCCTCACCGCCCGCAATTAGGCTCTGAACTGATGGCACCCCGGGCCGCTGTCACTGGCTCTGCCATCCCTGTTGTCTAGCAGAGGGACTGCACTGTGCGAGGCTGTGCGCGGTCGTGGTTGGGGGAGTACACGAACAGGAGGGCCCCACGTTCCTGTGTCCCCAGTGGCTCGCCAGCCTACAGCATCCTACATGAGGCATCTGTGTGGCCGTCGAGGCGAGGCCGGGTCCCTTGTGTCCCTGGTTCCACAGAGACATCACAGGGCCACAAGGCAGCATGCTCTGCCTGGCGGCGCTCTGGACAGCGCGGTACTGCAGTGGAGTTACTGCTCAGGAAACCTCCACGGTGGATTCCATGTCCAGAGACTGTTTTCTTTCTCAATTTAGGGAATACCCACTCTGGTGTACAGACGGGACTGGAACTATGAACATCTCTTTACGGACATCAGGAACAAACTGCCACAGGTGATCACAACACACCTTACCGGGTGCCTGGCGCTTTTACCCAGTCACGGTGCTCTCCTCCCGTGGGGACTGCACAGCCTCGCTCTGGGCATTGGCTGGGGGCACCGCAGGGGGGCCTCCCGAGTTCCCTGGGCCCCCCTGCTCTTTCTGGAGGGCAAGCAGGACGCAAATCAGCAAAAGTGTTCTTGTTGAAATCCTGCATTTGTTTCTTAGTAATGACGTCATGACCAGGTATGCTGATGCAGAAGGTCCAGAGAACTTATGTCTGTGCTCTTCAGGTTTACATGTGTGGGGTGTGTGTGTCTGGTGTGTGCGTGCGTCTGTATGAATCTCCTCACAGAGCTGCTTTGAGGACTCAGTAACTTCATGCCTGTTTGTGTAGGGAATCCGGTTACCGCTGCCACTTGGGAATCACTAAGTGTTACCTGTCCTTATTGTTAGAAGGGTCATCCCACCTATGGCCTTGGCAGCGGACAAGGCCAGTGTTCTTGCCAGGTAGCGATGCCCAGGAAGCCCCAGCCATGAACCCCCGTCCCATCTCTGATTTCCTAGGAACTCCTCCCCAACGCAGCCATCAGCGCCATTTGTGGGCAGCTGCTGTCCTTCAGTGATGCGTGCGAAGCTCTGTCTGTCATCGAAGTCACTCTGGGGTTTCTGAGCACAGCCGGCGGCGATCCGAACATGTCCTTGAATGTGTATGTCCAAGACGTGCTGCGCATGAGCGACCAGACAGCCCTGGTTCTAACGGTGGGTCTTGGTTGGGGCTCTCTTGCAGGTTAATCCACACTGCCCTCCCCACTTCCTGCCGGGATTAGTGCCACTCGGGGTCCACAGAACGCACTCTGGTGCTAGAGGCAGGGATGCACCCACAATGTGAGACTCTGAACTGGGCACGTCACAGATGCCCCCCCGCAGCACGCCAGCCACCTGCCTCTCCCGCCATGGGACTGGCTCTGAGATGGGGTGGGCAGCGGGGGGACGACACTCCGGAGGCTAGGCCCACGGCTGGTGCATGCGTGCAGGAGGCGTCCGTGTCCATGGAGAGTGGGATCAGTAGCCCGGGAGCAGAAGGGCCACCACGCCTGCCTGTTCCCGCTCAGCCCCGCCCCTGTTTCCCTTTCAGGCCTTCAGCAGATGCCAGCTGAAGCACACGATTGCCCTCTGGCAACTCCTGTCGGCCCACAGGTCGGAACAGCTGCTCCGACTGCGTAAGGTGAGTGCAGCCCCGCCCCCGCTGGCCTGGGGGCCGCCCTGCCTCCTCCCGGCCTCCTACTGCCTCTGTTCTGGTTTGTTCTAGGAGCCCTTCAGGGATATCAGTGCCCAGTACAAAGTAGGTCTCAGCCCAGAAAATGCTAAGTGCCTCAGCGCTTTCCTGAATCAGACGGACCTTGACTCCTTCCTCCTGGAGCTTCATGAAATGATGATCTTGAAACTGAAGAGCCCCCAGGCCAAGGACATCTTCAAACCTGAGTGGACGTACGTAGGGGTTCGTTTGCGGGTGGGCCCGGCGCACGCGGGGTGTCCTGCAGTCTCTCCCGAGATCTTCTAGATCTTCTAGGACATGGAAGATCCCACGTCAGAAGCCCATGCCCTGCTGTCTCACCCCCTCCAGGCCCCCCTCGCACTGGCCTTTTGGGTTTGGTCTCTGTTGGGTTTTTTTAAAAAGAATTACAGAAGTCACATATTCTCATTATAACAAGTGTACTTATGCCAGAGATGTGCATTTTATTTTTAGTTTTTTTCTGTTTTCGTTTAAGTGTAATTAACATAGTGTTATGTTAGTTCTAGGTGTGTAATATAGTGATTCAGCAGTTCTGTACATTATCACTCTGCTCATCAGGACACGTGTGCTGTTCATCCCCTTCGCCTGTGTCTCATCTGTCCCTCCACCTCCCTCTGGTGACCACTGCTCGGTTCTCTGTAGTTAAGAGTCTGGTTTTTGTTTGTTTGTTTGCTCTTTTTTTCTTTGTTTATCTGATTTGTTTCTTAAATTCCCCATGAATGATATCACATGGTATTTTTCTTTCTCTGATTGACTTATTTCACTCAGCATAACACCCTCCAGTTCCATCCATGTTGTTACAGATGGCAAGACGTCATTCTTTTTGATGACTAATATTCCATTGTGTATATGTGCCATAACTTCTGTTTTTCAATTTATTTAAGTTTAATTAACATATAACGTATTATTGGTTTCAGAGGTAGAGATCAGTGATTCATCAGTCTTATGTCACACCCAGTGCTCACCACATCCCGTGCCCTCCTTCATGCCCATCACTGTTACCCCATCCCCCACCCCTCCCCTCCAGCAACCCTCAGTTTGTTTCAAGAGTCTCTTATGGTTTGTCTCCCTCTCTGATTTTGTCTCATTTTATTTTTTCCTCTCTTCCCCTATACTCCTGTTTTGTTTCTTAAATTCCACAAATGAGTGAAATCATATAATTGTTTTTCACTGACTTATTTCACTCAGCATAATACCCTCTAGTTCCATCCACATCATTGCAAATGGCAAGATTTCACTTTCTGATGGCTGTATAATATTCCATTGTATATATAGACCACCTCTTCTTTATCCATTCATCTGTCGATGGACATCTAGGCTCTTTCCACAGTTTGGCTATTGTGGACATTGCTGCTATAAACACTGGGGTGCAGGTGCCCCTTCGGATCCCTACATTTGTATCTTTGGGGTAAATACTTAGTAGTTCAAAGAATATCAACGTAAGTAAGTATAAGGCCAGACAGCATAATAGAAGAAAACCACAAATATGAAGTGTGCTGGCAAGGAGAACTGGGATTGGATTATCTGTTTAGAAAAACAGGAACCAGGGGCGCCTGGTGGCTCGGTCAGTTAAGCATCTGCCTCCGGCTCAGGTCATGATCCCGGGGTCCTGAGATGAAGTCCCGCATCGGGCTCCCTGCTCGGCGGGGAGTCTGCTTCTCCCTCTGCCTCTGCCTGCCGCTTTGCCTATTTGTGCTGTCAAATAAATAAATAAAAATCTTTAATAAAAAAAAAGAAAAAAGAAAAAGCCACACCAATATATAGTATGTGAGAATACCCAACACTGGATATTATCTGTCTTTTACATGTTTTACCAATCAAATGGCCAAAAACAGAGATCTCATTTTCACTTGTATTTTCCTATTTCCTAGTGAAGCTGCATACATTTTTCTAATGTATTTGCCAGTTTTGTATCTTCCCCTGAATTATCTGTTGATATCTGTTATGTTTCTTTTGGGCTAGTTCTCATTTTTCATAATGTGAAAAGATTTAAGATTAACCTTTTATTTGGTATGTTACAAATGCTCTACCTCAGTCTTTAATTTCAGAAAGCCCGATCTGACAGAATTTTTCTATAAGGACTAGGAAGATAGAGCTATAAGGGTCTTCCTTATCCAAAGGTTGTGAAGTATTCTGCCGTGTTTCCTTCCTGTGCTTTTATAGTTTCACGTACATCTGCTGTGTTAACCAGTTTATTATTTATGTGTGATGTGAGGGATTTACCTTTCCTGTTTTTCTTTCTTTCTTTCTTTTTAGATTTTATTTATTTATTTATTTGAGAGAGAAGGAGCACAAACGGGTCGGGGAAGCAGCAGAGGGAGAGGGAGAAGCAGACTCCCCGCGGAGCAGGGAGCCCGATGCGGGACTCGATCCTGGGACTCTGGGATCATGACCTGAGCTGAAGGCAGACACTTAACTGAACTACCCAGGCGCCCCTGGTTCCTGTTTTTCTAAACAGATAATCCAATCCCAGTTCTCACCAGCACACTTCATATTTACAGTTTTCTTCCATTACACTGGCATACACCTGCATACCTTGATATTCTTTGAACGTATTCAACAAGTCTTTACTATCCTGGACTTTTAGTGCAGAGAAAAAAGATCCCTTTCCTAGAAAATTGAGTGTCTTTGTTAATATAAAACATGAAATGGAATACAAGCTTTTTTTGAATGGTGGGGCTGTGTGTTCATATAGCAGATCACATTAGCAGAGTGTTTACAGGAACGTGACCCGGCCATTACCAGGGTCAGCTCTGTTCTGTGCTGTTTGTATAGTGTGGTGTGGTAAGCAGCAGGTGCGTCCTTCAGCCCTGGCACCCTGGGTTCTAGTCCCCACTCAGGAACTCAGTAGTTGGTTGACTTTACTTTGATGGTCTCCATGAGCACTTGGAGACAGTGACAGCCCCTGATGGTGTCCTTGCATTATATGGGAGACCACTTAACCTTCTGTCTCTTGTTCCTTGGTTTTTCAGCCTGAGACACACTCTGGCAAGTTACATGGAAACCAAAAACAGTGAAATTCTTCCTGAGCTGGAATTCCAGGTCCCAGAGAAGATACTGTTGTGCAGTTGTGTCCCCGTGTGGAGCCTGGCTGCTGAGCTGAAACGGGGTCGGCAAGTGAGGTAGAGTCTGTTCTGTGCGCCTCTGCCACCACCCCAGCTGGGGCTTCCTAGGGGGCTGCAGGACCCCCGTGTGCTGTGCCACGGACAGCTGGGAGTGCCACGCTGCTTCAGGAAATGTGCACATTCCACATCTTTCTCATCAGATTGTGAGTGCTGTCCAGGGGGAGGGGATAACTGGAGATGCCGTGAAACCGGAACCAACCACCTTTCAATTCTGAGGGGGTACCAAACATGTGCTCCTCAGCTTCCCATGAGAGCAGTGGACGGTGCCTTCAGCTCGCCAGCTGGAGACTGGCACGCACTCACCTTGGCCTCTCTCTCTCCAGAACGAGGGAGGGGAAACGGGGCTGTTGATTTTGCTTCTGTTTTCCTTCTCATTTATTCTGCACTCATAGAGGAGAACCCGGCTTGTTTCTTCTTTCCAATCCCTTCAGTCCCGTGTATTGTACACATATTTGTAGGTTTCCATGAAGGCCTGAGAAAGTGCCAGACCCTTTTTTTGTCTCCTCCCAAATACAAGTCAGCATGTTCTGTGAATGCCTTGAGGCCAAACCTCCTAGCCCTCACGCAGCCCCCCGGAGTTTCACAGGTCAGAGCTTTCCTCGTTGACACAATCAAGATACTGGCTTGATGGCCAGATTTGCTTCTGATTCTTGGGGTTTTAAATTTTAAATGAAAGTTTATCAATTAACCTTGGATCAAAGGCAGGGTTCTGGCATTTTCCTGCGAACTTTTGGACTGTCCAGCATCATGCTAAATAAATGTGTGGTCTTGATGTGACCTCGATGTCCCGGACGTGTGACTATCTTGTTCTTCCTCTGGATCTCGGCCATGCCATAAAAACAGACTCAGAATACAGAACCAGCTAAGTTTCTGAAAAAGGAGAATAGTCGACCAGCTCTGATCGTGCACCTCTTTTCTCACTGGGAGGTTGTGCCTCTTTTGCACAATGCCCTCGGATACTTGTGGCCTCTGGACTGACTCCTGCTCCCAGGTGGCTCAGCACCCATTAGCACGGAGATGCCTACTGTTCACAAGTCAGAGGCGGATGTCTTCAGTGTACATTCGGAATGAGTGAATGACTCAGTCAACTTGAAATCAGGCCCTCGGGGTGAGAGCTACAGGAACAGAAAACACTTCCGGGACCGCTGTCACCCTGCGGCCACAGTGGAGGGAGCTGCAGGCGGAAGAAGCCGACCCCCACTCTCTTCTGTTGTCTGATGAAGGGGGCGCACGGTAATCCAGACCCCTCAGCGATTAATCTGATACGACCACCACGTGCACTTAGTCACCCAGGATTCTTCTGTCATGCTAGACTATGCAAAAAAATCCGCCTGGATTGCCCATTTAATGGAGGGGGACCTTGTTCAACTCCTCGACTTGCACTTGGAATTCCTTTGATACCTCCAAGCTGGGACAGAGCTGGTGTGGCCATCAGGTGCTGCTCTGGGTCCTCACTGTGCCCCATCTTCATGGGGGGAGTTGGGTGTCAGTCTTGTGCTGTGGAACTTTCTTTTGGCTGGGAATTTTATCCCCCCACACTTTTATGAAGGGTTTTCTAATGAAGGTATTTTGTTTTGTATGCTATGCTTTCAAAGCCTTAACTGTCCTATCTAGCATTACCTGGCCTAGCACAGGCAAATGTAAATTTTATTATATTTGTCATATTTGTTTTAATAAACTTGAGTTTTGCTGCTAAAGAATCCTCCTCGTTGAGGGCAGAGCTTCTGTTTACGGCAAGTAGACATTAATTCAGCTTTGGGGAATGGTTTTGGTTTTCTGTGGAAACGTACTCGTAGATGCATCCATGAAGTGGAAGGTTCCGGACAGAAAGTGTTCACTCTGGTGTAGAAGGTGGGAGGTAAATCTCCGCCAGGACAAAAAGACAGCAGAGCCCGGGATCCACAGTTGGCCACCGCTCGCCAGGCGCCAGACTCTGGGGCAGAAGCTTCAGCCTCGGCCTCAGAGGGGTGAAGCTGCACTCCCTGCCTGAGATACCATCACTGGAAAACAGCAGTGTTCCAGCAGAGGTGTGAGCGCTGTGTCCACAGGCCGGGCCGTGGGGTGGGAACAACAGTTCCTCTGCACAAGGAAATGCATGCAACAGATAAACCGTCCGCTCCCAGCGGCCCCCTCACGTTTGAGTGGTAAAATACCACATTAGGGGAAAATTGCATTTTCTCTTCCAAATGGAAAGGGTCCCTGGGGAGAGAACTCGTAGTCTTCCAGAGAAGGGCTTGCCCCTGCTGTCAGACCACCCTCCTTCCCACAGTTTCTGCTTCAAGCCCACGACCCGTCCCCTTCCTTCTCGTGTCCTCACTGACCACGACCTTCCCCTCCCCCTTCTCATCTCTGATCGCATCCAGCCGCCTGCACATTTCCGTTGGAGCTCCTTCTGCTTTCGGCCCAGGCAGAGACGGTCACTAGGCTGGTGGTGACTCACCTGAAACTCTTCATAACTGATCACTGTCTCCTCTTTAAGACCTTGTTGTGTGTGTAAATTACGTACCTGTTGTCCTGGGCTGTGGGATTTCATCATTTATTAACTGAGACAACCATGAGATGTGTCGGCGATTCCTGGGTTCAGGCAACGCTCTCCAAGCCCTTCTTGGTCACTAATTAAGCCTATGCACAAGCACCGTGAATCTCAGTTCCAACCGGGAAAGCAGCACCAGAGAAAGGTAAATGCTGATCTCACCTCATCAGGGTCCTGGGGACAGCAGGACCCTGCTTCCTTCTGAGGAGGTGGGAGGATTTGTGGGAGCCACCTGGGCAAGAGCAGAGAGAAGTAGACGGAAGAGCCCTACCTGGAGCACACACAAGCTACCCCAAGACCCTGCACGCCCTACACAGACCTGCCTTCAACCCTGGCCCGTTGCTCCCCCCCCAACCTGATGATGAGTGTGCCACAGGCCCAGCACCCCCACCCCCTGACTGCCTGTACCCTGAAGCATGGCAGAGTCATGGCCCAGAGCCACTTTGGCCCCAGCTCCACAGGCCCACGAATGGCCCCCAGTCCCAATCCAAGGGCCTCCTCATGCTCACCACTGTGTACCATGACAAGGCTGACATACAACACGTCCATGTCCCAGACAGACCCAGGTGTGAATCTTGGCTCTCCTGTTTGCCAGTTCTACGGCCTTGAGCAAGCCCTTGACCTCTTCAAGCCTCGACTTCTCGATGTGTAAAATACCTCTCAGTGCTGTGGTGAGAAAGAAGATAGTGCAGGTAAACAACAGGGCATGGTGCCTGCCGTGCCATGGGCGCTCAGAAGTGGTACTCATTTCTTCTCCCTGCTGAACACTTGCCCATCCTTCAAGGCCCCGTCAGTTGTCAAATGCTATATGCCTTTCCTGAACCTCAAACATCCCTATTTCCTTTTGAGATGTATATTCAGACTACAGTTCTTATCCACACCCTGCTCTGCATCCCCCTGGTAGGATATACACCACGGGTCAAGTGCCTACACGTCAGCATCACTGGCCGCCTTCCGTGCCTCAAATACACCAATGTCTTGCCTGCCACAGGACCCTTACATGTGTTGTGCCCTTTGCCTGCGCTCCTCTTAACTATCCCCCTCAGAGAGGCCTTCCCCAGGGCCAGTCCAAGGTCGGCTGGTAGGTCATTCTCACTGCAGCAGGCCACCGTGCGACTGCGCCCGAGGAAGCTGTAGCCCCAACATCCAGCACAAGGCCTGGCACAAGGGAGCACAGAATAAATAATTCATCCAGTGGAGGAGCTTGGAGCTAAGAGTCAGTGTTCCAACCGTTGTCTGCGTGTAGTACAGCAGGTGAGGCTTTGGGCCTGGCCATGACCCACGAGTCTGGCCCAGTGAGGACTTGCGTCCTGCATTCAGAACTTTCACCGACGTCCTTGGTCCTAAAATCACAGTGCCGCGGTTGGGGCTGATGCTCGGTGATGGGGTCCGAAGCCAAAGGAGAGAGAGAATGCCAGGAGGGAGGGTCAGTCCTGCCCTGCTCCTCCGATGTGCACTGCACACCTCCCTGCGCCAGGAGCCTGGGCACCAGCGCCCTTCCCAGGCAGCAGGCTGACAGCGCTGTACCAGCGAACCCTGCTGTCGCCCTTCCCCGCCGGCAGCCCACAGCGATCTGCCCGTCCCTCGGCTTTGCTGCTCCGCCGTCTAGGCACGAGGCTGCTCTAAGCGCCGCCCGAGCCTTCGACCCGACGAAGACTCCCGCGCACGCGCTCACACGCTTCTGCCAGCGTGCGTCCGGACGTGCTGCTCGGGTCGCCAGGGTGGGGGCTGGGGGGCGGCGAAGCGGGGAGGGGGGCTGAGGGGGGCTGGGGTCGGGGGCGGTTTCCAGCGAGCCTCCCGCCACCAGGCGGCGGCGTCTGGAAACACACAGGTCGTACCCCGAGCCCCAGCCAGCCGCTCCAAGCCCACGAAGACGACCGGGCGCCTGCGCGCAGGCCACCGGAAGTGACGGCAGCGGGAAGTGACGCCACCGGAAGGGGCGCTTGGGGGTGCGCCATGGCCCGGGAGGCGGTGGCGTGGCCGCCTGAGGAGACTGTGTCGCTCTGGAAACGGTAATGGGGTTGGCTGACTGCCAAGTTTCGGGGACTGGAGCGACTTTGGGGCTGCGGGGGCCCGGCCCGCGGACGAAAGGGCCTTCGGGAGTTGTAGTCTGCGGGGGTCAGCCGCGCTTGCTTCTGGCGCCGGGTCTCGGTGCGGTGGGAAGGTGGGGGCGATACCGTGGACGGGGTGTCCCCGAGGCCGGGCTTCCCGGGGAGGGCGGGCGAGACCGCGGAGGCCGTGTCCCCGGGAAGAGGGGGTGAGACCGTGGAGGCGTGTTCCCGGGGCCGGGCTCCCCGGGAAGGGGGTGGTGAGACCGGGAGTGCCCCAGGGAAGAGCCTCCACCTCTCCTCCCCCCGCGCCCGGACGTGCGGGGTCGGGAGGTCCGCTGGACGCGTGTCGCCCTCAGGGAGCAAGCCCGGCTGAAGGCCCTCGTCGTGGACCGGGACACGGAGGCGTGGCAGCGGGACGCCGCCTTCTCGGGGCTGCAGAGGGTCGGGGGCGTGGACGTGTCCTTTGTGAAGGGCGACAGAGCCAGCGCTTGTGCCTCCCTGGTGGTGCTCAGCTACCCTGAGCTCGAGGTAACCCCGGGGGCGCCCCGCTCTGGCTGGGGCATCGGGACAGGGGCCTGTGCCCCCGTACAACCCTGCTTCTCCTTTTGTAGGATTCCCTGAGTAGGTTGGGAAGCCTTTGAAGAAGGAAGGAGGGGAGTAAAAACTAAAAGAGATTCTATGATTTAAAATCTGAATTAACTCCTGTCTTTACTCCAAGTTGATCATCGCCTTGGGCGTCCCACCTCAGTGACCCCGCAGCAGCACACCCCGAATTGCCCAAGCTAGAAATCCCTGTCTCCCCAGAGAGTCATTCACACGTCCGGTTCTGTTCTGTCCCACACTAGCTCCATTTTTGCCAGGAATCTGGCCCCCTGTCTGCATCCTCACAGCTGTGGGATGTGCCCCTGTCCCCCTTCCTGCAGATGACGGAGTAGGGGCTTCACTGGGTCTTCTGCTTTCAGGACTGCCCTCTGTGGGCTCTTCTCCATGCTACCAGCAGAGCGATTTTCCTAAAACGTAAATGTGGTCACACCACCACCTAGTTCACTTAGAACACTTCAGTGCCCATGCTGTGATCCCATGGAAAATGGGGTTGTACTTGCTAATAAGTGTAAAGACCCTTCGGAATCTGACCCTACTGAATGTCAAGCTGTAGGTTCAGCCCTCACCAACCCCCATTCCCCACTCCGGGGTACTTCAGATTCCTCAAACATACCATGCTCTCTCTGCCTGCCTGACCTTTGCACTGATGTTTTCTCTCCTGGCTAACCCCTACTCACCTCCCAGGTCCCCCAGTAAGCACCCCGCTCTCCCTGCAGGACCGGGAAATACTCAGTACCCTCTCTTTCCCCTTTACTGCACTGGGATGGAATTGGTGGGTCTCTCTACCTCCCCAGCATGTAAACTCCACAGTGATAGGAACTGTGTTGCCATGCCCATCAGCTGTAGCTGTGGGAGCCTAGCTTGATGCCTGCCCCATGGAAGACACTCAGATAGGGACGTGAACGAGTCAACAGTATGCCCATGATTCGTTCGGGGTCCACAGTTCAGGAAGCCTTGACTAAAGAAGAAGTTGACAAGGAAACCTTTGCTCTGCAGCTCAGAGGTTTTCTTTCCCTCGTCTGCCTGCTCCTAAAGACCGCGTGTTCCTGCTTCAGCGTCTTTGTGCTTTACTTGGAAGACCCTGTTAGTCAAAACTCAGCAAAAATGTACTGAGCGCCTGCTGTGTGCTGAGAGCGGGATCTAGGGTGGTAGTGGAACCCGCGTCCCTGCCCTCACAGGTCCCCTGGTGAGTTTGTAGGATGGTCTCCGGGGTAAGGCCCAGCCTCCGGAGCCAGACAGCCTGGTCTTTACCTCCCCTCTGCCACTCCCACTTCACCCCCCTGGGCCTCTCCCTTCCATTTTTCTAACTCGGGGACAGTGACACTGTTGATAGCCAGCTCAGTTGTGAAGGATAAATGAGATCATGCGTGGAATCCAATCAGTTGGCACATGGTAGGCCCTCAAAAAATAAACATTAGCTAGTTGCTCACTTTTCAAGACCCAGTTCACATAGTCCCATCTCTGTTCTTTCCCCTTGATGCACGATTAACCCCCTCTCATCCCTGTCCGTGGTGTCTTTCTCAGTGCAGTGCTTTTTCCGTTGTAATAAAGTTACGCACTAACTGGGGCTTCTCAAGGGTAGGGTGATCCTCTCGTAACCCCAGCACAGAGCAGAGTGCCTGCTGCTTGGATGGACTCGGCGTTCATTGTCCTGTGCTGTGGGAGCTTAGACTAGGAATGGGGCTTGGGCAGAGTCTGGTGCAGAGACTCCCAAATGCCTGATTGCAGGTCTGCCCAGTCAGTCTGCTGGAGGTGGATACAAATCCCATAGGCAAATCCAGAGACAGAAAGTAAGTGCCTGGTTGCTGAGGGCTAGGGAGAAGGATGGATGGGGTGTGACTGCAAATGGAGGCAAGGTTTATTTGTGGGGGGGTCATGAAAACGTTCTAGGATCAGATGGTTGTACGACTCTGTAAATAAAAAACATTGAAGTATGCACCTCAAACAAGTGAACTCTATGCTAGTAAATTCTACCTCAATAAAGTTTTTAAAAAATATATTTATCCCAGAGCCCCAACTCATTTCTGGAAAGAAAAAAGAATCTCCCAGGAAATCTGCTTCTTTAAACAAGCGTCCCTGTGATCGCGCAGCAGAGCCAGGGTGGGAAGCGCTGGTCTGCCTTCCATGCAGCCAGGAATCCTTTCCTCAGTATCCCTGACAAATGGGGACCTCACAACAGAGCCCGTTCTGTGGTTCGACGCCTGGTTAGTATGTTCTTTTCTACAGGGAGCTGAAATGTTTGTGACTTCTGCCCGTCGATTGTGCCTCAGGCAGCAGAGTGCAGAACAGACCTTTCCCGCCTTCCTCCATGTCCACCCTCCCACTATCTGAAGACCACTCTGTGCTCTCCGTCTGTCTGCTCTGCTCTGTCCTCAGAGGCTCACTGGTGTGACTTCCAGCTTCTTCCCTTGCTGCTGGCCCTCCGGGATGCCTGCAGTTAGCAGGGTCCGGCTTTGCGTCAGGCGCCAGAACTGAACCGAGTTCCACCCAAGTTCGGTGGGTCTAAATGCACCAAAGAGACTGAGTGTTTAGGAGCCACGTCACCCACTTAGGTTGAAACCTGCAGATCTTCACAGAGATTACTGACTGTCCGGATCGTGCTCACACAGCCATTACACGTTTGAGGTTTTTTTCTTTTTCCAGATTTTTTTTTTTTTTTTTCAGATTTTTAACTTGGAAATGTGTAAACATTGAAACATGGGAAGAATAACACATTGAACACCCGTTTACTCTCTGCTTGGATCCAGCTCTTGCTGACCGAGTTCTCGTTTTCTGTGTGCAGGCGTGCGTGTGTGCGTGCGCTGAGGGATCCGCAGGTGTTGACAGCTCACCTGGGAGCACCTCTGCAGGCCTGTCCCGAGAGGGACCTATGTGATAGCTGTCTTCACATTCCCTTAGCACCACCTAGATCCCTGTCCATGGCACATTTCCCCAGTTGCCTCTTGAGCTGGTTTTGCTTTCTGATTGTAGAGGGTGGACGTGTGGTGCACGCCCACAGCTGCCCTTGGGTCACGTGGACTCTGGTTGGGGGTACCCCTTATGATACCTGTTCCTTTACTCCTTGTCTTTCAGGTATTTCTTGAGCTGACTGTTCAGGTCCGTTTCTCCAAGTTGACAGCTGGCTTTTTGAATGTGTGGGGTCAGATTTCCCTTTTTTCTGGAACGTTTCTGGGATTGAGGCTTTAAGTGCTCTGTTGAAGCACTCAGCTCCATCGCCCTGTTTCTCTTCTTCGGCCGTGCGCTCTGGCTTTTCTGGCTTTCCGGTGTTTTGTTTATGTCTGTCCTGAGTGTTTAATTTTTGCCTTGTGCTCTCAATCTCTGTGTAGGAATGGTTCATTTTCCTCCGCCGCTGCACAGCTGGTTGGCAGCATTTATTTAACGAGTCATGAGTTGGGTCATTGCACAGCCTTCCCACCCTGGCTCTGAGTTTGCACAGCCTTCAGTGTGTGTGGCGAGTTGTGTTTAGACAGGTGTCTGGAGGGCCGGGGCTTCGGGTGGCTGGCTGGGTTTCTCTGATCATGAGGGGCGCTGAAGTGTAGTTGTCCTGGTAAGCGGTGCCCTTTTCTGAGTTGACCATGGCCAGCATGCCTTCCGATTCTTGACACTTGTTTCTGAAGAGCCTCGTGCTTCTGGCCACATCTCCTTCACCACAGCCCTGCAGGGCTCCCCGGTTTCTCCCCAGAGGCTGCGTCTTCCTGCAAGGCCCCTGCTGGCCCCGTGTCCTCCCATGCCTCTTCCCCCGGGTCCCCGCTGGCCAGGATTGCCTGTGGGTCTCATTCCGTCTGTTCCCCAGCACCGGCCCTTCCCCCCACCCCAGTCCCCACCTGTCCTTGCCCAGCCCAGATCTAGAGCTGTCTTTGCTGTTCCAGGCTGTTCACTTCCCCACGTAGGTGCACGTGGATGGTCGTAATGGGCTCATCCCTGGGTCATGCCGTGGGCGTGGTGTCCACGGAGCTTTATGCCCTCTCCTTGTGGGTCTCTGGTTTCTGGAGCTTGTGCGGACAGATTCAGACGTAAGCAGCCATGGTCCTGTGAGAGCTCAGGCCACGTTTGAGCTTCGTGGGGCTCTGTGCCCCAGCACTGGGCTTGCGGTGAGTTGATGTCTGCTCTGTCTTCAGGTGAGACCCGCCCACTTTGGGTCATTGGCAGTTGGATAAGCTTCCTGTGAGTCCATGATCAGGATGCTGGAGTCACAAGCCCCCACCCTCATGTTTGGGGAAAGCGGCCCCTTCTCTGGGGCGTAAGCACTTCGAGCCCAGCTTCGGGGGGCGGGGGGTTTGAAGGTGTGGTTTGGAAGGCCCCAGGGCTCTTTGCTCTGGTGGCCTTACAGTCTCTCTTTAGACTCTCCTGTGCGTTGGGACCCAGTTCCTCTTTCAGATTGTCTAGCTCTGAGAACCCACCTGTTCTTTTCTGGATTCTTTGAAATCTCTTTTCTTAGAGCCAGGTTTGCCTTTCTTGTGGTTGTAACCCTGTGAAGACCTGGCCTTTCCTTCTAATGGGGAACAGCGACAACCTTACTCTGGTGGCACTTCACACACGCACACTCTTGTGCTTTGTCTTCTCTGAGCCTCCCGACAGCTGACAGCCGGGTGTGGGGTGCACAGAGGGGACCCGAGCAGGAGGGCCTGGTGCGGGAAGTGTGTGAGCACCTTTGAAAGGCAGCAGGCTGATTCCCCGCCACCCATTTGCAGGGCGATCACCTTGTCACTGTGCACTCTCCCCCAGAGAGGTGTGGCTGGGGGGGGTGGATGCTGGGAGATGGGGAGGGAGCTGGCAGCACCACGAGGCCTAAAGGATGAAGGGCCAAGGGCCGCGCCCACCTGTGACCTGGGTGCCCGGTGACAGGTGGTGTATGAGGACTGCTGCATGGTTAGCCTGACGGCGCCCTACATGTCGGGCTTCCTGGCCTTCCGAGAGGTGCCCTTCCTGGAGGACGCAGTGCGGCGGCTGCGGGAGAAGGAGCCCTGCCTCGTGCCCCAGGCAGGTACCACGACTCCAAGGAGAAGGGCCCTCGGTTTCCACCCAGGAGGGAAGGCCTCTGCCGGCCGCATCACCCACCGCACGGGGAGAGCTCTGAACTCCCTGGAAAGGATGCACTTTTACCTTGAGGAGAGGGATCGGATTTTCTAAAAAGCCGCCCGCGCCCCCCAGAAGTGGCAGTCCCACCCCCCTTGATCTGGGATGCCCTGGTCTGATGGGCGAGGGGCAGTTCGGCTGACTGACTTTCACCTATGGCTCTTCCAGGTCCTCCTTGTGGATGGAAATGGGGTTCTCCACCACCGAGGTAATCCTGCTCCCAAAAGACAGGGCGCAGGAGGGGGCAGTTCTGACCAGTGTCCTTCCGGACTGCCTGCACCCTGCCCCAGGCCCTCTGCTGCAGGCCTGGCACTGGCCATGCTTCCCTGGGCTTGATTTCATTGTCAGGACCCCGCCCAGGAAAGAATCCTGCTTCTTGTCACCCCGCCTCTTTCCTGCCCGCCCCTGAGGCCTCCCCTAGCACTCCACGCTGGCCCGTCTCAAGCGCCCTCGGCCAGTTTGGTCCTGACTGCTGCTCAGCTGGCCTGTCCCACCTCGTCCCACCTCGAGTAGTGACAGGCCCTCGATGGAAACCAGACAGGGGTGCCCATTCCCCACTGACCCTGGGAAACTTGCACCCACCTGGGCACCGGGACATTGGCCACAGAGTGACCGAGGGAGAGGAGAGGTTTCACCCTCCGACACGAGCCTGGGGGTGGGGCAGCAGAGGGACCTGGGACCCGTGGTGCCAACGTGGGGCCAGGCCCCCAGCCACTGTATATGCACTGCCTGGCAGGAGCCCCAGGATGTGCTGGGAGGGTGACACGGGCCTGATGGCAGCTACAAGAGGGAGAAGAGGATGGAAATTGCCAGAAAGAGGAGAACCAGTGTGGAGCATTGTGAACTAATCAGGCTCCGGACCTTGCCAGGGGGAAGGAGGCATCTTCCACCCCAGCCTGACAAACTGTGAAAGTGGGGCAGAGGGCTACGTCCCGGCTCAGGCTGGCTCTCCCAGTCCTGTCTTCCCAGTCTTCAGTCCGCCGACAGGCCTCTGTTTACCTGGGAAGACTCAGCGGTTCTGGTTTGTCCTCTGTCTCTACGCCGCCTCTCAACTACTTGGCTCACTGCCCCACCAGCCCAGCCTCACTCTCTGCCCCTGTAGGCTTCGGAGTGGCCTGCCACCTCGGCGTCCTCACAGACTTGCCCTGCATTGGGGTAGCCAAGAAACTTCTACAGGTGGACGGGCTAGAGAACAACGCCCAGCACAAGGAGAAGGTGAGGGATGGGGGCGATGCCGCCCAAGGGGAGGGTGAGGGATGGGGGTGATGTCCTGCACAAGAAGAAGGTGAGGGATGGGGGTGATGTCCTGCACAAGGGGAGGGTGAGGGATGGGGGTGATGCCGCCCAAGGGGAGGGTGAGGGATGGGGGCGACGCCGCCCAAGGGGAGGGTGAGGGATGGGGGTGATGTCCTGCACAAGGGGAGGGTGAGGGATGGGGGTGATGTCCTGCACAAGGAGAAGGTGAGGGATGGGGGCGACGCTGCCCAAGGGGAGGGTGAGGGATGGGGGTGATGCCGCCCAAGGGAAGGGTGAGGGATGGGGGTGATGTCCTGCACAAGGGGAGGGCACGCAGAGGGCCTGTGGGGGGCATGCAGGCTCAGACAACCCCACGGCCCTGCCCCGTAGGCACCTCCGATCCAGCCCTGGCCTGCTGGCGCTCTCACCGTCCTGACCCCCTAGCCCAGAGTAAGCAAGCCCCACCTTTCTCTGTGCGTGCCCTGCGTCCCCTGTGGGTCATGGGTCACAGCAGCAGATGGCCATTCTGGAGGAGTGCTGTCTGAGCGCACCCAGCCTCTGGGCGCATGCTTGCCGCTCCTGTACCCGCTACCTCTGGGCTGCTGTGGCGGCCTGTGTAGGGCAAGGGCCCCCAGTGACTGGGGACAGGACATCTGGGAGCCTGTGCGGCCCCAGTCCAGGGCCTGCAGGTTGGTGCTGCCCGGCCTGCCTCAGAGCTTCCTCACCCCACCTTCTCCCAGCATCTCCCTCCTTTGGCCCCCTCAAGGCTGGCGTTGGGAACGTGACACCCCACTCCAGAGGGACCCAGTGACGCGTCCGGCTCTACTGCTGGATGGTAGACTCCGAGAGCAGTGATCACATTTGTCTCATTCCTCGGGGCAGACCAGTGTCTGCACAGAACAATTGTTGGTGGAGTTAGAGACCAAACTTAGGTGGCTCCTGAGTGACTCAGTGGACCAATCGCCGCCCCTAGAAAGACTTTGTTGGGTTGAACCAAACATCCTTAAATTCGTCGCAGGAGGCAGGAAGTGGTTCCGGCCCGTGGGAAGCACCTGTGTGTCCAGCGGTCAGGTTGGGTGGGTGGGCGCCAGGCCTTCATGCCAGCCTGGCACCTTCACCCATCAGCCCTGGGGCCTGGGTGGGCTGCTGCCCCTTCTCCAGGCCCCGGATTCCTCATCCGCAGAACAAGGAAGAGAGAACTGAGTTCCGAGGGTCTCATCAGGGTCGGACGGTGCTGGGGATGGCCTCCCGGATGCCAAGTCTGCTCATGGGATGGGTGTGCACATGGCCGAGGCTGCGTGGCTTCACAAGGGCTGCAGACCTGGGCCCTTCCCTCTCCTTGCCTAGCGGCCGCTCGAACTTCAAAAACTTAATAGGCCTGCTCTCTGCCCTACACTGAGAAAAGACTTTTTCCATGTTTTTTCTTCCCGTTTTCCAGATACGACTTCTGCGGGCTGGAGGAGATTCATTTCCTCTAATAGGAGGCTCTGGGACTGTCCTGGGCATGGTGAGTGGCCAGGGGCCTACACCCCTGGGGGTGGCACCCACAAACATGCATGCAGGTGTTCGTGCACTCCAGACCCTGTCCGCTCCCCCTGCCCCTCTGACCCAGGGTGTGCCCTGCAACCCCACCCTCGGCTGTGCCGAGGGGACCCCTGGGCTGCACTCTCCACAGCCTGCCCCCGACCGGTTGTCAGTCGTGGAGTCCCCCGGGGTTGGCTCTACTGCACTCTGACTTTGCCTTCCTTATTCTAGGCCCTGAAGAGCCACGACCACAGCAGCAAGCCCCTCTACGTCTCTGTGGGCCACAAGATAAGCCTGGAGGCTGCCGTACGCCTCACTCGAGGCTGCTGCAAGTTCCGGATCCCAGAGCCCGTGCGCCAGGTGGGTGGGCCACATGCGCTTTCTGCACTTCCCTCACCACAAGCACCTGTGGAAGGGCCTGGTTGGGCCCCGCTGGGCTCTGGGGGGAGGAGAGGGGGACCAGAGCTGATCCTGGGGCCCTGCCCTGCCTGGGCCCTGGCTTCTGCTATGCTCCGGCATGCAGCTTCAGCCTCCTGCACCCCATATTGGGGTCATCGGGAGCATCAGCTGATGTCAGCTCGGGTGGCAGAGTGGCCTGCCTACTCCTGGTGAACCCCTCGGTGCCTGACCTGCCCAGCTGGCTTGGGAGCAAGCCCGCATCCTCTGCTGGGGAGGCCCCTGCAGGGCTGCAGGTGGTACCGAGGAAGGCTTGTGCTGGACCAGTCATCAGTCAGGAGATGGCAGGATGGGGCTGGGCCAGGCCCCCAGCACCTAGATCGGTGACGGTGGGGGTTGGGGGGAGCAGAACTTTGGGGAACAGGTTGGCTTGGCAGAGGAAATAAAAGCCTGTAGGAGATAGAACTAAGCACAAGCTGCCTGTGGGCCTGCATTGGTGGGCTCGGTGGTGACAGGGCATCACCAGTCACAGGTAGGTGTGTGTCCCGGGAAGCCCGTGAGAAGCCATCCTCAGGAAGACACCAGCCAGAGGAGGGGGAAAGGCAGTCCAGGCTCAAGGACCCACATCTGTAAAGGCCCTGGTGCGGGAATGAATCTGGTGCCGGCAGGAAAGTCAGAAGAAGGTGCGGCCAGAGCCAGGGCCGGGGTGGCGCAAGGCCCTCAGCAAGGCTTCCTTGCAGGGACCTGGGTGTGAGTCACAGGTAGTGGCTCTGTGGAAAGTGTGGAGGGGCTGGGGGAGCCCATCTAGGCAACAGGTGCTGGTTTGTACTGTCCAGCCCTGGGGCCCAGATTGCTGGCTCAGTGCTGCTGTAGGACGGGAGGGCAAAGTGCCTGGAACCTCCCTGGTACTTGCGGCTTCCCCCGTCTCCCCATGACCTGTGCTGGGTCAGCTCGAGGTGACTGGGCCCAGGGGCCCCAGCCAGATGCTGAGAGCCGGTCCGCACAGCTCAGCATGCCTGTGACACCCTGGCTGTGCCTCCCTGCTGCTGGCAGCCACCACCTTGGGGGCCCTGGCACCGCCCCTGGCTGCTGGTGTGCAGGCTGGCCTGCAGGTGGCGGCAGCAGCCCATTGCGTGGCTGTGGCTCAGGGCTGTGAAGAGCTGGGCCTCTAGGGGGTGTCTCCAGGTTCCTGCTCTGGCCGGAGCCCCCCTCCCTCCAGTCTGCCTGGATCCTGTCCATTCCAGTGACTTTGCGGAACCTTCTGACGGCACTTCCCTGGGGAGGGGGGTCATAGCTGACACGAGCCAGGGAGACAGGCCAGCAGCCGGGCGGGGGCAGACCCTCAGAGAACAGGGCTGGAACAGAAGCAAAAGCTATGGAAGCACAGGCCACGAAGCCAGCGAGAGCCAAGTGGCCCCACTGGGTCCCAGGGACAACCCAGGGCCTCCCACTTGGCCTATGCCCTCGGGCCCTTCAGGGACCTGCCACTGTGTCACCCAGGGGGCTGCAGCTCCAGGCCCCCCAAAGGCTGGGCCTGTGACAGTCTGGCATTACCTCTGTGGCTTTCTCCAGGAAGCAAGAGTGTTTGCGCCAGGCTGTTGGGGTGTGGGGGCTTGTCTAGAGGCCACCACCTCTCACATGAGCCCCCCTCTCCTCAGGCTGACATTCGCTCTCGAGACTACATCCGCAGGACCCTGGGAGTCCCCGGGCCCCCCGCACCAGGGCAGGAGAGGTGAGTGCTGGGGGCACTCAGTGGCGGTGGCTACAGCGTGGGGCTGATCACGGTGGGGCCTCCTCCCTGCGGGGCTGGGCGGAGGATGCAGAGTTCCTGGAGGGGTGGCAGAGCCGAGGCAGCCGGATGTGAGGCCTGGGCTGACTCTGGGCCAGTGGGAATTCCTGAAGCCCACCAGGGCTGCCCCCACCTGCCATGTCCACTGCCTGCGTGGGGCTGGGGTGTGGGCTCCACAGGAAGGCATGGGGGTCAGATGGGCCTGGTCCTCATCCTGGGCACAAGCTGCCATGACTGTGACACTCTCCGGGCCTCAGTTTCCTTATCTGAGCGCCAGATACAGTCATTCTTGTCCTGGTAGGTTCTGGTGGCAGAGCCCGGCACGGATGGTCACAGCCAACTGTGGCTGGTCAATTTAACCCTGACAGCACCTTGCCAGGAGACAGACACCGTGGCCCACTGTCCACGTGTGGAACAGGCGTGGGTGGCATTGATGAGCCCCAGAGAGGTTACTGTGGGCTTTTCCTCGAGCTCCTTTTTCCTCTAAGTCGAGGGCCATCCTAGGCCCAGCTAAGCTGTTTTGAGAATGGGTTCCCTCCACAGCTCCCCCGGGGGTGGGGGCTGGCCAGCTGGAGTGTACGCAGCCCTTGACCAGCAGGATCTGCCCCTTCTTGAGTCAGCAGCAGCTTCCAGGCACCACCTGGGGAGCAAGGGGGACTCGGGCTGGCTCTGCGTTTGATGCTGCCCCTTCTTGATGTCATTACCAGGAGCCAGAAGGTGCAGAGGCCAAAGATGTGCCCTCAGGAAGGTTCGGAAGAGCCGGAAGGTGAGGGCAGGCCCCCCGAGGGCCACAGCTGAGGCCCCAAGACACCGGCAGGGCCAACAGCGGCAGTGGGGAGCTGAGCTGGACATGGCAAAGAGCTCAGGCTGCCTGACTTCCTGCCCCTGCCTGGAGTAGTGACTGGGGGCATGGCCCCCTCAGTAGCAGGTAGAGCGCCCAGGCCCCAGCGCATGGCGGCTGCACCACCCACAGGGACGGCAGCAGGCTTGGCCCCGCTGGGATGGGCCCGGGGGGCAGCCCCTCCTGCTCCGAGGTCTCGATCACAAGGCTGTCAAGAGCTCCGCACGAGACAGATCTCACACCACAGAGCACCAGCCCCAGAAGGAGCCTGATGTTGCTTTCCCAGGAGTACGGGAAGGGCATTTAAGGTTCATGGGGATTTTTTGGTGTGTTTTGTTTTTTTCTAAAAGGCCCAGTTGGGCTTAAGACTACCAGACTACGTGTCTGTCTCCGGCTGCTCGTCGTCCGTCTGCTCCTTCAGCACACACCCTGCTGCTTTTTTTGCTTTTGTGTTTTTATTTTCCAGAGTTTGTTTTTATTTGTATTTTTTAATTTTTTTTTTTAAAGATTTTGTTTATGTGACAGAGAGATAGCACAAGTAGGCAGAGCAGCAGGCAGAGGCAGAGGGAGAAGCAGATTCCCCTGCGAAGCAGGGAGCCCCATGTGGGACTCGATCCCAGGACCCTGGGATCATGACCTGAGCCGAAGGCAGCTGCTTCACGGACTGAGCCACACAGGCGCCCCCAGAGTTTGTTTTTAAACCACCAGTTCCCCTCATCTCCACCCATGGCCAGTCAGTCATACTGAGTGGCCTCTGCCCTGACCCTGGAGGGTGCAAGCTGGGGTGACCGAGCCTGGTCCCCAGCTGCCCTGCCCGTCTGCCAGCCTGCCTGCTGCTGGCACACTTGGCGATCGGGGGCCCCACGGGGTGGTCCGGGTGCCAGAGGACCGGCGCTGGTATCCAAGGGGAGGGGCGTCAGGCCCTGCCACTCTGGGAAGCCAGTTGAGGCACGTCCCCTCTGGGCCGGAGTGCTGTTAGCCTTCCCTCACTGCTGCCTGCCGGGCACCCTCCCCTGCCAGCCTCCTTACCGCAGGCCCAACCTCCAGTGCGGGGTCGCAGTGTGTCCCTGTCCCAGCCGCTTGTCTTACTGAGGGCTGCAAGTCCCAGCTCACAGGGGCCGTGACCCTCGCCCGCAGCCCCCAGGCACCCTACACTGGCATTTGCCGAGAAGTGTGATTTTAAGAGGCCTTTCTTGCCATTCATGCTAGTTCTCAAAGAGCTGGTTGTCATGGTTTTGACGACCTTGGGTCTCAGCACTCCCCGCCCCAGCATATTCCGTTTGTGAGAAGTGAGCTCTTCTCTGGGACCCAGACCTCTGGGAGAAATGAGGGGGGACAGTGAGCGAGGCAGTCTGCTGGCCCCCTTCCCCTCCTGCTCTGACGGTGCCCCTCAGACCCCCTTACAAGGCCAGGTGGCTGGGGGGAGGCTGAGTTGAACGGCCCCACTTGATGGTAATGGCCCCTGTTGGGGACATCTCAGTAGGAAGCAGGATCGCCCCAGGACAGGCGGGGCTGTAGAGGGACACCAAGGTGCTTAGGGGCTCTTCTCCATGGCCTGGTGGGGTGAGCAGGTGCCTTCGAGGGGACTCCTGCACGTGGGAAGGAGCACACCAGGTTCCGTCCTGTCCTGCTCCTGCTGCTTCCCCAGATGTCTCAACCCAGCTTCCGTTCCTCCCCGTCCTGGGACTGGGACTCATCAGAGTTGGGGTGAACAGGGAGCCCCAGCTGCCCTCCTCCGTGGGATCCCAGGCCCCTGGTGCTGTGCCTCTGACTTCAGACCCTGCACCCCAGCATCATGAAAGTGGCTTTCAGCTCACTTCTGCCCAAGGTGGCCCAGTTCTCCCTGCTTTGCGACTGAGACATAGGCTGTCCCTTGGGAAAGCGTGACACAACACCTGATGGAGCTCTGAGGGTATGACCTTGCATTCGGAGCCTGCTTTCTCCCTGGGGTTATAAGCACCCCAGGTTGGGTGGGTTAAGTAGGAGAATACGTGTAGTCTTTCACTTAGTGGTGGACATAGTTCCCCATAAATAAACATGGGTGGGAGGGGCAGCCAGCGCCCCAGCACCTGTCCTGTGTAGTCCTGCCTGAGGTTTGAGGGGCACGGGATCCCTGGGCACAAGCAGACCTGGGTGGGGCTCCTCCAGGGGCAGGGAAGGAAAGGGGTCCCCATCTCCTCCCAGCCTCACATGCCACCCCAGGCCCGCACAATGTAAGTCCTAAGAGGGCAGGACAGACAGGACCAGGCCTCCCAGGTCCAGACTGCGGACAGGAGAGCTTCCCTGGGATTCTTGGAGGCTTGGCACCAGGTTGCAGCAGCGACCCCCGGGGCCCCATCTCTCCAAGGGGTGCAAGCAGATGGCCTTGGCTTCCCCCTGGGTGGGAGGGGTGCTCAGCTGAAAGCCACTGGCTCCTTGGTCACTGGAGGGGCCAGGTGGGGTCCCCATCTACCTCAGTGAAGAGCAGGTCAGAGCCTGGAGAGAAGTTTGCAGACAACTTACCTGAGTAGTTTTTGTCTTGAAATTAAAGTCACGTCACAGAAGCTGCCATTTTAAGCATTTTTTAAAAGTGTACAATTCAGTGGTTTTTAGTATATTCAGAATCTTGTGCCATCAGCACCACTGTCTAGTTGCCGAGCTGCTTCATCACCACAGAGGGAACCCCCTCCCCGTGAGCAGTCACTCCCCCTGCCCTGGCAACTGTGGGCGCCGGAGTCCATGCAGAGTCACGCGGTGTGTGGCCTTTGTGTCTGGCTGCCCTCACATATCTAGCCCGATGTTTTTGAGCCCAGGATTTTCATGGATCCTCCGTGTGCAGCACCGAGCGGTGCTGCTGTGTACTGCCTGGTGTGACTCCTGTTGTGCGGCTAGAGCACATGTCGCAGGCACCCACCCGTGCCTGAGTGTGTGGCCTGTTCCTCTCTGTGGCTATTACGAGTAGCATGGCCATGCACACGGGCGGACGGGTGTTTGTATGCACTCGGGTGTCCATCCTCCCAAGCGTATCTGGAGGAGGGCAGTGTCTGGGTCCTATGGCGGCTGTGTGTTTACCTTCTGGGGGAGAGCCACGCTGCTTTCCTGCTGTTTTCCACATGCTCTCCAGCAAGGCGCGGGGCTCCCGGGTTTCCCCTCTGCTACTCCTGATTCTGGCCGTCCTGGGGGTGTGATGTGCATTTCCCTAATGACAGAGGACGGTGAGCACCTTTTGTGTGATCATTGGCCATTTGTACATCCTTCTGGGCAAAATGTCTACAGAAATCCTTTGCCCTTTTTGAAATGGGGCTGTCGTGTTGTTGGGGAGCCGAGAGTTCTCTCTGTGCTCTGCTTACCAGACCCCTCTCGGTTACGTAACTCACACGTGGGCTCCCTCAACTCCGTGGGCTGTCTTTTCACTCCCTGGATAGTGTTCTTTGTGCATGAAAGCTGTTGAGTTTGATGAAATCCGATGTATCTGTTGCTCATCTGTTGCTTGCGCATTTGGTGTCATATATTGAAGAAATCATTGCCTAATCCAGGGTCATGGAGATTTCCTCTAAGAGAGTTACGGTTTCAGCTCTTACATGTAGATCTCTGACCTGCTTCCAGCTACTGTTTACATACGGCTCTTCTGGGTCCCTGGCAATTCTGTATGAGTTTTAGGACCATCTTGTCCATTTCCGCAAAAAGGCAGTTGGACTTTGGCAGGGCACTGCACTGACCGACTCAGGGAGCACTGCCCCCTAGTGGTGCTCAGTCTTGCCGGCACTGTGCTCAGGCGCCTTTTCCTTTACTTCTCCGTGAACTTCTGTCCACATCATCATGTGGTTTTCAGCGTACAGGTCTTTTTTTTTTTTTTTTTTTTTTGAGAGGGCGAGAGGGGGATGGGGAGGAGCAGAGGGAGAGAGAATCTCAAGCAGGCTCCACACCCAGCACAGAACCCAATGTGGGGCTCAATCTCACGACCCTGAGATCATGACCTGAGCCCAAATCAAGAGTTGGACGCTTAACCGACTGAGCCACCCAGACGCCCCTTCAGTGTACACATCTTACTCTTCCGTTGGTTAAATTTATTCCTAAGTATTCATTCTTTTTGATGCTATTATAAATGGAATTGTTTTATTAACTTCATTTTTGGATTGTTCATGGCTAGCATACAGAAATACCACTGGGTTTTGTGTCTTATGCTCGGCGACTGTGCTGTAATTTGCTGGCTCGGAGTGTGTGTGCGCTTGCGCCTGCGCACACACATTCTTCAGGGTGCTCTCCGTGTAAGGTCATGTCATGTGCGGATAGAGATAGCTTTACTTTTCCTTCTTCCTTTCCAATCTGAATGCCTTTTCTGTCCTTCCCTTGCCTGATTGTCCATCTAGGACTTCCGGTAGGACGTTGAATACCAGCGGTGAGCACAGACATCCTTGTCTTGCCCCCGATTTGAGGAAGAGCGCTCTCAGTCCCCAGGGAGGACGGTGTGGGCTGTGGGCTCTTCACGGACGCCCTTTTCGGATTGAAGGAGCTCCCTTTTGTTCCCAGTCTCTCTGTCTTGATCACGAACGGGGCTTGGGTGTGTCCAGCTCCCTCTGCACCTATCGAAATGACCATTTTCCTTCACTCTGTAATGTGCTGTGTCATGTGGGTTGATTTTCGTATTTTGGGCCACTCTGCGTTTCTGGGGTGTATTGCACTTGGTCATGATGTATAATCCTTTTACTATGCTGCTGAATTTGATATGCTAGTATTTTGTTGAGGACTTTTAGATCAATATTCCTAAGGGTTATTGGTCTGTAGTTTTCTTGTGATATCTTTGGCTCTGATATGAGGGAAACGCTGGCTTCCAGGAAGAGAACCCATAGCAGTGTGGGAGTGCCATGGACCCCTCAACCCTTCCAACGGCCAACCAAGGCATGGAGCGCAGATCAGAGATGCGGGGAAGAGACAGAGGGTTTCGG